CCCGTGGAGGAGGGCCTCGTTTCACTGCCTCTTGTTGGACTTGACTTACACCGGTCATGGGAGAAACGGATGTGGTTAGATTGAAATTTGGAGTGATTGCTAATCCGTGGAGACAAAATTCTGGTGGCTTCTCTTGAATGGATAGAGCTCATCTTAACTATGAGCTAGCCCAGCTAATGTGTTCAGCATCCGCTGTAAATACTCAAGCACAGCATGTCGTGCTCGGGGACTAGACGGGAGTCTTCCGCTATGAACGGAAGCCCCAGACCAGGCCCCTTAGTAGAGAGTGCCCTGGAGGGATTCTGACACATGCCCTGTCATCTTTTGTCTTGTCTTGTTCACAAACCTGGGGCGCCAAAGTTTCACAGACCCGGGCAAGGTTCCAAGGAAAAAAGGGATACAATAGAGGCAAGGTTCTGTAATAGCAAAAATAACAACTGGAACCTTCCTTTGATCCAATTCCACTTTACGTGCTTTTTTGTATAGGACCCTTTAAGGCAGGAGCCTTCCTTTTCGTCAACATTTTCATACCTATCAGTCGCTGTCGCTGTCGCTGTCGCTGTCGCAAACAAAAAGGCACTTGCTTACGGAGTGGAAAGGGCGGCACTTCGACTATCTGCAAGCCACTTACCTTGCAGAACAAGTGCGAGTGCGCATAAACGACAGAAGCGATAAGGATTTATTCATCCATCCCCGCCTTCATCTGGTATCTTCTCGCCGCCTCCAACCTCGTACTTCTTTTTTTCTTTCATTTTACTTTCTCGGCTTGCTGCTGAAACGGCACCTTCCAAAGCATTAGAGGGTTACAAAGTCAGTATGCCATTCAGACCATACTTTTATTTATTTATTTATTCTCATGCCTAAAGGTTAGGGGCCTACCCACTAGCCTCTATCAAACCGCTTCCGGCACCCAACCTGGGTTCGCGTTTTCTCACATCATATCTGATCTTTGTTAGATCAACCTACATAATTCTTACTACGGCAGTCATGCCACAAATACCACCAGCCGCTGACACAATGCGCCGCCCCTCCTACGATCTAGCGGAGACGCCGCGCAATATCGAAGAAACACCCAACGACCCGCTCTCCGATGACCAAAAGATGGAAGATGGCCTCGATTTATCTATGCCTCCACCTGAAGTTGAATACGAAGAAGACGATTTAGAAGACGATTTAGAAGACGACTCGAGAATTTATACGCCACCTCCTCACATTGCTGCTCGATTTTATCGCCCTTCGCAGACTCGTCGCAGAGATTCGGCTGCCTCGTCGCGCCGCAACTCAGTCTCATCTGCACACTCGCGATGCTCTTCTATCCAGCCGTCAAGTCACCGTGGAGGTGAACAGAGCAAGCATATCGCTCAACATCTCCGTCGTGCTTCGTTTCTCGAGGATCGCAGGGCTCGACTTGCCGATCGAGCGGCGCATGCTGAAAAGGTTCGTCTTCGGGCAGCCCTCGCAAAAGCCACTCATCGCGATCCTTCACTTTCTGAAGAGCGCGCTATCGCTGCACAACGAACTAGAGAGCGCAACTTGGCAGAGATAGTCGCCAACTGCGCGGATGAAGTCAAAAAGGCAAAACAAGTTGCCGAGTTTATGAAAGAGAAGCGAGAACAAGATATGGCTAGGATCAAAGCTCAAATCGAAGAGAGAATGGCTGAAGCCGAAAGACGGAGGGAGGAGCTACGGACAAAGCACACGCCCAAGCGAAGCCGCGGACACAGTGTCATGTCTAGGAAGACCACTGACTCCTTGCCTGATCACGAGCAGGAGAGACGCCAGCTTACCCCAGAGGAAGCAGCAGCCACCATTCAATGGTGGTGGCGTGGCTACCTCCGCAGGAAAGCTATTGCTGAATTTAACGATCTCGGCCTGACTGTAGATGGGACCAGAGACACCCATTTTGATACTGTTGTACAGCTTCTGGCCCAAGAGAGGGTTCTTGTTATCACGGCACGACTCCTTCGGCTATGTGGCCTCGAAGAGGGCGAGACGGGCTCAGTCGAGGAGATGGTTGCTGTACGCACATTTCTGAGCGCTTTCCTGATCCTTGGCCACCCCAATCAGGTTCTAAGCAACAAGAACGATGATGGTGACCAGGAAGTTGCTGATGCTTTGGCTTCTCACCGCTTGCCTTCGGCCGACCTTGCCAATCCTCAACTACAGGGCTTGGTCGGTAAGGCACGAGATGTTCTTATCTCTTTCGAGAATATTCTCTCTCGTCTTACATCCGCCAACAAATACACAATGCCACCGGCGCTCAAGAACACACTTCCCGAAGCATACGCCGCTTTTCACAATGCATTTATTGCATGGAAGTCTCGAGATTCCAATGCCTTAATCGAAGTTATGCTCATGCAATTTGTAGAGCTTGATGCGATTTATCAAACAGTCAAGGATACAACCGACGACTCCGCCACGGCCCTCTACAAGAAGAGCATTCAGGACAACCAGCTGATGCTTATTGTGCGTATAAAAAAGCTGGCTGGTCCAGAAAAGGGCAAGAAGTTGATATTCAATGCGGTGGCCGAAGCCCGAAAGGCTCGTACTGCAAAGAAGAAGACTGGTGATACAAAGCCCCGCGTGGCTGAGAATGTGCCTGGAGAGGCATCCGAAACAGCTAAGAGTCTGGTCTCGCCGGATTCACAGACACTCACGCCACCTGCCACACCTGCTAGTAAACCCCAGGAGAAGCCTCCTGCCCCGAAGACTGGTCTAAATGGTCTACTGCCTAATAACAGGATCGTTGTACACGAGTTGGCCATCAATAAAGAATACCAGCTCTCTCCGGATGAGTACAAGGAGCAGCAGTCAACCCGATCGCAGCCCATGTATACACAGATGCGTGCCACCATGGATGGAGACGATAGTGCCATTAATTTCCAGTTCTTCGCACTCGTGGCTGGCAACATCAAGGACAAGCTCCAGCGTCTATTAAAACCTGGCAACTCGATGTACAACCTCATTGGCGAGATTCTGGACCCAGAAATGGCAGAAAGGCAATTTGCATTGGGCAACTTCTCATATGAGAAATTCTTCACCGCTATGGCATCTCTTTTGCCTAAGTTGTGTGCTCCTTTCCGAGACGAAGAAGTCAAAGATCTGATTCAAAACAAGCTCGCAGACGGTAACATCATCGACCGAGTCGAGGCCCTGAATGGCTTCATTGACTTAATGCTTTGCGATTATATCAATTATCTGATGAGAATAGCTGCACCTCAGCTTATTGAGTCTGCAGCTCCGTACGAGGCCAAGAGATTTGCCGAAGATGTTGAGAAGAACCAGCTTGGCCTCTCAGCCGCTGAGGCAGTCTGGAAAGCCTCACGAGCAAAGGTTTTGGCAGAAGTTCACAGAAGGGACCCCGAGAAAATCAACAACCCAAGGTCGCGCCCAACAGCTGGGCGGTTTTACGCACAGATGCTCGTCGATATTTTTACTCAGATCTCGCCGTCTCCTATTGAAGAGATACCAGAGATGCTTCGTCTGGATTACAGCCGCATTGGCCAAATTTCCACCACTATTCAGCGGATCATTACTGCAGGTGCAGTTTTGCTCCAATGCAAAAATATCCTGAAGCGTGACGTTCGATCCTCATGGAAGATGGAGGCATCCCGCATCATGGCCGTGCTCGAAGCTGGTCACCCTCTCCAAACTACTGTGGATGGTGTAATGGCTGCTCTTGAGTCTGGTAGATCGATGCCGACAGCGACCAAGGGTCACCTTCGTGCCCTTGTCACAAAGGTTCTGACTGCCAGCCAAGATATGGCACAACATGGCAATGAACCAAGAGAGCCCGTCCTTCGACTTTTACTTACTCGTCTTCGTGGCAATATCCTTGCCCGCTTGGCTGCTGGATCGGCAAGCGAGAAGGTCAAGGCTGCCAACAATGCAGGTGAGAAGCTTGCCAGCCTGGGTCTCTCCGAGTTTGTCGACCGAGTAAGAGAAATATCGAATCTATTAGAGAAGATTGGAAACGTGGACAGGGCAGCCCATGGACCTTGGTGGGACGCAGTAGCAACAAAGGTTGAGCAAGACGAGATGTCAGCTTAGAGCACAGCATAATAAGTTGTACTATTTTGATAAGAAGGACAAGGAAGGCATGATGAGCAATAAATGGATGCATGGTATTTGGAGGTTAGCGTTTGGCATTTTATCTTGGCAACAGCGGAATCTGCTCTTATTGGGAAGCGTTACTTGATTTTGGCCTGCATGGCGTATTGGTATGGACAGCTAACGGCTCACTCGGTGGGATCTGGTTCAAGCTTGCCTTGCAGGAGGTCATGGGATTCGGCAAATTGTTTTTTGCGGTAACGGGTATAATGATGTTTCAACCGAAGGTAGATATAAGTCGATGTGTTGTACTTGATAAGAATTTAATTTCAGAAGCTGAGACATGTTGCGAGTTGAAAGTATTGGGTTGTCTCTACACAGTAATGATTTATATACATCTCTCCAATTAGAAGGGATGGTTGAATCAACCTTGGTGGGATTCTGATGCCTATTCCTTGATTATCTCATTAAGAATATGTATCTAAGTTTTCTACAAGGCAGAACAGATCTGCCATAGGTAATAATCCTAGTGGGCTGCAGCAAAGTTAGCCTCCTAAGTCTTAGGGTATAAGAATAAGTAATCTAAGAAGTATAGTCTAAGTAGCATAAAATGATCTACTAATTTCGTCTTCTATGCTTCGGGCGGCCAATTTTTCTAATACCATAGGGTATCTGAAACTCATGATATACAGTGCAGATGAGTGTCATGACACAACACACACGGCCTATCCATCATCTCGCTTGTCACCGGCAATGCGGCTTTGAGCCTCACGTTGACCCGAAAATTTCAACATCGCATCCCATTTACATCTGGGGCAGCTACAAAAGTGCCATCGATGGGGGTCTAAAAAAGGATAATATTGCCATCCTAAATCTCACAAGAGTCCCTCGTCAAACGACCTGCCCAATTGCGACTGCGCATCGCATCGCAGACGACCGCGGGGCTGAAAATGTCGTCGTCCAAGGGCCTTTTGCGACATTTGGCTCAGCAGCAACGCCTGTGGAGCTGTTGTAGCCCACTATCGGTGATTACACGGCAGACGTCAGCCTCGGCTGCTTTTGTTCCTCAAGGTATCTTCAATGGAATTGGGTTTGGATTTGCAAGAGGCTTGACTTCGCTTGTAAACGGAGTTCAGCCGTTGAACAATCGTCGAGATAATGGACGGCCTATGCCGATCGGTATCCGGAGGTACGTTACTCCCGTGGTTGCCCAATCTTGCAGTAAAGGAAGAATTGATTGCACCTTCCTGCTGCAGATTGATTGCCCCTCACATCACCAAACGCTGGGACGATGGATCTTGGACCAGGCCCACACCCCACTAACCGCGGGGTCCTTTTGCCTTCAGCCCATGCCCACAGTCATGCATCATCACGCTGTTGTCTAACTCCAACCTGTCCTACCATCCATCTTGTCTCTTCATATTTCAATTTTGTTCTTTTCATCCCATCATCTTTCATCCTCTTTATACCCATTGTTCTCTGAACAACCCCTCATCACAAAAGCTGGACCTCTTGTGTCTCCTGCTAAGCTAAAGCTCAGAGCTATAGCTTGCTAACCTATCCACTCTACAGTCTTGTCCCCAAGATCTCTGATCGAGCTTGTTCCGCCCACGCCAGACTCGCCCGCAACGAAACAATGACTGACCGCGACGTTCTCCCCGACAATGTCAAGCCCAAGCACTACCAGCTGTCCTTAAGGGACCTTGAGTTCACCAACTGGACTTACAAGGGAACCGTCACGTACGTCTTACATCTACCCCTCATCCGCCAAGCTAGCTCTAACGGCTTCCCAGCATCGACTCGGAAATCACCAAGCCTACCAAAGAAATCATCGTAAACACTCTCGAACTCAAGCTCTCTCGCGCCAAGGTCTTCGTCGACTCCAAGTCTGCGGAATCGACAAAGTTTGACTATGACGCCAAGGCCCAACGTTCTACCATCACCTTTGACGAGGAGCTCCCCGTCGCTTCCAAGGCTGTCATCACCATTGAGTTCGAGGGTATCATCAACAATGAAATGGCTGGTTTCTACCGCAGCAAGTACAAGCCTACCGAGACTCCTTCCGCTTCTGTCCCCAACGATGGCGAATGGCACTACATGTTCAGCACTCAGTTCGAGGCTTGCGATGCTCGCCGAGCTTTCCCCTGCTTCGACGAACCCAACCTCAAGGCCACCTTTGACTTTGATATTGAGATCCCTTCTGACCAGGTTGCTCTGAGCAACATGCCTGTCAAGGAGACTCGTCCTTCCAAGGATGGTTGGAACATTGTGTCATTTGAGACCTCTCCCGTCATGAGCACCTACCTTTTGGCCTGGGCCGTTGGTGACTTTGAGTACATCGAGGCTTTCACCGACCGCAAGTACAACGGCAAGCAGATTCCCGTCCGTGTCTACACCACCCGTGGTCTCAAAGAGCAGGGCCAGTGGGCTCTCCAGCACGCTCCCAAGATCATCGACTTCTTCTCCGAGATCTTTGACATCGACTACCCTCTGCCCAAGTCTGACTTGATCGCTGTCCACGAGTTTACTCACGGTGCCATGGAGAACTGGGGTCTTGTGACCTACCGTACTACCCAGGTTCTTTACGATGAGAAGACCTCTGACCCCCGATTCAAGAACGCTGTTGCCTATGTTGTCGCACACGAGCTTGCTCACCAATGGTTCGGTAACCTCGTCACCATGGACTGGTGGGATGAGCTCTGGCTCAACGAGGGTTTTGCTACCTGGGTTGGTTGGCACGCTGTTGACCACCTGCACCCTGACTGGCAGGTTTGGGCTCAGTTTGTCAACGAGGGTATGGAGGCTGCTTTCCGCCTCGATGGCATTCGCGCCAGTCATCCTATCCACGTTCCTGTTCGTGACGCTCTCGATGTCAACCAAATCTTCGACTCTATCAGCTACCTCAAGGGTTGCTCCGCCATTCGCATGCTTGCCAACCACCTTGGCGTCGAGACTTTCCTTAAGGGTGTGTCTAACTACCTGAAGTCTCACGCCTACGGTAACGCCAAGACCACTGCCCTGTGGGACGCTCTCGGTGAGGCTTCAGGCAAGAACGTGACCGAGCTTATGCACCCTTGGATCTCCAAGATTGGCCACCCCGTTCTTACTGTGTCTGAGGAGCCTGGTCAGATCTCTGTCAAGCAGTCCCGATTCCTGTCCACTGGCGATGTTAAGCCCGAGGATGACACCACTACTTGGTGGGTTCCTCTTGGTCTGGAAGGCAAGAAGGATCACGCCGGTATCGCCTCTCTATCTCTTACCAGTAGGGAGGACACCATTCGTGATGTTGACGAGGACTTTTACAAGCTCAACAGCGGCGCCACTGGTTTCTACCGTGTCAACTACCCCCCTGAGCGTCTTGCTAAGCTGAGCACTCAGCTCGACAAGCTTAGCACCGAAGATAAGATTTCTATTATTGGTTCTACTGCTGACCTTGCCTTTGCTGGTAACGGCACCACCCCTGCTCTGCTGACCTTCCTCGAGGGCTTCGGTAAGGAGACCCACACTCTAGTCTGGCGCCAGGTCCTTGACTCCATTGGTGGCGTCAAGTCCGTCTTTGGCGAGGACGAGTCCATCAAGAAGGCCCTTGACAACTTCACCCTGAAGCTCATTGATGAGAAGGTCAAGGAGGTTGGATGGGAGTTCCCCGAGGGTGAGGACTACCTCACTGGCATCCTCCGAAAGGAGATTATCGGCGTTGCTGTTGCCAGCGGCCACCCTGCGTAAGTCTTGTATACCTTTGTATTTATGGTTATACTAACAGATGTAGTGTTACTGAGGAGGCCCTGAAGCGTTTCAATGCCTGGGTTGAGGACCCTGAGGCTAACCCCATTCCCGCTCCTCTCCGTGTTGCTGTCTGGCGCGCTGCCATTATCAAGGAGCCTACCCGCACTGTTGAAATCCTCAAGAAGGAATGGCTCAACACCAAGTCTATCGATGGAAAGCTTCTCTCCCTCAGTGTTCTCGGCACGGTCAAGGATACCGAGATCCTCAAGAAGGATGTCATTCCCTTCAACTTCAACCAGTCTCCTCCGTCCAACGCTGTCCCTGCTGGAGACATGCACGTTCTGGGTGGCTCTATTGCCAACAACGTCGTTGGCCGTCCCGTTCAGTGGCAATTCATGAAGGACAACTGGGATGCTGTTATTACCAAGCTCGGCAACCCTGTCGTTGTCGACCGATACATGAACCTCAGTCTGAGCCGCTTCACGGATGTGTCTGATGTCGAGGATATTGAGAAGTTCATGGCCGACAAGGACACCAGCAGCTTCAACCGTACTCTTGGTACCGTCAAGGACAAGATTCGCGGACGTGCTGCTTACCGCGAGCGTGACTCTGAGAAGCTCAAGGAGTGGCTCAGCGCCCATGGATATGCTTGACTGTGTAAACTATAAATATTATGAAATGAGCGGTGACTATATCACAAGAATTTCTGTTTAAATAAAAGTTAAATTCCTAAAGACATGGAAGTTGGATCTGGTGAACTGTGGACACTACGCTGACAAGACTTATACACAATCACTTTCGACTGACGATTAACGCAATAGCATTCGAGATGTGTCTTCAAATTGGGACCCACTCAGGAAAGAAATCCCCAAAACTCTACTGAACTTTGAAAGATATATTAAAGACAATATTTGTTGGTAAACGTTATTCCAGTTTTTTGAGTTAAGAACCACACTGAAACCTGACAGGTACGAATCTGACTGCCACCCTATACAGAATCCTCTTCTCGGCCAGTGTGAACAACGCAACGATCAAGACAATATAATACACATTTTGATTCCCTGCTTCCAACAATAACACGGGCGAGTCTTCAGATTCGTTTGACCCGGTCTGGTGGTCTAGTGGTATGATTCTCGCTTAGGGAAAACCCTATAGCATTGCTTGCGAGAGGTCCCGGGTTCAATCCCCGGCCAGACCCTTCCTTTTGCCCTGAGACATTCCTATGTATCTACGGAGCATTTCTTTTTTGCTCTTGAAACCGCACCTGTGCGTCTGTAATGGCGGTGGAAAATTGGCTGATTGAGTTTGGTTGACTTATGAGGCCGAGTATCAGAGCAATTAGTCACAGGACGCCTGAAAGAAATCAGTGGATCACTTAGACAGGGCTCTTAGGTTATTTATTTTTATATTCTAAAGCTTAGAAGTTGATTTTCCTATTATTCGGTAGGTCAGTTACTTAGTGACCTGTAGTATATGGTCAATTCTTAATCTACATGACCTAAAGCTAACTGCGTATAAGTTATAGAACGCCCTTTGGAGTACCAGTTTGCTACTGGTTCATTTTGAGATGCACTCAAGTATGTGAAGCCACTTTGTTTGTTAGAAATAGAGTCCAAGATCATTGGCATCAAATACAATTTAATTGACAACACACTCATTAACTACCCACAACTTATACAACTAAGACATTCGCATTCTCCGAAATAAACTTGTACGAATCTTGTCTAAAGTCGTCGTTGATAATGCTGTTCTTATTCGCCGTCTCGAACCACATGAGCTTCTTGCTCTCCTTCCACTCGGGCCACTTGGCATACGTGGTGATGCCCTTGTTGGGATCAAGGTTGTACAAAAAGTTGAAGTAGTACGTTCGGACACTTCGCATAGCGTTGTTGGGTAAAAGACCGTAAAACACTTGCAAAAGGTCGGAAGCATGGAATGTTCCGAGGACAGGTGTACCATAATTGTAGCTTGCGAGGTACGACCATGATGGAACGTCTGGGTTGCTATTGGCAGCAGCTTGGAGGAAGATGCGGCGGGTGAGGGAGACGACTAGATCGCCCAAGATGGCTGCACGGCGCTTGAAACCTGGGAAGATCTCGTTGAGTAAGGCTGTGCGGTAGGGACTGCCTGTGCTGAGGGTGGTGGGATATGTGTTGACCAGAGCAGTCACCTGCTGCTTTGTGGCTTTACTAAAGTACAGCTTCTGCAAGTAGTCGACCAGCCTGGATGTAGTAGTCACGTTGGGCTGGAACAGTGCGAAAAGTGTTCCTTCGTCCTCCTGACATCCGGTGATCATGGGCACTGCGTGGTATTGTCCTGTTGAAATAAGCACATCAGGGCTATCGGGTAGAACCTTGCCATCTGGTCGAGGAAGATAGGACAAAGCCAGAGAGTTGTATGACAGCAGTCCTGGGACGGAGTTTGCAGCGTTCAAGAACTTGTCATAGCTCAGGCCGCGCAGACATTCCAGAGTATCGGAAGCACCAGAACAACCTCCTGTCTTGACAACAGTGTCGTAGATAGCCTGTGCCTTGTTACTATCCACAGGCTCAGCCGGCACAATAGTGCCAGAGTTCATGATTGCGCCTCGGAAAAGGGACTTGCCCTTGTAGTTGGCATCACCACCGTAGAGAACCATCTGATCAAGCACAGAGATGGAACCTGCAGACTCTCCCCAGATAGTGACCTTTTCAGGATCACCACCAAAGGATGCGATATTGTCAGCAACCCACTCAAGTCCCATACGCTGGTCGAGGAGACCCAGGTTGGAGCTTCCATCCTTCTTAATCTCAGCACCAGGCATGAATCCGAAGCCAGCGACTCGGTAGTTGACAGCAACGTACACAAAAGGCTGCTTCTGATCTATGGCTGTGGACAAAAGGCTTGTACCGTCATACATAGCACTAGAGCCCAACTCGAAGCCACCACCAAAGATCCAGAAGAGAACAGGAAGCTTATCACCGGCTTTGGTACCAGCAGGACGCTGAACGGTAATGGTAAGGCAGTCCTCTTGGCCAGTGATGGGTGTCAGGAAGGGGATAGCCAGAAAGTCAGACAGAAACTCCGAGATGACATCCTGGCCACCAGTCGAGATGAACATCTGAGGACATGCTGGAGAATTAAGACCCGAAGCATCGAAAGTTCCCAGAGGCTTGGATAGTCTTTTGGGAGGTCTGAGACGTAGAGAACCAGTAGGTGGATCGGCGAAAGGGATGGCTCTGAAAGAATCAACCTTTCCAGAGCTGGATCCAACAACTGTGCCGGAAGGAACAGCAACGGTGACCTTGGCTGCTCGTTCTTCAACAGCTGGCGAAACAGGCGAGACAGGTGCAGCAGGTACAGGGTCAGGGATCGAGGCTGGAGCGGGAAAGGCAGCTGGGCTGGCAGATACAGCAGTCAAAAGACCAAGGCTGAGGCCGGAGACAAGACCAGAGAACTTCATTGTTAAGTTGAGTCAAGTCGAGATATCGACTCAAGCTTGATGGTGTTGAGTAGTAACAAAGACCGAACAGACACCAGAAGTATAAGTCTTGTTTGCTGAGATAGTTCCCAATGTCTCAGTCAAGACTGTAGATCATTGTCCCTCATGACAAGGTGGGAGACAAGCTCAATTTGAACTCGTATTTTTCCCATCTCATTTTGACAGTCCCGCATTCTCCATACGCATTACACTACCGCATTGACATGGTAGATAGTAAGAGCTTTGACATTGCTGTTCGGGGTTTCCCAGGAACCCATGGGCGACGTCGACTTTCGGCCATTGTACTCAGCATACTCTACTTTCAGAAGAGGAAGCCATCGCCGTTCATGGTTTTGATCTATCCCCAAAGAGTTCCCTTTCCCTTCCCCGCTTCCCCACGGGGGAGGAGGGGAGGAGGAGATATCAGATGCCGTCGCTTGAGCTGGGGTGTAGTATTGACGAGATCGATCGACTGACCGAGGCAAGGAAAAGAAAGTTCCTGTTTTTTGCTAGGAAACCCTGCCTGGGAGAATCACACGTGGGAATAGATATTCTGTGATGGAGGGAACGGGAAACGATCAGCTGGACGGGATGGCGTTTTGTTCTGGTTGGTGGAGATGTAATTAAAAAGGTTACATGGGATGAAAAGATGGTGGGGGGATATTTTCTATTTACCGAAGTATTCTATGGATATGTATGCTTCACTTCTTGTTTCTTCAACAACCTTGACCCTAGCCCTGCCCTGTCTAGAGTCCTTGCCCTGGTCTGCCGTTCACAGGACCATATTTTTAGGTCCCCAACACCCGAGACAGCATGTCTGTATGTATAAAAGAAATAATAACGCGGGGTTGATAACTAAATGTCGGTCTAGAAATATAATATCTTGTCTCTTATTATCAAGGTAAATGATTGAATTGTAAGCATTGCAAATAGATAATCGAGTCTTGTCCAGATCCAGCAACGTCATTATACAGGTATACCCCAGCTTCTCAAGCGGTAGAAACAAAGCAATCCCTGCAACAGAAAACACCCGGTGACAACGGGCAGTTTTCCTGATCTGTACAGAAAGACGAAGAGGTTCAGCCTTATTTACCTAATTCATCAATTAAGAAAGGAAAGAAAAAAGTAATGTTTGCGATAGAGTTATCTGTCACAACAACAGAAGAGATAGAAACCTCACATGCACACTTGACCTTAACCAAGAGTGAGATCGTCAAGACCGAGATTGATAACTAAACCAAACTAAAAACTCGTACCTGAACTTCCCCTCTCTCTAGACCCAATACGCAGATGATCGCACAGCCAAGAAGGAGAAGCAACCCTCAGACCTCTCAGCTTGTTCCGTGTTGTCACCCTCACGTATAAACAAACTCTCCGTCATCCAAAATAGGAAGCCGTTACGATTGAATTCCCTAAAGTGACTTGATTATGTATGTGCTTTATGCAGGTGAAAACAGACCAGATCAAGCTGCTTACTGAACTCTATCATCTCCGCTTCCCGTAAGTAACGCATCTGTAAAGATGGTGTAGTCGTGGTGTATCCCGAGGTTCGGACGATATCCGTTCAAGTTGTAAAGAGAATAACTAGACATGTGTTTCTCCCAAGAGCTATATGCTCGTGAGATCGACTTGACTATGGAAGTAACGACATCCCCATAGCGACATCAAACAGCACACCAAGTCAAGGCCAAGTATAATGTTCGTCAATTCGTCAAGTTTCTAGCCATTTGCCTTTCCAGGCCAAAATCCAACAATATGATAACTACACGCTGTCTTACAAACCCCATATAAAGTCCCGTCATCAAAGGTGAAGCCCAATGATCTCGCCCATTACCCAGTAACCTTTTGCGCCGTTGCCAGCTACCATGTATGCCTCGGAGGCAGATGGAGTCTTGATGGAAATTCCATAGGCCGCCCGACCAATGTATCATAGTGTATGCGTGTCCTGTTGCTCCCAAACACCAAAAATGGGTATCTAATACCGATTCATATCATGCGTCGCTTGTAATCATCTCTCACATCACCATGCCCACCGGCTTGCCTTCTTTCAGACATCGCTTCTTTGGTGGGGTCATTTCCTCCGTTGTCTCTTCTTCAAAGCTGCTGTTGACACAGGCCTCCCGCTTGCGCTTTTCACCGCCAGGTCTCTCGGGATCCTTTTCCCAAGTCTCTATCTCATCTGGGTTGAAAGAACCAACAATCTCTTGACCCAAAGCCTTACCAAGTCGTTCCCGTAGACCTAGAATTGGCCAGATGGGAACCCTTGTGTATTCGATCTTGATGCCCGAAACAATAGCGTTGTCATCGTTGAGCGGAGCCTTGAAAGGATCATGGAACTTTTCCAAAAATTCCTTGGTTATGTAACCAGTGTGGACAATGAACTCAGCCGTCGCCGTATCATGAGTGAGGATCTTCAACTTGAGATCGTGGAAGTTGGGGCATGGCGGGATGCCTTGTTCCGGTGACATGCGCGAGTCGCGTCTGCCAGTATGAGGTGGGGAAGGGTAAAAGTGCTTCTGCGCCATTCCTAGAAAGACACCCACAAAATGCGCATCATGATCCGAATTTGATGGAACAAGCATGCGAGCTCGGAGCTGTTGGAGGCGAAACACAGGCTCGTTCCATGACCTTCCCGGACCAGATGCGATACGGAAAAGGTTGTTTCGCACTGACGCCAGTTGGGTCTTACCAATGTAGCAGATCATGGGCATATTAGCGGGGCTCTGGTTGGGTGATGACTGTGTTGAGATGTTGAAGGACTCGGCAGGTCGCGTTGAGACTGATTTGAAAGATGTGTATGGAGACTTTGTCTCGTCGGCAGGGAAGTTCCATAGTATTTGTGCGCGCACAGCATCACGATAAACGCGACCACCAAAGTATAGATTTAATTCAGGTAGAAACTGCGTCTTGCCGAAGGCGTTGGGCCACATTACCGTCATAACCGTCTTGACAGCATTGGAGGCAAGGAGGGGATGCATCGAATCGGGCAAAAGAATCTGTGTAAGCGCGTTGCTGATAGTCATGATGGTATTCGATGGGTCGAGATGACCTCGCGATGGTGGCGTACCCGGGGCCGCTGCAGGCTGAGGGGTATCGCATGGTGGTTGTTCCTCCCATCGCGCGCCGAGAAGTTGAGCATGTTGATCGGTCCAGCAAATAGGTCTCACGAAAAGCATTGTACCTGCGTGCTGCTGGAAGATGTCGTAGAGGGAGTTCTTGGCTGGCCGGTAGATGCGCTGCGGGCGCCTTTTGCGTGGGGTGACCACGGGCTGTTGCGACGTGCAAGGCGTTGTGTCGGGCGAAGCATGGTTTTTATTGGCGTTGCGCGACGGCGTCGTCGAAGTAGAATGTTGTGACATGGCCATGTCCACCAAACTGTGAAGCTGTCGATGAAGCTGCCTTTTCCAAAAAGAGAAGAACTGTCGCGCAAAAAAAAGAGGATTGATTTAGTGGGGGTGTTCTTTGTCTCGTTGATGTAAGAGGAAGAATGATGGAAAAATCAGTCAAATGCAAGTCACTCAATATATGTGGCTGATTGATTTGAGTTGAGTTTGAATTTGCCTCCCGTGAATGACTCTTTGTTGTTTGGGTTTTGTTTTTGGTTTGGTTGCCTGAACCCAGATGTTTCTCTCAGGGAACTGGACTTGGACTTGGACTTGTCCTTTGCGACGCGACTGCCCTGATTGTAATGATGCCCTGTTTAACAAGACAAGCTCTCGCTAGTGGATGGCACGAGCGTCGCCCTTGTCAATGATTGACGAAAAAAGTAAAAAAAGGGGTTCTTAGAGGCTAAGCGTCTTCTGGGCAGTGACCAATAAGAAGCCAGCTGGAAGAAGAGAAAGGCAACTGAAGAAAGGCGACTGCAGAAAGTGTTTGCCTTTTTACTATGGGAGGATGGTAAAAAGCAAACCACAGTCACAAAGAGTGAGGGGGGAAGAGGAAAAGAAAAAGAAGTATCGGTGACACTGAATGACACACACTTAAACCTAGAGCGGGTCAGATTCCGGTTCTGCCTTTCTCCTCTGAGCAAGGCTTCACTCTCTTAGGCTGAGTACAGCAAAGATAGTGGATACGAAATGGAGGTGTAGCAAAACTTCTGCACGAGGGACGAGGGTAAAAGCGCGTTGCCACCGTGATTCGTCTTGGATAGAATCGGCGCGAATGAGTAGCGAGTTCACGTGAGGTCTTAGGCAACAATCGTCATCTTGGCAGACGTGGCAGTACATGAAAGCTGCGCCACATGATAGCGGTGTGGCCTGACCAAAAAACAAGGCATCAACTTTTGCTCAGCCTGGCCTTCTAGTTGCTTGCCCCACATGCAATTGGACAGCTTCCTAACCAGCAAGCAGCAGCTTGATGCAGCCCCGCCGGTGACGAAGCAAGCGCAACACTCACCATCAGAGCTACATTGCGCCGATTTGTCTATTTCTCCTCCAAAATAGCTTTGATATATTGGTGTTAGACAATTGATTGCTATTCAAAATGCCGGTATGTTTATAACTCTACAATCATCACAAGCAACCACACACTCGTTCTCCTATTGCATCACCACCGCCTCCAATCTCACGGTATCAACGAAGCTAACCATGCTTCCCTCTAGGCATACAACTCCGTCTTTAACTCGGACCCTAATGTCCCCCGTATAATCGGCAATTTCCCTCTTCTTCCTCTCCGAACCAAGACCCGTGGACCTGCCTACACCCTGCCTGCCCCCTCGCCGCCTCTGCCGGCTCACGAGTCACCCGACCCCGACAGCGACAGCTACGATATCCTTGACGAGGTCCTCGCCCTCTTCCGCGCCAACACATTCTTCCGAAACTTTGAGATCCAAGGCCCTGCCGACCGTCTGCTCGTCTATGGAATCTGGTTCGTCAGCGATTGTCTGACCAAGATCCGCCCTCACGCTTCTCTGCGTGATGCCCAGAAGGATGTCATGAACCTGGCGCTTGACCTTAACTTTGCCATTCCCGGTGACCCAGGATGGCCTCTTAACCAGGTACGTGCGCCAAAATTACCTGGAACCATTGAGGAAAACAACAAGGCATGGCTTGCATTGCTAACACTTTATATCAGATGTACGAGGCCCCCAAGGACAGACAAGAGGCGGAGCAGCTCAAGCAATACATGTCGCAGGTTCGACAGGAGCTTGCTGCCCGATTACTCGCTAGGGTATACGATGGGGATGAGACCAAGCCCAGCAAGTGGTGGTTGAGCTTTACCAAGAGAAAGTTTATGGGCAAGTCGCTGTAGAATGTTGGCAACGATTGCGGCGAAGTGAACATATTTAGAAGACAACCATGATACAAATGTTGAGGAGCTGGCGCCATACAAAATATATTTTCCAGTACTTACACATATTTCTTTGTCTTTGTGTGTAAGGTAAGAGGGAGGGGAGGGGAGGTGAGTAAGAGAATGACAGAGAAGGTCTAATTGACCTGATGAGAAGGAGATAACAGGAGCCGGAAGTCAAGACAGGTTCAGCAGGACCACTTACCTAAGCCTAAGAGCCACTTTATGTCACTTTGAACCCTCTCTTAGGCTATTTAGGTATGTCCTGTACCTGCCTATCCTAAGTTTGGTCTCAAGGGCAGGTAGGTAGGATGATATCAAATAACGAGGCGGATACAATAGTATCCAGGACTTGACTCCTCTATCTTCCGTCTTCCATCTTCTATCAGCATAAACATTTACATCAAACCTCATTTTATGCAAAGCCCCCACAAGATGTCCACGCCAATAGAGATCGGCGAAGAGGAGTGGCAGGATTTGAAGGAGGAGATGTCATATTCCACACCAACAACACCATGTGCGCTTGTATCTGAATGGGTACAAGAACTCCAAAAGTTTTACCGTGACCACCTCTTTGGGTATCCAATGAAAAATCACGAAGAGAATCGCGTCTTCTCCCCCAGGCATGACGTCTGCTGCGTTCATGTCCCAGACGACGGTTATGTTCCTTTCTCGAAAGCCAAAGACGACGTCGAGATTGTCAACAGTGCTGCCTTCATGAAAATGTCTGTCAAAAGATATCTCGTGACGCGGGTTCGCTTCATTTTCCAGAGCGCTTATTCTCTCAATGAGTTTGCCAAAACGCTGCCTGGCCGCTTTCATACCACAACAATCAATCTCGAACTACAAGCCTTCCACTCAGACGTGTTTCCCGCCGGCCCTGAAGGGCATCGTGATTTACAAGAAGAACAAGAAAAAGCACGTCAACATCTGGCAGAATGGATGAAAGCGATGAAAGCACTTCCCCCACGATTGTATTTGGAAGTCAGGCTAATAATACCTTCTTTCCATCGAGGTCACTTCGACCTTAACCGCGAAACAGAAGAATTTCGAAGTGGACGTTTGGGACGGCTGGACAAACTGAAGGTTTTATGGATTGGGGCGAACGGCGAAAATCGCTTTTTAAGATTTTATGATGATTACGGCCAAAAAGGTGGAAACATTAGTCTAAATGGAAAGCTAAGTCTCTCCGAAGAAAGAGGATAAAACACAAAATTATGGGAAATGCGTGCATGGAGTTGGTCGGGACCTTTATAGCCAAGTTTATGAGAGCAGACTCGGTCGTGGGTTATTATTCAACAGATGCGCTATGAGACTATCTTTAATCAAAATGCCATCACCTCAAGATGTTTCTACCTTTCTTCGCTTGAATCTGCCTCTTGCTTCAATTTTGCCCTCCACCGGCACCGCTCTCCATGCCGTCAACAGGAACCCGTCCGCACCGCCACGTCCCGTCATAAAGGGATGTGTTCGACCAGGGAGAACCTGCCATCGTCGTGCCCTGCTGCTCTGGATAGTCACACCGAGCAGAAGTGTGGGGTTGATGGGGAACTCTTCAGAACCCTCCCAGCGCTCGAGCTCCTCTGCAGTCTTGGATTCCACTTCTGCCGGGGGCGATGATACCCATGCGGCTCGGCGGGCAACGCTAAAGCAGTCGGCGAGTTCCGTCAGGGGCTCGATGCTGGGGGAGTATATGGCGATGGGGGCGCCGCCTGATAATAGGGGTACGGTGCTGCGAACGATGGAGATAGGGTCCATGCTACTTGCGACTGCGAGACCTGAGAAACCTCCAGCACGCGTTGTATCAACAACATGACGAATACGGGCCCATCTTCTTCTCTTGCGGTGGTAGTTTCCTCTACGGTTCGTCTTCCAGCTAGCGATCTCTTCGGGGGTGGCCTCAGGGGGCTTGTTGTTATAAGCGTCGTCTTCCTCAGGGGCTAGAAGCTGTAGCCAGGAAATGTCCATGAGGTTGGTATCGAGTGGGTGGTAAGGAGGTGAAGGGTTGGCGTTGGCGGCGTCATAGTTGAAGTATCGGAGAAGAGCGAGGTTGGGCTGGGTCTGGCCATGGATCATGGTGAGGGTGTTTTTGTTGACGTAGGGGACGTTGAAATCGCTTCGTTTGGGATGTCGCTTCCTCTCCTGCTTTTGCTCTGTGGGATTTGTAGCTTCTGATGTTTGGGCTTGATCCTTCTCCGTCACATCTGTAGCAGTGGTGTCCTCGATTGCCTCTGGTTCGGGCTTGGGATGAAGAATATCCATTCTCTCGGCTAGAGAAGCAACGAGTAAGCCACCCGTGTCGTCGACAACTAACCATCTTCCACCTTGCGACGCGTTGGAATCTTCTGAGGGAACACCACTGAAGTGAACGTCTGCCCAGCATCCCACCAGCCCCATCATCTCTTGCCTCATCTCGAGAATCTTGGAAGCATCGCGATCCTCTAATAGCCACTGCGCCAGCATCGGTACGTCGAGAGGTAGCACAGTAAATCGTCGAATGTACTTTTTCGTCTTGAGCAACTTGTACTTGGCCAAAGAATACGCCGTTTTTTGGTCAATCGCCGTATGCGAGAGGAGTAGCTTGGCGATCAGCTCCTTGCCAGCCGATGCGCCCTTGCGCTTGAGTTCCTCAATCTCTTCGGGCTTGAGCGTCTGTCGTGCCGAGTCGTCAATGATCTCGCGATTCGATCGGATAAGGACCTTGCCGCTCTCGTCGACGAGGGTAAGCTCCTCTCCATCTGCAGCGGCAATAACATCGTCGCCTTCGGCAGGCTCTGTCGCTTCCTTGTTGGCGTCGGCCAAATCGTCGGCGTTGAGCTCCTTGGCAGGGACAACGCGGAGTCGCGAGAATGTCTCGCCTTCGAGCCTATCTTGAACTTCGTACGTAAAGTGGAACGGGCGATTGATGATCAAATTCGTGGGGAACGAGCCGTATTTGCCCAGGGAAATGGTACTGTCGCAAAAGTTAGTTGCTGCGCAGAGTGCAAGAGACTGAATTGGCTTACGTATTTGGCACAACTTGAAATACTTTGTATGTCTCATTTGGAAGCCGTACGGCGATCCATGAGTTGGGCTGTACCGTCTCTTTATCCATCTTGTGACAATTATGTATGAGCAGGTTGAGATTGAAGTTTGGTTTGCGATTCTTTAAAAAGAAAAAACTAAGGTTGAGCCACTCACCTCGGTGAGCCCCGCCACGGCCCCCACACTCCGATCTTCACCGAGATCTTAGACTTCTCACCTTGGCCGAGTAAATTATTGGAAAAAGTTGGTCGAGGAAGGGTAAGAGACGAAATGCATAATTCAGTTTATGCTATTTAGACCAGTATCTTAGGTTATTTATTTCTATGGCCCAAACCTTAGGGGTCAACTTTTCTTGTGTAGTATAGAATAAGTTTACAAGTGGTAGTAGAACATATTTTGTCTGGTCTACTATTAGTTGTCAAGTCCATAATTTCGGCACTCTATAATATCGGCCAAAGGAGCAAGAGACTTTTTTCTTTTTACACTATCATGTCAGAACTATTTACACTTCCAATAGTGTACAAATCCATGTTACCACAGCTGCCACAGCTACGTGATTACAATGTTTGTCTTCCTAACTTCAAGGAATACAAACGGTAGCTCCAAAACCTCAGTACCCTCCTCGAGTTCCACGCAGGATATACCTCTAGAATCGGCCTCCGATACTGGACCAAAAAATATGTACTCATTGCCAGAGTCAAAAATAACGAGGCTCCAAATTCGCTTACTTGCGGGTCTTCGAGGTACCAGCCTCGGACCGTCGACCAAAAAATGATGCCAAAAGGTCGCAGATGGCGTACCAAGCATAGAGAGTCATGCTCATGGTTCCAAAAACGAAAAAAGGTACGAGAGTGTACGTTGCAAGATCTAAAAGTCAGTTAGAATTGTCTCGACAGAGAAGCTGTATCACTCACAAACAAAACCACCAGAGCGCTTGACCACGTTGAACAGCTCATTGCGCATGATACTTTCAGCACCGTCGTTCCACTTCCAAGGACCGACGAGTCGGAATTTGGTGTTAAAGTTGGATCCCATGGCCCAGGTGTAAAAGACCTTGAAGCCCTTCTTCATTACGGTCCAGGCGCGAGGAGCAGAACCCATGTCGAGCGCAAGCTGGTAGGCATAGCTCTCGTGGTCAACACCTCGCTTGGTATCCCAAAAACTGTAGTTGCCCCTGGCATGAAGCTCGTAATCAAGTTCGTAGGGCTCAAGAGCGTCGGAGTCGCGAATAGATGGCACTTCCTTCGGGTAGCGGTCCTGCAGCAGGCGTAGAACCCAGAGCTGGGCCTGGAGCTCTGCAAGGGGAGGGATAGCACCTATACATGTTAGTCTACTTCATGGCAGTATTCAGGGGACTTACCTATCGCAGGGCGAATGAATCCAATGTAGCCAATCGTTACATCTCCTTCATTGTAGATACCTCGGACGTTGGTCTGCGAGACACTCGGGTACTCCTTATCCAAAAACGGGAAATCGCGGGTAAAACCCGTAGCAAAAACCAATACGTCGGGCTTGCGCTGCTCTGTTGGGATGATCGAGTCGCTTGGGAGTGTCTTACCGAAGTTCATCAAGCCGTCGCTGTCGATTTTCTCAGGCCAGCTCACCACATCAATCTTCTTGCCTTCTGTGTCCTTGATCTCAACGTTTATGTAGGCGGATCGAACACGGTTAGCCCAGGACTTGGATCGCTTGCCAACGTTCATGTAAGGGAGAGCTTTGTCGCTCTTGCAAAGAAGAACTATCCATGTCAGCTATCACATTCGTTGACGGAGAAGAGGAAAACTTACTGGAGTCTGCGTACTTTCGGGAAGGACTCATTTGGCCAACCCACTGGTCGGGTCCCTCCTCGGTGCCAGAAATGAAAGTATGCATGTTTTTAACCCAAGCGTCATAATAGTTCCAAAGAAGTTGGCTGTTCTGAAGCTTGGGGTGAACATAGGCTGTATCGAACAAGCTTGCAACCGAAGTATCCACGGGCTTGTTCGGAACAGTAGACGAAGGTGAGCTACCCCTAACCCGGGGAATCGGGATGATCTATATAATTTTAGCAGGTTGTTCGAGAGGTAAGGATAGAGAACATACCTTAGGTGCACAAAAGAAACCATCGCGGTGACAAAGAGTGACAGTCTTGGCAGCCGAAGTCACAGCAAGATACGCAAGATCCATGCCAGTTTCGCCGGCACCCATGATGTAAACATTGGTGTTTTCTCCAAACTGGGCTCGAGTCTTGAGTCGAGATGAGTGGAGGACAGTTTCAACTCGCTCGATGCCTTCAATGTAGGGCATGACTGGGTTGACGTTGATGCCGCTACAGACAGCTACGGCGTCGCACTTCCACTGGAAGGGGCCAGACTCCTGAGTCAAGTCAAGAACGTGGCCGATGTTGCCCTTTCCACGACGGACTTTGCCAACCTTGGTGTTACACTCGATCATAGGCCAAAGATCAAAGTGAGTAGCGTAGTCCTTGAGATACTTAACGTAGGCTTCCGGGGTGACGAAGTCAGGGGCATCCTTTGGGAGACGGAAATCAGAAAATGCAGTCAAAAACTTTGATGATACCAGCTGCCAGGGAGTTAGCCACTGCATGATTACTAGGTGGGATTAAGAGCTTGCCTCGGCGTCTTCATACACGCGATAGGCGAAAGTGCCTCCGATCTGGGATTCGGCTTCAAAGAGGCGGACCTCGATAGGCGGGATAGGGAAATACTCGTGAGCGTGAGCGAGGAATCGAAGAGTGGCCAGACCAGCTGGACCGCCGCCGATGATGGCGACTTTCATGATGTCCTTGATCGTCGCTAGTAATAATAGAAAGATTTCCAAAAAGTTCCAAAAAAGGGAGTTGGCTGGTAATCAAGAAATATTAAATGAGCAAGAAATAAGTATATTGAGGTGAGGAAGAAGAATAAAAATAAAAACAAAAATAGAAGACGAGATGTACCAACACATCGTTAGCGTGTTAACAAATGGATACCTAGTCATCAAAAGTGAATGCAGATTCTGGCACTGCTTTGGCAGCTGACAGAATAAGGAACATGCACTGCTACTCTGACGTTCCATCGGGCTGAGCAATAAATAGTAAGCCGCAGCCGTAAGATGCATCCTTTAATAATTAGTCCGATGTTTTTAGTATTTACAGCCAAGATTGGTAGGTGACAAAAAATTGCGCAGTCTCATCATCCAAAAGTGAGGTTATCGTCAATTCTGAGGAACAGTGTGGACTCACATGGCAAACGGTCTTGACGGCATGCACCAATCTATCGCACACATATATCCTACTGGGTTCTTGTTTTAGGTAGTTAATTGGCAGAAATTAACTTACAATTAAATTGCATCTGTTATATTCAATCTCTGTGGCAATGAACAAATCCTCCACGGAAGACCAATTGCACACCGTACCCATTACTTCTGAAATAGCAGAAATAAGGCCCTAAGCTTAGGATACAGAAGATAAGGACCCTGGGATCTGTTATATAATTACATAAAGTGACTAGATTACTTATCTCTTATGCAAGTAGTGTTGAGGTTTCTACAATCGCGAGTCACAATATACCTACAGTAACGTCTCGAGAGCCTGGGCGATTCTGCGTATTGACCTACCAGATGATAAGTTTAGTATATCGGCCAGTCAGTCACTGCAAATATCATGTTTCCGCGTTTATTTTTTATTTCCAGTTCCCAGTCGATTATTTACCGGTAATTATTTTGAGGATTTGAAGTCGAAAGCCTTTTTGACAAAAGGATGTAGAGAGCTCAGGCAGAATAACCACAGTTGATGAAGCAATAATACAGGAAATCTATAAAGGTTGAACTCTAACCAACGAAAAACTCTTGCGTCTTCTCATTATTCCAACGGCTTCATCAATTACTCGTCTGTTCGCCAGGAGGAGGGATCAACTACAACATGGCTCGAATAAACTTCCAGCATCTTGGTTACGATAAGACTAAAAGGCTCATCTGTGAATTTGTTCATTATCCTTGTCTTAGTCTTAGAACTCGATACCATCACTGTTAAGATGGCCATGTTCAGGGTTAACCACATAGTCCTGAGCAAAGACTCAGGCGTTTTTTTTTTCGCCCGTGGAACTCCTTTTCCTCATTGTACGCTTAGAAACGCAAATACTCACCCCGTTTTTGCATTGAGACCACGCTGCGTTTGGCGAACTGGCTGAGACTTTTTCGCTGGTGGAACATGCTTGTTCTACGCAATAATTGACCGATTTGTCCAACTGCACTCTACGGTGGCTTTCCACTTCGGTCCTACAATATTGTGCTCGCCATAGCCTTCGAACATCTCACCTGCAGGCCTGAGTTGTTCGATGGTTTCTCGGCTAGATGGCATCTAGTAATTGGTCTGGTATGAGGGGTTGTTCAAAGAGCCATGTGCGTGTTGCGCCCGTGGTGAAGCATATTGACCTCTCCTGGTGGTGGAACATTTTTTATTCGGAGTGACTTTCGTATCCCCAATACTCCAGCTGATATGTGGTCGTAACCCCTTTCTCTCCTATTCTAATACAGCAGGGTTCCTATATCGTGTCAACACTCAGTCTTCCAAATGACTCCCGCTTCGCATTAACCTTGGTATCGATAGAAAGATGTCTAATCTATTGAGTTCACGTGTAGAGTTCTTGTTGCAACGACATTTCAACGTCATGCGCGTGTATGCCTCACTTCGGCGATACTTTGACCCTTTTGACGCCGCTGTATCGGTTATTGCCGTTGGAACTCAATTGGCCAGAACTTATCATCATATAGGTATGATTGTGATATTCAGTCTTTCAAAGATGCCCAACATATTCACTCCACACTGCAGCCTCAGGAATCAAGGCTGGGATGCATCCGAAGAGAAGGAGCATCATCCGATGCCGCCCGTCTCAACTCTCATCCAATATCGTTGGCATTCTAGTGGTTCATCTTCTACAATCAAAAAGTACCCCATGCCTCTCCTCTCAGAATTAAGTCTTGAACCGGACCGAAGACGCCATCGGACGAGGTGAAGTTCATCGCGCATCAGAAATCTCCCCCTCATTGACCAACTCGCAGTTCGCCCCAACAATCTTTCCCCCACATTTACTACCAAAGGTCCAATACCTTAATTCCATGAAGCTCACCTACGCCGCTTGCCGTTCGACATTGATTGGGATAAGAGCTGAAAGACGGGGACTAGACCTTTTGAGAAAGCTTGGGAGAGCTTCTAAAGTCTATCTCCTGGCGTGGTACGATATCCTCAAGAACATCTCCGCCATAGCCACGGGATCTTCTGAAAGCCTCGTGGAGGTTATTCCCCAGTGGAGAACTTTCAGCCTGTCTAATTCTATGATGAGGGAACTGGAAGAGTGAAGCAAGTCATGCAGGACATGTCTGCATATTATTGGCTCTACCATGGCCTTTTGCATCATTCGGTCACTAAAAGCTCTTGCGTGCTGATCATGCGAATTCCTCTTTCAAGCCGTTCCTTTGTTGAATCTGCTGCTCTTAGTTCACAATGGACTCTGATCTGAGCATCGTCAATGTCATGATATCCTCATTTCTCCCTCTTCCCAAACTATGGCTTGTTATCCTCCGAATCTGAAAACTTTGAATGCAGCCACAGGCACTCCTTGGGCTCCAACCTCCTCCCAACATGTTTACGGGGTGATATGGGCAGGATCAATCTCAAGAATCATAGATACAAAAGACCAAGACCATCCCGAAGAATGTCTCATCCCAAACCGATCAAGTTCGCACCTCATTCGTTACCTCTCTAATCTGCTATCTACCAGAAAGCAGAGATGAGAACGTCCCTCTTTTACGCCCTTAACAGCGCTCTTGGGGCAGTAGCTCACGAGTCGCTTGCATACTTCAAGATCGACTCCGGAAAGGAAGAGCGTCGCTCCCTTGACGGCTGTGGAAAGTATGGCAAGCACAAGTGGGTTCCTGACCCTTCCACATTTGTTTTCCCCCAGAACGATTACAAGCCTGGAAACTCCTGGGATCTCTGTGTTGACTCAGCTCACTGTGCTCCTCACGAGGCTTTGAGCAAGGTCAACTTTGATTTCAAGGACAACGCCATTGTCTTCAACTTCAAGCACATCGAGCACTACAAGTACGAAGATGTAGTCGTCTATGTCGAGCGTGGTAAGCCTCCTACAGAGTACTCCCAGAAGTACAGCAAGGAGAGCGACCACTGCAAGATCGTTGATGACTACAAAAAGGCCAAGTGTCACATTCCTTACTTCTCACTGACTGATGGTGGTTCATACGACGAACTTTGCCCCATCAAGGACAACGGCGGCTGGAGGCTTTACATCAAGATCAAGGCCAAGATCTCCCACGGTTACAAGAAATACGGTCTCTACAGCCGTGCTGGCGACATCCACGAGAAGTACTTCACTCTTAGCTACACTTGTGCTGAGTGTAAGGAGTAAGTATCATTCGCAGCCACTCTCTATACCTGGTGCTGACACTATTTAGATACAAGCACAAGGAAGGTAAGTACGAGGTGGTCGAGGAAGTCAAGGACTTTCCCGAGGAGGAGAAGAAGAAGTACGATGATTATGAAGAGGAAGGAAAGGAGAAGTACTACTCCCCAACACAAGGCTTGGCTTCACAAGCGCTAACTTATATCCCAGGTACAAGCGCGGAGACGAGGAGAAGGATTACAAGGAGAAGGAGAAGGAGAAGGAATTCCGTCATGAGCATCACCACAAGCATCACCACCACCATGGTCACGAGCACGAGCACAAGCACGGCCATAAGCACGGTCATCTTCATGGTCACCTTCATAAGGAGCATCACTACAATCATCACGACAAGTATCACGGCTACGGTAAGGATCATGAGCACAAGGACTACGAGCACAAGCATCATGATCCCCACTACCTTCACGAACATAAGGATTACAAGCATGGCGATCATGGCGATCATGCTCATCATGCTCATCACTATGATGAGCATAAGCATTATGACCATCATGATCCCGGCTACCACCACCATGATGACTACAAGCACCACGAGTACTATGATCCCAGCCGTCACCATGATCACGATAGCTTCTTGAACGATTTCTTCAAGAAGTACGGACACTACGATTATCACCATGGAAAGCACCATTACGAGCATCACGATGGATACCATCACCACCATGCTCGTGATTTAGCTGATGAGACCAAGGATGAGTCAGTCAAGAAGAGTGAAAAGGGTGAATACAAGCATGACGAGCACAAGCAGCACAAGCATGGCCACCATCATGGTCACTACCACGCCCATGACCATGATCATCACCACAAGCATCGTCACAGCCATCATGATTATCACCACTACGAACATTACGATCCTGGCTACCATCATGATCACAAGCACCACGACCACGATCACAAGCACTACGGTCACAAGCACTACGGTCATCATGATGAGCATCACAAGCACTACGAGCACCACAAGCACTATGAGGATCACGACCCTAGTTACCATCACGAGCACCACAAGCACTACGAGCATCATCATGGTGACAAGCATGGCAACTACAAGCACCACAACAAGCGATCCGAGGAGTACCATGACAAGCACCACAACAAGCATTACGAAGAGCCTGTCACCGTCTACTACAAGGAGAAGGCTGAGGATGTCAATGCCAAGGCGAACCATGTGATTTACGAGAAGGTCCAAAAGCACGAGATCCCTGCCCACATCTACAAGAAGCTTGCGGAAGCCAAGAAGCACCACTACGATCATGAGCATGAGAAGAAGCATGGTCACGAGCACAAGCATGGTAATGATGATCACAAGCATGCTGAGGAGCAGTACTACCAGAAGAAACTCGCCGAAGCCAAGCTCGCTAAGGCCATAAAGGAGTACCGCGCGATTCACTATGGAAAGCAGCACAACGAGCCCGAGTACAGGGAGTATCAGCATGAGAACTACGAGAACAAGTACTACAAGCCCGAGGTGAAGCATCATTTCAACCACTACTTCCAGAAGATTGAGCCCAAGGAGAAGCACCACTACGGCCACCATGAGTACAAGCAACATGGCCCCAAGGTGTACTACGAGCTCAACAAGTACGGACACGAGAACAAGCACAAGCACCACGAAAAGTACAAGGAGTACGAGCCCGAGAAGTACAATCACGGTCATTACAAGTACAAGCAGCATGAGTACAAGAAGCCTCATCACGAGTCAGACCTCTACCGCGACAAAAAGGAATTCCTGAAGAATTACAAATATGATGGCGAAAACATTCATACCGTTTGGGAGAAGCTCTACAAGGCCAAGGTAGAGAAGGAGCAAAAGCACAAGCAAAAGACTTACGAGGCTCATGTTGGCAAGCGCCCTGCTTTCTACAAATATTCCAACGTCAAGCGCGCGGCTTTGCCCAATTCCTACCACGGAGACGAGGTAGTAGAGATTGACATTGCCGAGGTCGAGAAGTACATTGAGAAGTCTGAGTATAAAATCAACGAAGGCATCAGCAAGGCCATCTACAAGGCCATCAACTCTGCTGGCGATGATCCCTCTACTGGCACCATCATCAAGTTTTACAACAAGGTTGAGGCTGCCATCAAGTACATCGTCTCCAAGAACCTCAAGAAGGCTGTTGCCCACATTGCTGAGATCGACGGTGCCAAAGAGCCCGTTGCTGATGAGGTTGTCAAGTACATCTACAAGGCTGTCAAGCATATCCTCGACGCTGCTGACAAGATCTTCACAAAGGGCATTGACGCTCTCGGTGAGGACCCTACTAAGAAGGAGGTTGAGTACGCTATCGCCAAGGTTGAGAAGCTTCTCGCCAGGGTTGTCGAAAAGTACGTCCGAGAGGCTATCGTTGAAATCTTTGATCTGGAATACGTGACTGAGAATTCTTATGGCGAGTATGAGAAGTACGACAAGCGTCAGGTGGCCGACGTTCAGAACGTTACAGCATCCGCTAGCAACACCACCACTACCAATTCCACTGCCCAGGCTACTACTGCTATCGGTACAAAGCCTGCCAACCGATTCATGAGACTGTTTATGCGCCAAGTCTCTCAGAACGCTACTCAATCTGTCAACACCACTGCCCAGGCTGTCAACGTCACTGAGACCCAGACCCTGATGAGGTTCATGAGACGCCAGGCTCAGAACGCTACCGATGCCGCGGTCAATGCCACGGCCCAAGCCGTCGCCGATGTCAACCAAGCTCTCAACACCACCTCTCAAGCTGTCAAGGTCACCCAGGCTCAAAACACTAAGCGTACTGAGGTCTACAGCGATTCAAAGATTGAGAAGGTTGTGGAAAAGGCTGCTGAGAAGGCTGCCAACAAGCTCCTTAAGAAGATCGATGGGGAAGACAAGCTCAGTGCGAAGCGAGATACCAAGCAATCGAAGCGTGCCAAGTTCTACAACGGATACGTTCCCGAGTGCAAAGGTAAGATCGTCAAGGCTTACGGCATCGATGGTCTACACTCTGCTCCCTTGAAGGATCTTGCCTCGGACACGCACCCCAACACATGCCATGACCACCAAGGTGATTATATTCTCTACAGCTACGAGGAGCTCAAGAACACCGTCTATGGCAAGCTCTACGAGCCTCACGGTGGGGATACCAAGTTCGGCGACTTCTTCATCGAGTTGGTCAAGTCCCATGACGGCTATGGCAAGGAGATTGTTGTCTCGCTCGATGTCTCAGATAAGTACCAGTTTGAGGCTACTGAGGCCAAGGTGTTTATCGGCTGCACTCCAGGTTCCGATGACAAGTTTAACGAGAACATCTGCTCCGAGAAGACATATCCTTACCTGGCTGTTGCTGAGAAGAGACTTAACGAGTTTGTCTTTGCTATCCCCGACAAGTACCATTGCAGCGAGTACTTCGTTGCCATTGTCGTTGATTTCTGCGACGCCAAGTACTCTTCATAAGTTATCGGATTTGGATAGTTGTTTAACCCGGGGGTTGATCCAGGCGCAGTACTTGTACAGTGTCCCAACGGGTTGAGAAGGGACCAGGTACAATGTTTTAATCTGTTGAAAAGTGTTTTTTCAGATAGTCATTCGTTTAATAAGAGTTGCCTGTCTCTATATATGAGCCCATGCCATCGATTCATGTGAATGTGTGCTGAAGCAGAGGATGGACCTTGCCTTTGCAGAGCTTGCCTGACACACTCTGAGCCTAATGAGAAACCAAGACCTGTATCAGTGAGACGTCAAGTTGGTCAACCGCGAGTTCATTGTAGCGTCTCCAAGTTTACCCCTTCCCATCAGACTCAGTCAACATTGACTTTCCGCGACAGACGTTCAACAATACCAACCCAATCAACCCCGTCAACAGCCTCGATATCGCCAGAACAAAAAGACAGCATCAGCAAAAGGATATCAACGCTGCGAGGCGCTTCATATGCGTAATCTGGGAATCGAACCCAGGGCTCCCCGATACTCGAATGGCAACGGAGAATTTTACCACTAAACCAATTACGCTTGCTCTTTGTTAAAGTGAGACCGAGAGAATAGCGGATATGTTTCTCGCGATGCTGGATCTTGGTGGAGCGGAAAAGTCCGTTAACCGAGCCAATTAGAAACGACTTTAGCTCAACACTGCTACATAAGTTGAGTTAGTCCAGATACAGCAGTGAGTGTGTCACGTGTGCGATTTCAGACTCAGAATTAACACTCACAAGTCAACAGTAATAAGCAAATATCTAATGATATTTCGGATAATAATTAAGCTTTATCGTCACAACTTGAAACAGTCTTGGCCACTATAATTAAACTCTGTCGATCTCAAGCTCTGAATTTGCCGGCTACTGGGGGTGTTGCCTCAGCACGAGTCAGATCTCACACAGGATGTTGTGATGTTGAATGAAACTTGAGATGAAGCATGTCACTGAGCAACAGACATTGATTCCAAATGTTTGAGACTGATATTGATATTGAGTAATAAGAACAGCGTTTACTATGTAAACAGTGACATATCGCTCATCAAACGTTTCATCTTTATTTTTATCCTTATTTCTGACTCTAAAATCTGAAGATCTTTACCCTATATCTTGGCCGGGACGGTTAAGTGCCGACATGTTTATCGGCTGGGATACCGCCTCCTGATTCACGCTCAGACATCGAGAAGCATAACAATTGGTCATTTTGTGCTTTGAAATGTCGTCAGTGAGTTATCACAAGTTTGGAAGTTTCTCGTGAAGTAATTGATGTTGCATGTTGATACAGAACCTTTGCCTCACCTTGAAGATCACGAGTGGGTCATTGATGGCAATTGCCTCAGATGGATTCCTTACTATGGGGCGTGGCAAGTCGGTGTCCCTTTGAGTCGCCATTGGTGATCGATAGATACTGTTGTACATGAGGGACAAGTTGCCAGGATGGGATACCTGGCAGGAAATAGGAAAATTAGCCTTCAAGTTTCAAGACACAAAAATAAACAACCTAAGAGTCTCATCTAAAAAGCATAACCCAACTCAATCAATCATTTTGTTTCTTATGCTTCCGGCGGCTAAAATTTCCTAATACCCTGAGGGATATCAAGCAGTTGCATGCATGACTATCACCATTGGAAAGCTGCCTCACAGACCATATATCCGAGGGTGATAAAACTCTTTTTGGATACCGACGAAAAGACGTCCCCCACGCCTCCAGAAGTTGACAATACGTACTGCTCCCCAACCCTTGGAAACAGAACAAGTCGGGGAACACGACTTTTGAGGCTCCAGTAGCCAATCTTGCATTGACGTCTCACACGTGTGAAGATCTAGACATGTTATTGGTTGAAAGCGTCACATCTCTCGGACAATACCCGCACCTTCAAAACAAAAGGGGATAAGCTCCTTGGCTTTATCCACGATAGAGTTGCGGGTCCCTTCTTCTCCATCTTTCTTTTTTGTTTTATCCCTGCTACAACGTCGAGTGTTTGAACGCATGGTACCTGTTTGATTGGTCGGCTTTTTATCTGTTGGAAGCTTTGGCCGAATGGGGGTATTGCTCGCGTGTCCTTGACGAACCTCAGCTTCTAGATGGTCCCTCGTGTGTTTTTGCTCGGTGAGTTGATCTACAGGATGAGGTTTCAGTATAGTGTTGGTCTTTAGTAGCCGAGTTGGTCCGTGGTGATATCATCATGCTAACTCTATGAATTGGTCAGGATATTCATAGTCTGACTTTCTGAAGAATAAACAGAGAAACGCCCAGACCCTCTCTCGGCTCTTCTAGCGAAGACTGCAAGACAGACAAGCTCTTGGTCAACAGCTTGGCCTGGCTAGGTAGGCCAGACTTGCACCTACAGCTTGGCATACAGTAGCCCTAATCCTAGTAATATCAGCACTGCCGCCTTCATCGTATTTTTCCTTTCGGTGACCAACTAGGAAATGTGTCGTGCTTCACCCTCTTAGTCGCCCCTGTTATTCCCTTCGAGTGTCGCGTGCTCCATATCCTCAAACGGTCATCGATCAACCCACCGTCGCTCCCTTGTGCCACTGAGAACAGCCCAACAGAAAACGTGATCGACAGCCCCCGAGTTACAGAGCTGCGACGCTTAGTCTATGTGGCTCTAGCCGTGGAGAACGGAAACAAGGTTAACTTGACTTAGGTTTTTAGGCGGAGCAATAACAAGCTTAATCCGTTTTCTGGTATCCGCTTGTGAACGACGTTTTCGCCGAGGCGAGACATGGCGAGAACGCATCGAGATGATAGTAAACAGCTTCACGACAATTAGAACAACATCAAGACGGCCATGATTTATCCTATACTCTATAACTATAACATGGTTACATATGCATATTGCTCGACCGAGATGCCTATTTAAATACTCGGTCCAGTCCCTGTTGATCCAAACTCTTGGCGTTCAACGACTCTGTGGCAAGTCCCTGTCAAGCACCATCCCGGCACCTCTTTTTCTTCAGTTTCTTGGCGATGGCACTTTTCTCTCTCTTTTTTTTTTGGGTCTCCATCGGAGGGGCGTGTGAGTAGTTCAAAGATAGCATACCGATTATACCGCTTTAACCCACGCTTCTGGCTTGTATATAACTATCCCATCTTCTCGCCTAGCCATGTCCTCTTCTCCTCTTCAGATCCCTCTCACAAACACATTCTCCCTCCGCTTCTTTTGAATACTCCATTATTGCAAAGTCTTTCCCCCAAACGCAACAATGGCAGTCTTCGCTCAGTACGACTACCTGTTTGCGGTAGGCACAATCTTTGCCTTCCTCGACGCCTGGAACATTGGTGCCAACGATGTCGCCAACTCTTGGGCCTCATCCGTGTCCTCGCGGTCCATCAGCTACTTCCAGGCCATGATCGGTGCCAGTATCATGGAGTTCACTGGTGCTCTCGGTGTTGGTGGTCGAGTCGCCGACACCATCCGAACACAGATTGTCGATGTCTCGGCTTTCGATGATAGTCCTGCTCTTCTCATGCTGGGCATGGTTTGCGCTGTCATTGCTTCTGCTAGTTACCTTACCATGGCTACCCGTCTTGGCTTCCCCGTTTCCACCACTCACTCTATCCTTGGTGGTGTCCTCGGTATGGGTATTGGTGCTCTTGGTGGCAAGGGTATTACCTGGGTTGGCTACAACGAACAAGGCAGCGTTGACATCCAGAAGGGTGTTGTCCAGGTTAGTATCCATGTTCTGTCTCACTTCTAAATCAACTCACTAACATGTATTCTCACAGGTCTTCCTCGCTTGGATCATCGCTCCCATGCTCTCTGGTATCTTCGGTGCCGCCATCTTCCTCTTCACAAAATACGCCGTCCTCCTCCGCAAAAGTCCCGCCATCAAGGGTCTTATCCTTGTCCCCTTCTACTTCTGGCTCACTGCCTCGCTCATTGTCATGCTTCTTCTCTGGAAGGGTGGTTCTTACGAGGTCAATCTCACCGAGCAACAAATCCCTGGTGTCATCGTCGCTACTGGTGCTGGTTGGGGTCTTCTCATGGCCATCTTCCTTGTTCCTTGGCTGTACCGTATCGTTATCAAGGAGGACTGGCAGCTCAAGTCCTACCATATCCTCCAGGGTCCTTTCCTCCTCCGCCGAGGTCCTGTCCCCCCTACCCCCGACAACTTCCAGGGTGTCGTCCGCAACTTCTACGAAGGCCATCTTACCCGTGAGGAGCTTGAAGAGCGTCGCAATGCCCGCGATGCTGCCCTTGCCGAGGATCTCGAGACTGGCAACGGCAAGAAGGTCGCTACCGAGAGTGCCACTGAGGAGCCCGAGGTTGAGAACCCCTACGCGCACAAGTCCATGATCGGCCCCAAGCCCAACAAGCCCTGGTACACCGGTGCCTGGATGTGGTGGGCCTTCAAGTTCGTTATCCTCCACGGTGTCGATAAGGACATTGTCGGTTCTCAGGGTGAAAAGTCTGTTGTCGCCGGTGACGTCGAGGAGATCCACGCCCGCGCTGAGCACTTTGACAACCGAACTGAGTTCCTCTACACTTTCCTCCAGATCATGACTGCTGCTTCTGCCTCTTTCGTCCACGGTGCCAACGATATTGCCAACGCCATCGGTCCTTACGCCACCATCTACCAGATCTGGCAAGAGGGTGTCATCCCTGACAAGTCTGAGGTCCCTGTCTGGATTCTCGCTTTCGGTGGTGCTGGTATTGTCCTCGGTCTCTGGACATATGGATACAACATCATGCGCAACTTGGGTAACCGAGTCACCCTCATGTCCCCTGCCCGTGGTTTCTCCATCGAGCTCGGCTCTGTCATTACTGTTGTCTTGGCCACCCGTCTCAAGCTCCCCGTCTCTACCACTCAGTGTATCACTGGTGCTATTGTCGGTGTTGGTCTCTGCAACGGTGACTGGCGAGCTATCAACTGGCGCATGGTCGCCTGGATCTACATGGGTTGGTTCATCACTGTTCCTACAGCTGGTCTGATTTCAGGAATTTTGATGGCTTTCATCACCAACGCTCCCAACTGGAGTTAGATGCTATGCGATGGAAATCTTATGATTGGTTTGACGAACAAAAGGCGTTTGGGAAAATATGATAGATAATATACCAACTTGATGACTTCATTTACCTGACCGACCAAGAAACCGTGTGATATCCGTCTCCACTTGATTCTTACAACAATACATGTATAAACTTGCAACTGGATGCGATCTTATGTGACAAAAATTTGAACAAAACCTCAAGCCAGGAATACCAAGTCTCTTCTAACATGCAACACTAAAAGTGGCAGTAGCAGGGTCATGGAGGAGATTCCACTTGAGAGTCAAGTTCGACCTGGATAATTTCACTCAGCCTTATTTTTACACACAATTGCTTCTGTAACGTTGCACTATTTATATACGATGCCACTATCAATATGATGTAAACTAACGAGCAGCTGGTAATTCGCCCTTCTCTTCGACATGTCCACCTTGAATCTTCTCCTCATCAAGAGTTCGATCGCCAATACCAATATCCGCCTCGTAAAAGACATCCACGACGTTCTTGTAAGCCGGAACAAAGTTGACAGCAATGGGATACGACAAAGCCGCCACAAAGAAGATCATGGGGACGACCATGGAGATTCCCATATCATGCATATCAGCCACAGCTCCTGTCAGAGGAGGAACACAAGCACCGCCGATAACACCAGCAATGATGAAGCCACTGCCTCGCTTGGTGTGTCGTCCAAGACCTCTCATACCGAGCGCCACAATAGTCGGAAAACAGATGGACTCAAAAAAGAGAACGATGTAGAGACACGCAATACCGGCGTTGCCGTGATGAACAATTGGCGGGCCGATGAAGACGATACACATGACTAGGAACACCAGAAACACCTTTCTGGGCTTAATGAACTTCATCAGAAAGGTTCCGAAGAACCGGCCAACTGTGAAGGCTGCTTGCGCGCCGGCAAAGAGCTTTGCTCCTACAGATTCTGACGTGTTGGGGCGCAACTCGACGGCGTAGTTGATGAAGAAACTCGCAATGGCAACTTGAGCGCCCGTATAGCAGAACTGAGCAAAGGATGCATGGAAGAGCTTGTATTGCTTGATGAATGGTTTCTCGTCGGCCTTTGAATGGGTTTCTTGAGCTTGGAATGCCATATCTGGGAGTTGTTAGTATGACCTTGGTAAGTAGTTGGGCGCAGACATACCAGCATCGGTGATTTCAGGGATTTTGGAGGTGTAAAAGAGACAAGCCAGGATCAAGACGAAGACAGCAATGGACAGATATACCCACTGCACGTTGGCCAATGCTTCTTCATCATCGAGGTTGTTGAAGAAGACATATGAACCTAGCACAGGAGCGATGACGGTGCCAATGCCATTAAAGGCTTGGGAGATGTTGATACGGATTTCCGAGTATCGAGGAGGACCACAGACTGTTCACGTTAGAGTCTGTATGTGCTATAAGATGGCTTAACATACCAGTGATGAAGGGGTTGGCAGCTGTCTCAAGCGAACCAAGTCCGTTACCAATGATGAAAATGGACATGCAAAATCCAGAAAAAGATTTGGCTTTGATGCAAGGGATAGCGATCAATGCGCCGATAGCGTATAAGCAGAGACCCCAGATGAAAACTGCCTTGTACGAATAATGACGAAGAATCCACGCAGCGTGTCCCAGCGAAGCAAGAGGATAGGCACTTGGATATCAATTAGTATAAATAGAATGGACGTGATAGACCAAGACATACCCAAAATACGCAGCTTGAAGTCCAGCAGATCGAGCACGATCAATATCGAGGACCTTTTGGAAATGCTTGTTCAGCGTGTCGAGGAGGCCATAACTGAAACCCCAAAGGAAGAAGAGAACTGTAACGAGAGCGATGGGCCAGATGGATTCTCGCAAGGTGAGTTCAGCTGCTTTAGTAACTTTGCTATCTTTGACCTTGAGAGGGCGGTCTTTAAAGAACTGCTTAACGCCCATGATGAAAGATTATGATGAAGTTGAGCGTATCATATGTTTTGGTGAGAGTTTGGGAAATAATCTGAGGGGAAAAGGAGGAGAATGCAAGTCAGAGCAAGGGAAAGGGGAAAGAATGACTATTATTTGATCAGCCAGTCCCCTCATCAGAGCTAAGTTAGCATTCGGTTGGTGCAAACCCGACCCGAGGCAAGACCAAGACCAAGGCCTAAGGGGTGACACTTTGACCGTCATAGAAGCAACGAACGATTGTCAAGTCATATTCCCTGATACAATCCTTCCCGCTGTAACCCCATGGGGGATAAAAAGGTTGGAGAAGAAGAAACCTGGGGATTGCGGGGAAGCGAACCTGACTTGGTTAGAAGATTGACGATCTATATTAAAGAACATGAATCAGGTTTTCTAGTTTAGCTACTAACTATCGCTGCAATGATAAGCCGAATAGGAGGGTAACTATGAGAGATATGCAGTGAGATTAACTTCAATAATGGCTTATCTCAGACTTCAGTCAAACGTTTAGTCTTCACCTTTGACCAGGATATCCATGTCTTACTCAATTCTTACAAGACAAGCTCAAGACGGCAAATGCATTGTAAATCGGTACTACACCTCGGCAATTAAACTACTTATGATTCGACTTCCCAGAACCAACAAAGTTGACGACTACTTTATATGCGGGGAAATTGAAACAGTGAATGAAACCTAAACGCATCAAAGCAACCTCATGATAGGCACGCTTTTGATCCCTTCAATTACATGCATGATAATTGAATCCGCCTGCTTATTCGGGTAATTTCTGTGCCAATCACTACTACGTAGCATTTTACTATTATCTATATCCTTCCTTTCGTAGTGGAGATGGATTGATGGCTGTCATACTCATCCTATTCTGTCGATTTAACCGGTTGACGATCAACGATGGATTATCCAGATAACCTATATCAATCACTAGCTTTAAGAGTCTTTCTCGTGTATAAATCAACTAGAGTCGATAAAGAGCAAAAAAAGGAAACCCCATTAACATACACCACAGGAAGAATCATGGTAAGCAAAAACAAGACAACAAGCCTGTTGAGATATGCAAAACCAAGTATATAAAAGAGAAAATGAAGCCTTTATTTTAATACGCTGTGTCAATAGCACAAGTGATTCCATCTCTAAATAGTTCTCTAAAGAAAAACCCCTTAAGTTCCGTTTGCTCTTCTTCCACCTCTAGTACTTCTGGTAATGTGCCTTGTGAGAACCTTTCTCGTCTCAATCAAACTCCTCTTGTTCTTGCTCTTCGCCTTGCCCATCGTCATGAAGATGTTCTTGTTGCGTGCCTTTTCTCTGTTGCTAGTACTCTTGCCCTGAGCCTGCATCTTGGACTTGCGGATCGCCTGTGTAGACTTGTGCTCGTCTCTGTCCGGCTTGCCCTCCTTGGCAAGCTCGGCACGCTCTTCCTTGGTGAGCTTGCGCAGGCGAGCGGGTGCCTCGATCTGCTCAGCTGTGAGACCGTCGTCGCGATGGCGGTCTTCAAGCTCCTTCTGGCGCTTGCGGCGGCTGCCAAGAGCCTTGTCGACTTGAGAGGACATTCGAAGTTCTTGGAGCTTGGCGAGATCAGCCGGTGTAAGGACGGTTGTTGTGGCGAGCTTGGAGATGCGGTCAATCTCAGCTTCCTTCTCCTCAAGAGCCTTCTTGGCCCTTTCGTCCGCGGCGATATCTGCTTCTGTCTTTTGCTTCTTTGATGCGGGCTCATCATCGTCGTCCTCCTCGTCGGATGAGTGATAGACGTTGATCCACTCGCCAGAGTCACTGCTATCATCAGAGCCGATCTCCCATTCGTCATCTTTGTTTTCCTCTTCCTCGTCAGTCGCAGCATCCTCAGGAAGACCCATAGCGAGTCGCTTCTTCTTCTTTTCCTCCTCCTTCCACTTCTCCAAAAGATCCAGACCCTCAATGCCACCGGCCTCCTCCTCACCGAACTTGCGCTGAGCCTGAATACCAGACTTCAGGTTGATGGTGGCATTCTTGCCACGGTCTCGCTTCTTCAAAAGCTCGGCACCGACCTCTCGGTACAGTGACAAAAGACCCTTGGCAGCCATCATGACACCCTTATCCTTACTCTTTCGGTATTGAACCAAATCTTGTAATAGCGTATCAGACATGGCCAGGGGCTGACGAGCACAAATCTCGCGAATCGAGTTGAGACCAGCAGCCGCAACCTCGGCGGCTGAAGCTTCAGAGACGAACTCATTTGCAATCTTTGTGAGCAAAGGCTCCAGAACATCCGGAGGCACAAGGTTGTGAACAGCCTGAGCCAAGGAAGCCAGGAATGATGTGACTGAGTGTTGCTTGGGAGTAAGGAACTTGATGAACCAGGAATAGAGCGCCACGATGGTGAGCTTGTGCAGACCAACAAGTCGGGTAACCAATTGTGTCACTAGGATCTTTGTGTCAAGAGACAGCTTCGCCTTTGTGTTTTGTAGATGTTTTGAGAAGAGCTCCTCAGCAAAGCTCTGGGGATCGTGAAGGAGATGCAGAGCTGAAAAGTTGAGGGGATGAGGCTTGTTCTTCTTACGCTCAGAACGCTTGACCTTGTCAACAGCCCTGTCGTAAGCCTTCTTCGACTTCTTAGTCTTTTTGTTTATGCCCATTTGATGCTTGACTTGGCTCAGATCAACCTCTTCATCACTGCTCTCGTCCTCAAGCTCTTCTCTTTCCTTGTCTCCACCGAGGAAGAAGCGAACGGCGCCAACGACGACCTTTTCATTGTTCGATAGACAGGCTTCCTTCATGACATCTACGGGCTTCGCATCGGTCCAGAACTGTCGCTTCCACATCTCACGAGTGAGCTTGATGGCCCAGATAGCTCGGGGAGAATCTCGGTCGGCAGTGACGAGGTTGTAAAGGACGGTCTGTACGGTACGGTTGAGAGGGTGGTTAATCGATTTGGTGTTTGAGTTTCGAAGATCGGCCAAAATCTTCTGGAAAAGAGTTTCACGCAAAGTCTTGGAAGGCGAAGACACGAGAATGGGGAAGAGAGTGGTAAGGACGCTCGTTGAGTCGATGACTTCCTTTCTTCGGAGCAGGACCAGACTTCCGACAATCTTCTCGCGCAAATCAGGGTGTAGAACGACATGATGCTGTGTAAGAATCTCCTTGAGATCATCGGGGAAGGTTGCGGTCTCTTCCTTGTAGCAATCGGCGACGTGAGCGATTAGATCGATAATGTTGTGGAAAGACTCGACGGAATCGGCGCTTGCGGTGGAGGGAGAGACGAGAAATATCTCGCGCTGAGCCTCATATTGTTCCAATTGCTTCAAGAATTCTTCCTTGTAAGATCTGGGATCGCGACGGATTTTCTGCTGAAGAGCAGCGCTATAGAAGGTATTAGCTGCTGTTATAAAAAAGCAAAGATAGAATCGTGGTTGACATACAAATCGGCATCGATCTTCTCGAGCGCGGCGACCTTTCGTTTGACCATTGCGCCTGATGTTGATGTGGTGTTTAAGCGGGAGGGTGGGGATGGTTGGTCCCTTTGAACTTCGTCTAGGAAAAAGAGAAAATTTGGGAGATTTTCTGAGCTGATAAGATAAGATCATCAACACGCGGAATTGATCCGCCTTTAGTCTACACCTAAAGCTCATTGTCTAAAAGCATCATCTTTAAACCAAATAAACTAAAGAATATGCGCTGCGATGACGAATGGTATTAAGATGCTACTGCTGCCTTATGTCCTGTTATAAGAAAGGCACATCATCAATATCCCACACCACAGTTATATGACACTTCAGAAGCTCTCAACTTATTAAACAGATAAAACCATCACTATTTTCGTATTAGGCCAAGCCGGCCATGGAGAAAATGATATATGAAGTGATAGTGAGTCCCTTCTGACTTTATCTCTGTAAAATGGAGGGGGTGGCTGGCTGCGTTTGTAACGTGAGGATATGTAAATATGCGTTTAGTGATGTAAAAATGAAGTCAGAAGTTGGCAGTTGTTTGATAGTGAATGACCCTAAGACGAGTATTTTTGTTTCGCAATATAAAGAAGTATCCAGTGCCCCCTAGGTCTCTTTACTACCTTCCTTCCTTTACCTTCCACCTCCCCTCTCCATTCTGCCAATTCTTCTCTCCAACATTCAAGCAACAAATGCCTAGAACAAGGACCAAATCTACATCCTTTCCCGAATAATTTTATGCGTGCTATATCCTGTTTCTTTACTCTGTCCCACTTCGTCGTTCTCCCCATGGCCACCATCTTCTGCCATACCCTACTTGTGAGGCCGCCTTTATCTCATACTCGATCCGAGCCAGATCAATCGACATTTGCATGCCGTCTAGTGATTTTGAAACAGCCTTGCAAATAGTCTACACCACCCATCGGCTACATCTCGGACCTTGGACCGGACATCGCACTTCAGCACCCGGAGAAGCATGCTATAAGCAAAACAGCGTGGGCCATGAAGCCAACGTTTAACAGTCATTAATGGTCTATGGCACTAGAGGATACACTGCGTCTCCTTATCCATACTGCGCTACACAACAATGTCCTTGGTGATGGTATTGAGACGTGGAGAGATCTATCAACACTCAGGTTTCCTCCCGGTATGGCCGAGACTAGCCACCGCATCCAACTCAACCAAGATATGCTCCAAGTCCCGGTCCTCAGAAGGATAGTCCAACACAGATTGACGGGGGATGCCATCCAAATTATTGATTTATTCCCTTGGATTACCCGACTGGGCCAGCACGATGGTATTGGAACCAAGTTTACGGGTTACTGCTTACGCCGTGGTGCCGCATACGTTCTCGCAATGAATGTCAGTGATGACATGCGATGCTTCCTCATGGGTCACAACCCAGGAAGTAATGCTTATGCAAAGTACTACCAGTCGAAAACTTCTACAATCGACTTCCCATCTATGCTCCGTGGTTCAGACCAAACTTCAGCCTTACCACGGGGAAGTATCCTTCTGAACCGCAGTGCCGATGCTCTCCTATCCCCAGGGTATTCGAGAAATGGGCCGCTGGAAGCATAAAGGACGAAATCAGTAGGTCAGTTAATGCTACTTAGACCATACGTCTTAGGCTATTTGTTCCGGTACCCTCTGGCCTATCACTATCCTCAGACGGTGTGAAGCAGCTCCTACACAGCAACCCAGAAGCGCATTCAGCCTGTATGATCAAGTGGTTCGGTATCACCCATCCTATTGATTAGCTTACCCCCAGACGGGAACCCTTGAGTGGCACTTACACTTGCAGGTTCTATGGTGAATATTTAAACAGCGCGCATCACAACTATTATCATACACAAGCATGCTCTAGAAAGGAATCCCCACAAAGAGCGCTCGAGTTTCAAAAAAGCTTTCTCCCCTTAATCGGCATTACGAGTATCAATTATGTGGGCATGGCGACCAATTCCACAAGTTCGTCTTATGCAACAAGACTTTTGACACTATGAAGGAGAAAGGAGAGCATATGAGATCTCATGTGCGTACCATGAGGAAAAAGGATAGTATAGGTCAATGGGTATTGTCTTGTTTCTTCCAGGGATGTACAAGTCCCCCCGAAGGTGGCCGGATCAACCGCGATGGACCAGAGTTCAAGGATTAAAGCGAACAACTTGCTCATATGTGGACTGCTCACAAGGTAGTAACCACAAGAACACCCGAAGTTACTTTTTGTCCCTTTTATCAGACGTGGCTTATCAAGCCGTACGAATGGCGGCCCCATGCCCAACAACATTCAGAGGATGACAAACCTCTCATTTCAACTGTCAGATACACAGGCGCTTCAGCAGGCCGTACAATTATCCCCCGTCTATGCCCGTTCTGCATGAACAATAAAAGGCTGCCTACACACCAGCGCATTTTCGCCTGTGATATTAGAAAAACGGGCCACTGGAAGCACACGAGACAAAATTATTAGGTTAACTTCTGCTACTTAGATTAGGCTTCTTAGGCTATTTGTTTTTGTATCCTAAGATATAAGTGCAGCTCTTGTTCTTGCGTTGTGGAAATCATGTGGGTTTTCAAGGATATCTCTATAATTGAATCAATCCTGTTCACTGTGAAGTAGTACATGAGTAAGTAATGAGAATAATATTGAAAAGAGCTTTTTCTATAGGTGGAAAAAGAAGAGAAAGAGAAGAAAAAAATACCAAAGTTCTGTTCTGTTATACAAAGCCCAAAGCGAAACCTCAAAGAGGACTCCAATTCTATGACCGACGCCACGCTAATTCCACAGCCACAATCCTATTGTTACAGTGCCAATCCAGCCGATACCAAAACAATTCATCTACTTCTGTTGAAGTAGTTATCAAATTTTTGAGTCACATCCATGCCTGCCATGGCTCCCCGACCTGTCCTTTCGCCTGTGACGTAGAAATTCTCTGTTCTGTCTCGAGTTGTGGCCCACTGGCTCAGCATGGCACCAGTAGAGGTGCCCTGACCACCTGTGTAAGTTGAGCCACCAGAGCTGTTGCTGTTGCTGTATCCGTTGTTGCTGTAAGACCTGGTTGGTTCATGATTAATTAATGCGAATCGAGTGGGTTCATGGCTTGTTTACTTACGGGTTGGTAACAGGTGAAGAAGAAGGCATATTGTTGGTTATAAGTTGTTGGATCTGGAGAGAGTTGGTTGTTTGTTTGGTTGGCTGTGGTTGATGACAGTAGTTGGTATAATCCAAACCTGTTACCAGGATAATAGATAGTTGAGACTGAAGACTTGACTCAATAATCGAGAAACTGTTGATGATACTAAAAAATTCGAGCCTTAAGAAGAGGGCTACAGCTTTATTTATCTTAATTCAGAAACATCCTAGCCTTCGCAAAGCCGTAGACAGACATTAAAGCAGGCAATATCGAAATGGAAAAATACCACCATGAGCAAACTCTTGAAAAACGGCCCCCATTGTAGCGCGCAATTGGGAATAGTGAGATAGATAACAAGCCTCCCTAGTTTCGAAACATCCATGATGGGAATTACCTACCACACGTGCGCGCAAAAGCGGAAAAGTCGTGGGAAAAAAGGTTGGCCAAATGCCAGCCTTAGACAATCCCCATCATCGTCACCACCGTAAAGGCTTCAATTGGATTGTGACGAGATACATGAAACGGACACTGCGCCGCAACGAAGGGTAACTGAGTCAGTGATTAACAACTGATCAATTGGGGTTTTCGCTCTCAAAAGTAGAATAACTATGTCGGCGCAGATTGTATAGTTGGTTTCCTTCGCAAACGCGCAGAATTACAGTGACAGAAGCTTGTCTTTTCGATCCTGAACTAGTGAGGACAAGCCACGAGAGGCAACCAGGTGCCAGGCAGGGTGGTGGCTCAGCCGGCCCCCACCAAAGTACAAACAAGCATCAAGAAATCATGAATGTTCAATATGGCGGTATTCCATTAATTTATTTTCAAGATTCACTTATTGGAAAATAGGTTACTGCAATTCAACAGCCTGTTTTTGCGCCTTTGCTCATCATGGTAAAAGGGCTGTGTTGTTGTATGGAGAAATGTCCTCAGCTCTCCAACTTGAAGATGGCCATCATGACAACTCAATGGCTAATTAGCCAATCAATTAACAGCATGACTTGAGGCAAGTTTCAGGGCAAGATCATTTAAACGTCTATGAGCTCAACCCTAATAGGCTATGGAACTTTTCTATAACCACTATCTTAATATTAACCAAAATAAATGGTTCCTTTTCTTCTGTAGTGATTCATTCTCAATGACCTATTAGCCTCTCTATCCTTATCCCAGCCCATAGATGGTGACATAAGGTTGGGAAAGGTTATCTGTAACGAGGCTGCATGGGTAGATGAGGCAACCGATCAAGGGATATGTAGACCAAGTAACAACGGTCGGGATGGTGGTCGCTCGCCCGGTAATATTAATCTAAATATCATAAGCTGACTTACCCGTTTCGTCTCTCATGATTCTGGCAGCTAAATTTTCTAATCCTCAGGCTAGTACTTTGGACAAAGATTAGGTATATCTCATGATGGGCTCGGGAGACCCCACAATCATCATGACAGATGTAACTCCATGACGGCCGCCATGAGCAGCTAAATCCTAGCCACCAAAGTTCTCTCGGTCGTGAACCGCTTTCGCCGGCTATGTAGGTACTACCTTTTCCCTTGCCGAGAATTATTGGAACTTTGGGTCCTAGTTATTACGATAAGGATATAACTCAACCAGCATCTCGTACGAGAAGAAATCCTTCAGTACCGATGTCAGCCCCACGCAGAGGCAACCAACGGCTGTGAACGAGGTTCTGAAGACCGCCAAAACACTTCACCAGAGCAAGTAGCATCTAAAATATTGCAAATGGTAGGGTAGAGAAACAGGACGTCAGTTTGATTAGTGACCTTCTTTTTATGGGACATGCGTAGGGCTAGCCTTGTGAGGCCTGAACCGTTGTGAAGCAATTTGTAAATTGAAACAACGATGGTAATCACCACAAAGTACGTTGCGCAACAAAATCATGAAGAAAAAAAAAAAAAAAAGACATTTGTCACTGGAAATTGTAATTCATTTCTCGTATTCAAATTCATCGCAATAATTAATTGACTCTAATCTTACTACAAAATTGATCAAAGTATTGAACGATACATGACAAAGTCGGTTACCCTGTAGACCAGACAACCACTTAACCTACAGGTCAGATCAACGAATTTTTTCAATCTTAATGACCGATTGGCTGTGAATAAGTAACTCTAAGCTTAATAACATGACTAAAGACATATACCAGGGTTATCGGCGACTTCTCTACAGTATGGACTGACCAAAGCTTCTAACGAGTTGCCATATCACGAGATCTTAAACAAGGAGCCACTGAGGTTCCCAACGATGCTTATACAGGGCACAACTTCGAAAGTCAACGTCATTTTTGACGTTTCAGAATGCCTCTCACGGACGATGGAGAGGTCCCGGGCCACCAAAATGACGAGTTTGTGGGTGTATGGTGTTGGAGATAGACGGCCTTCCCAACGGCATTCCCGGGTGACAGGATAAGTCTCTAGCTAATGTTTGGCAACGGCGTCTAGGTAAGATATATGCAGCTTTTCTTTAACAGAAGACTGTTTCGGTATGCATTCTGACAGTGTCTAGATAGTGGATAGCAGAAAAGTTGGCCTCCTAAGTCTTAGGATATAAAAATAAGTATTCTAAGAACTATAGTCTAAAGAACATCAACTAACATGTCAATTTTGTCTCTTATGCTTTCAGAGGTTATTTTTCTGGTACTCTAAGCAGTGTCAACACTGCTTGATTGGCAACCCATCCATCCACTGCTATCCACTCAATATCAGACTGGTGGAACAACATGATAGAAAACACAGCAACAGAGACAAGATCGGGCAGTGGAACATCAAGGGAGTGGTAGGAGGAATTGCTATATGCAGCACTACTGATTTGCTAGACGGCTTTGGGATTGGGTTGCATAGTGGTGTTATGCCGTGGCAGTCTTGAGATCATTATCTCTCAAAAGTCCATACAGAGGGACAATTGGCATACAGCACGATGTAGTCGTGATAAATGTAGTATAGCTTGAAAATTGAGCATAAACAATGGATGAACGAGGCAGAAAGAAGGTGTCAGCAATTTGTGGAGATTCTGCAGCGTCATGAAACATCAAATATACAACCTTCGTGGGGCTTGCTATTTCTTTATTCCAGAGATTCAACACCACCATCAACATTCCAAGTATTGAGCAAGATTGTCAATGTTATTGCCTCATTTCCTCCCCCGAAGAACCTTCACCGGAACGCTCAAGACACTTCGGAAGCCCAAATTCTCGAAATAAACGTGCACTTGGCCAAGAAAAGTAGTCGACCAGACTATCAAAACCAAATTCGATAGACCGCCGATACCCTGTCTTCAGCTCTGCCTCATCTGGGCCTGGACCTCGTCATTTGACAGGGGAGACGGTAACCCTGTCGATGCCCCGAGAGCGGAGTGCAAAGACAGGGGGACGATCTACAGCGAGGACAGGCATTGGGATGAATGGAGAGGATGGATCTTTAGGCCAGTTGTGGCAAGGCACCGGAGCAGGCGAGAGCAACGACTTGAAAATGACATTGCTTTTTGGTTTGTACGGTGATTGATAGGTCTGAGCGTGGATACTGATGAGATATGTTAGTTGATACAGAGACGGACGAACGAGCACTTGAGATACCAGTCAAAACATGCATGTACATACAAATCACATGTTCTTCTCAGACTGACATACTATATTCCCCTTTTCCTGCAACCTATCTATATCGTCCATGAACAGCACAACAGTTCTCCTAAAAAGGAAAAAGCACACCGAATTGGGCGGTTTGAGAGTGACCACGCCCGCATGGAGCTATCGCTGTTGGTGCACAGCGCTAATTGACCCGTTTACGGTGACAGGGGTTACATGGACGAAAAAGTGGATGCCCATTGCAGAACAAGAACGGTACGATTGATTCACTTGGCAATGGAAACGTGGGAAAACCAGACTGGAATGCGGCTTCGCGGGAGACACTGTTTTGTTTCGTCTCAGAGCGGGAGCTGTAGGGGGCGCACTTTTTGAGGCTGAAGGGCGATTCAGTCATCTGCAGTTGAAGAGAGCGAGTTCAAATGATTCGGTTCGGGGTGCCGAGTCAAGCTGAATTGAATCTAGACCCTCGTGGATATCATGGGCAAGGATTCATTAGATCTTTGCGATTTGTGTGTGCCCTCAAGGTTGCAATAGCCACTTCGGAGACCCACGTCCGGATATGCCTTGCATTGCGACTTTGTAAGCAGTCAGGTCAGTTTTAATATGATTGCATTGTGTGCACAGAGAAAGCACAATTCAAAAAGTAGGGATATGGATACTATATGGACCAATGATATTATACAAAACCCGAATAGATAGTCAAGGATCTGAAGCACTGACTGCCCTTCACATCCATCACACAAAAGAAGTTTCAATTGGACAATTGGACAATTGGACCGGATGATGTCGAAACTTGACGTTTCCGAGATCTTCAAAAGGTCCTGTCAATCAATGACGGCTGTTAATACAGAGTCACCAGGTTGGCAAGTGCCGAATACCAGCAAGCCATACATTGCGATGTGCCAGTTTCTAGAAGACGTCTTCTTCCTCACCCTCCCCTTTTACTCCCCTATTGTGCAAATGCATAAAATCACGCCCTCCTTTACCTGCTGATTGCTTTGTCAGGTGCGGATGAATGGCTTGGAGCCAAGTGGGCGAAGCGTTGACACCAGCAAACCTGATTGGGCTCTTTAAAACGCCACAGCGCGAATGATGCAAATTACAGTATTATCCGATTTTCTCTTTTAGCACATCTTTCGATACCCGTTTCTTTTGTGGCGGCTGAGTTTTTTTATCCTTCTTTAATCTCCCCCTTGGATTAATGCAAGCCTCCAAAAAACCGTCCGTCCATGTGGTGTGCACATGTCTGTCAATGACGCGCTGCATTTTTTGGCTGGGTAGCCAGACTTTCCTCTATTTTCTCGTGCTATGGAGACTGGACGCTAACATATGCATGCTGTCAGGTACCCGAACTCTCACTGTTGATCTCTCGGAGTGGCAATTGGTGGGACCCGTTAGGTATCACAACGCTTTGCACATTGACAGTGAAGGCTGTGATACTATACATGGCACACTGTACACAATGTAAGCAGCACAGAGCACGAGAACATCCAAGCAGTTGAACAATGGTATTCTCTGGCATACCCTAGAACAAGGGCTAGAGGAGTTTTTTTTTTTTTTTTTTTTTTTTTTTTTTTTTTTTTTTTTTTTTTTTTTTTTTTTTTTTTTTTTTTTAATTCAAGACGTCAGTCAATTCCAAGTCAACCAACATGAGCGGTTTCTTTCAAGCAAATCTTTCACTAAAGTGGCTCCTATGGATGGACCTAAGCTGCCGATTCCAACGGTCCCGAAGGTACCATCACGATCGATTTAATTCTTCTCCAGAAGTCTTTTTCGTCGATCATATAATGGTCATCATGTCGATCAGTGATCCGTCGACTGTCAAAACCGGCAAGTTGTGGTTCTCTCTGTTTCTCGTTTCTTGCTCTATAGAGTATATCGTATTCGTCCATTAACCACTAACAAAACTAAATTGGGCTCTTAATTTCCCAAGATTCAAGTCACCTACTGAAGATAGACCAACGAAAATAGAAATGAACAAAGCGCTGTACAATGTCAAAGCAAAGTAAACAACAAAGATACAATGCGAAGCAACATAACTGCCATCAATAAAGGAAATTGCGCAGACTGACTCTGTAAGGTTCTCCAGGAAATGAATTGCCCCTATTGCAAAAACAGACTACTACGCTTCATGGAACGATAGACCAGCCAGGATGCAGCTGAAGGTTATTCGTATCCGAGTTATCGATTATCTAGACGCAGCTGAAGGTGGATAAACTGCCCATGTATTGCAATAGTGTGCAGAACCGGCGTCTCTGGTGCGACGGCCGAGAAAAAACTACTGTACAGCGATTCATTCTACTGACCTGCCAACAGGATAGAAACATGTCCAGGCTTGAGCAGAGTAGGCGGTTGGATGTGTTTAATCCCAGCCCGTTGTTGCTCCAATGTAGCTTCGGCGAGCGTTTGTACGCGACTCCCGCTAAAGTAGCCAGATGAGGCTAGAAAAGCCACGATTTAGTCAGGGGTCAGGGGACACCCCCGTTGAGACGAAGTGGGCCCTGATCAGTTGAACTTCAGCGCACCATTACCGAAGTGGCTAACGACTTTCTCTTTCATCCAGGCATCCTTTGTTTTCCCAACCGAACCTCCTACTAACCTGACGCTATGGACAACGCTCGCAATCAGCGGCCAACCCGGCCATGCGGCACCAAGCACAGGTAGCTTGGCTCTCCATCAGGCTTGGATCCATCTGCCCAAGTTTGTGTGCCCCATCTCCATCAATAGCGCTTTGAACTAACGCAAGCTCAGGCACACTATCAAGTCGAGAATAGCCACAGCAAATGTCCGGGATGATGATAGCCCACACCCAACAGCCCACGCAGGAAACTCGGGGCCAAACAGACAAGGGGAAAGGATGGACCAGAGCAAAGAAGGCCTGCCTTGCATATAAACAGCCGCTCCCGACCTCCATACCCTTCTCCCACTCTTCACTTCTTGTCACTCACTTACAAACCAGTCTTCGCGGATAATAAGTAACTCTTTGAGTTCACCGCAGTCCATTCGTTCATTACAGTTTTTGTACATTTCTCCCAACATGAAGACCGCTGCTTACATGGCCATGGCCTTTGGCCTGGCCTCTGCCTTCGAGACTCGGAGTCTCGATACCGAGCCTTGCGACTGTGAGCTCGAAGACCCTTGCTACATGGCTGTCCAGGAGAACCATCTCACTCTCTGTGGTACCAAGACATCTTTCCGCGATTGCGGTATCAGCGAACTTCCACTTGTGTGTGGTGACAACGAGGCTGAGCGTCGTGCGGCTGTCAACGAGGCCTGCACTTGCGTTATCCCCACCACCACCGAAACTGCTACCACCGAGGCTGGCACCGCTACCACTGAGGCCGGCACCGCTACCACTGAGGCCGGCACTGCTTCCACCGAGGCTGGCACCGCTACCACTGAGGCCGGCACTGCTTCCACCGAGGCTGGCACTGCCACCACCGGCACCGAGACTGAGGATGTCTCCTTGAGCACCGAGATTGGTACCGAGACCACTGATGTCGCTACCGGTGTCACTACCGATGCTGCTACCGATGTCACCACCGAGACCTCTGCTCCCACCACCACTGAGGAGGACTGCGACGACGAGACCACCACTGAGGGTGCCACTGCCCCTGCCACCGTTGTCACCGGCACTGAGTCCGCTCCTGTTGACACCAACACCGCCACTGTCCCTGTCGACACCGCCACTGAGTCTGCTCCTACCGGCACTGAGACTGCTCCTGTCGACACCAAGACTGACTCCATCCCCACTGGTACCGAGACTGCCCCTGTTGATACTGCCACTGAGTCTGCCCCTACTGGTACTGAGACTGCTCCCGTCGACACCAAGACTGACTCTGTTCCTACTGGTACCGAGACTGCCCCCGTCGACACCAAGACTGACTCTGTTCCTACTGGTACCGAGACTGCTCCCGTCGACACCAAGACTGACTCTGTTCCTACCGGTACCGAGACTGCTCCCGTTGACACCACCCAGACTGGTGCCAACGGTGTCTCTACCACTGGTGCTACTGTCCCTTACACCACCAAGACTGTCTACACCACTGCTACCAACACCTACACCAAGTGCCCTGACTACGTCAAGGACTGCCCTGCTGGTAGCCACGGCCCTTACACCGTCACTGAGACCATTGCTGTTTCTACCACTGTCTGCCCTGTGACCGAGGAGCACCCCTCCAAGCCTACTGGTTACTCTCCTGAGAACCCCGAGAAGTACACCACCAAGACCATCTACTCCACTGAGGTCTACACCGTCACCAAGTGCCCTCCTTCCGTCAAGGACTGCCCCTACGGATCCGTCACCACCAAGACCTACCCCGTCTCTACCACTGTCTGCCCCGTTACTGAGGAGCACCCCTCCAAGCCTACTGGTTACGCTCCCGTCACTGAGGGCCACCCCTCCAAGCCTACCGGTTACGCTCCTCCTAACACCAGCACTCTCTACACCACCAAGACCACCTACTCCACCAAGGTCTACACTGTTACTGAGTGCGGCCCTGAGGTTAAGGATTGCCCTTACGGATCTGTCAAGACTGAGACTGTTCCTTGCACCACTGTCTACGCCACTGGTACCAAGGAGATTCCTTCTTACCCTACCGTTGTCATCCCCGCCAAGCCTGAGTACCCTGCTCCTGAGCACCCTGCCCAGCCCGAGCAGCCTGCTAAGCCCGAGCACCCTGAGACTCCCGCTCAGCCCGAGAAGCCTCACTACCCTGCTCCTGAGCACCCTGCCCAGCCCGAGCAGCCTGCTAAGCCCGAGCACCCTGAGACTCCCGCTCAGCCCGAGAAGCCTCACTACCCTGCTCCTGAGCACCCTGCCCAGCCCGAGCAGCCTGCTAAGCCCGAGCACCCTGAGACTCCCGCTCAGCCCGAGAAGCCTCACTACCCTGCTCCTGAGCACCCTGCCCAGCCCGAGCAGCCTGCTAAGCCCGAGCACCCTGAGACTCCCGCTCAGCCCGAGAAGCCTCACTACCCTGCTCCTGAGCACCCTGCCCAGCCCGAGCAGCCTGCTAAGCCCGAGCACCCTGAGACTCCCGCTCAGCCCGAGAAGCCTCACTACCCTGCTCCTGAGCACCCTGCCCAGCCCGAGCAGCCTGCTAAGCCCGAGCACCCTGAGACTCCCGCTCAGCCCGAGAAGCCTCACTACCCTGCTCCTGAGCACCCTGCCCAGCCCGAGCAGCCTGCTAAGCCCGAGCACCCTGAGACTCCCGCTCAGCCCGAGAAGCCTCACTACCCTGCTCCTCCTGCTGCCGAGACCACCGGCAGCGGCTACAAGGCTCCCGCTCCTAGCCAGCCTTCTGCCACCGTCCCCTACCACCAGCCTACTGGCACCGCTCCCGCCGTCGAGGTCACCGCTGGTGCCTCTCGCTTCGGTGTCGAGATGGCTGTCGCCGCTGCTGGTATCTTTGCCATTCTTCTGTAAATGCATCATGGAACATAAAATCTTCCCTTGCTGTTCATTATTTATTACAACATAATAAGCTTCACTATGTATATAGTATGATTTAGACGACTTGAGCGCTTGCCAAGTAGTGGTAGAAGAATTGTTATGAAGTTGGATATAACATTGTCTTGTTTTATTGGAGATACCATTTCATTAATGATATGACCTTAATAACCATCCCTGAACTGTGAAGTCAAAATGTCCATTATATTCTCTGTTTAACCATGTACCACTTGAACGCATCTGAATGCTAGAAAGAAAGCTGGACTAGACATTTTCACGTGAACTACAGTCTTTTTCCTTTGTGGCCCTCCTGCATGTGACAGCAGTTCCAAACTCTATCTCCTCGACGTTCTGTTCCATGTGGAACGGCGCTAGAACAAAGGAACAGACTAAGGGGCCGTTTGACCCAGATTGTTGGAAAACTTTGGGGACACTCGGCAAGGTAAAGTCAAACAGGTGGCTTGTGGCCGTTGTGGTGACCTCTTTTGACTGGAATGCGGGATGACAGAGGGGCGTGTGAATGTCTCTGAACGAGTTCTAGAAGATGGCTTGCTTTAAATGGGAAGTGGCTTGCTGGCGGTGAGTGAGTCAATTCAACAATTTGTGGACATAAAGGAAAATACCACCATATTGAGAATTGTGGTGTCGTCTCGAGATAATAGTCCACGATGAGCTTTGTTCAAAGGAGATGGAAGTGTGTGGTGGGATGGCATATGTAGTTTTAAGGATTGACCCCTCTGACAGAAACAAAGGGTGATGATACTGCGTCCATATTGTTCTATCTACCTATCTAGTAGGTAGTGTCGTTTATCTCTGGCCTTTTTCTTTATAAGTTTGTTGTTCTGTGGCGGTTAGTAGTCAGGTGCGTACCTTGACTCTCACGGGGACGAGTGTAGTGCCGTTGATGGCTTCAAACTTCCAACGCCCCAGAAGTGAAAGGAATGACGCCATGGTCGCAGGAAGGAAAGAAAACGAATGATTCTCACCGACTCGCAACTGTTTATAGGTTAAAGCGTTGGATATTGGATAGCCATGAATACTTGCTTGAAGTTAGATGACACCGCGAAAATTCTTGGGCGCGGCTGTTTCACTAATAAGGCGGCGCATGCAAGGGCTGATGACATACATGGATGGTGCTTGGCGGGTGAGATGTTTCGAAACATGATGATGACATAATCGAGGGTCATTGATTAGCGAGATCCTAGACCATTTGAATCGGAATAATGATAAGCGAGAGCTTAAGGAATTATATCTCTCTCTGGCAGTATCATAAAGGATATCTACATCATCCTGAAGAAGTGCTTGTGGTAGGTAGTATACTCTCAATGATTAGACACAAGTCAGGTGCCAACAACAGCACTAGAGACCTAAAACAGGATGAGAAGAGGCCTATATTTAAATTCGTTTTGTAAACATCATACATATATCGACAGAGATGGACACTTTGAAGATGTGTATGAGGACTTGGCAAGATGGTGTCGCCGAAAAGCCTTGTTGATGTGGTGTGGCGCAATGCTGGGCTTTTGGAGCCACAGTTAGGCGCACAGCCGTCACCTATGAAGCTGCGCCTCTATCTCTGTATTCACTGACATCAGGCCGATGACCAAAGTCCTTCAAAAATCGGAATGTAGGTGAATAATGACGAGAGCAAGGTTTTTTCCCGTCCCTTTAGATTTGCCATATAACAATTTCTTGTTTTGTTTGGATAATTGTTTTCAAACTCATAATCGTTACCTGATGTTGAAATGGCCAGTGGTCGCAGTAGCTTGGGCGGTTAGGCACTGTACTGTACTGTAACTGGAGGGGCTCCCACTGTAAAACACCATCATGTATCAAGATCAAAGCTACAACTTTATCAGCAATAGATTCATCAATCTGCATCTTTAACAACTTGCATCACGTCAATGCAACGAAAGCGGCACTTGGGTTCCCTTCCTAGGGACTAGGCTCCTCATATTATCCAGTTACAACACATCTTGTCTCACATAACCACCCATTCTGGCATTTCTCATCAGGCCTCCTGCGAGCTATGGGGCGCAGCAACACACCTACGGCAACGGGCCGCAAACCACCTATTCCCGTTGCATTCCAACGTGGTCAGCTCAGCCCTCCAGGTCCATATTCTCTCCTCTTCTGTACGGATCATGCTGGCTATTTGTGCCCTGGTTCCGGCCTGTTTTGGAGGCCAGCCGAGATGCACTTTCACCACCCATTACACATCTTCAACGCTTTCACTGCCTCTGGCCGACCAACACCTTGACCCGTAGCACAAGAGGGTGCTGACTTATAAGCTTGTGCTTTCCTTTGCTTTGTATCATGGGAGCATCGCGTACTTTTTCGACATTGCAAGGCTACATCTATAGGCCAACATTAATATTGCTGCTTTGACAGCTATCAAAGAGCCCACCATGAACAACAGCGCAACGTCGCCCTTTGGACCTGGCCTGCAAGTGCCAATATCGTCCGCCTCGCCCAGCGGCTCCAACAACACCACAACAGGTAGACCACCACTTTGGAACTCATCTTCACGACGCAAAATGTCACGTCTATATCTCTACACCACACTTCCTTTGGATAAAATAGTGGCTGTTGTACATGCAAAGTCACCTGATACAGTACCTGGGTATGCGATTCCTGGTTTTTTATGCTTGGATTGATGCTCATTAGGTGTACAGTCAGGACTCGGCCCACAAGACGCTCAACGCCATGCTTAACAAGCAACCACGATGGCTTCACCCAAGAAATGAAGGTGATATGGCACGGCGATTAGAAGAATTGTCGCTTTCCCCCACGCGAACCAACTCAACATATAATTCAATTTCATCTCCCATGCAAGATACTCCAGGATCAATACCTGCTCTCAACACTGTTCCAACGCCACATCTTGTTCGAAATCCTACTAGGGCTTCACTCGAAGTTCCACCTTTCAACCAATACTCCCAGCCTCAACGGCATAACACAAGCAGATCTACCGCTCAAGCACGGGAGCAAGAAGAAAACAGCCATTTTAAAACTTTCTTGCAACGACCAACATTCATGACTACGTCGACAGATTGCACAACAGGGACATTTCAAAGCCTGCTCAAAGGCTATGATCACCCATATGTCAAGACAGTAAAGCGTCTTATTAAACGATATACAGCACCCTTGAGTCGAAGAGGATCCAGTCTCTCGCCCATATCCGACGAGGAACCGACTATGACTTCTTGGCTAGGAGACCGAGATGCTCCTGTCTGTCTACCAAACGGCCCTTACTACATGCCCGGCAACTTTCTATGCATCGACGACATCGCCCAGAACAACCATACATGTTTTGAAGGTACTGAGGAGCATATGAAAAAGTCATGTTTCTGCCGGCCTATGCAGGAGCTCAGGGAACCAGCTTGGATAACAGTGCAGGGCTTCTCCGAGACTGGTTACAATGCCCTGACCCTTGCTGTCAACAACTCCTCGTTCGAGGAACGTGACCAGTTTGGTCACACCGTTTTCCACCTCATGGCGGCGAGGTTCATGGGAGACGAGCTTTTTGAAGCAATCCGATCAGTTCAAGACGTGGCTATTCTCAATGAGCAAAACACAGCTGGACAGACACTATTACACGTGTTGCACACTTCCTGGTTTAACAGTGGAATTTATCTGCAACACCTGCTGGATATACTCGCTGGGAAAGGCTTCGACTTTAGCGCACGCGATCACTACGGCCGTTCCTTTTCCCATATCCTCCTTCTCAGAGACGAATCAGTTAGTCTCCGAAACCACCTACTTCAGCTTTGTGGTCCTACAAGTTACCAGAAGAGGGATGCATTCAATATGACCCCTACCAACGCAGTGATCCCAGAGCCCACCATCGGAATCAACAGAACATACACTCAGGCTATGGACATTGACCCCCCAGTACCAACGTCGCGACAGGACAGCGCCGACCCTTACCACACAACCGATCTTCAACAAGAAGCACGCACCCTCGAATACATTAGAGCCGCAGTAAACGACCCACTACTCGAAGATCCGGAAGGCCGAAATGGACTACAATGTCTCGCCGCCGCTACACTAAGCTCAGTCAGCGTCACACAAAAATACAACCTCGATAAGGAAGGCATGCCAAACTATCAAAAGAACAAAAGAGACAAGGCTGCCAAATATTCTGATTCAAGTACCAGTTGCTTGGAGTTCCGTCGAACGCTCTTGGAGAGCCTTTTAGCAGCAGGGGTTGACCCAAACCACTACGATATCCGTGGCAACACACCTCTCATGGCCTTTGCCGCACAACTCCCCGAAGACGACGACTACACAATTGGCCCAGATATCATCAAAGATCTGATCAAAGCAGGTGCACGTATCAACGCTCGCAACAGAGCAGGCGAAACAGCGTTGCACATCGCCGTCCGCTGTGGTCACAAGCTAGCTGCTAAGCAACTCGTCAATAGTGGTGCGAATGTGCACGCTCGCGATGCAGCAGGTCGAAGTGTTCTGGACGTCGCTGATGTGAAGATGAGGAGTCTGAGGGGCCAAGACGAGGCTGAATATGCACACCTTGAGGCTTGCCGGGCGTGGTTGAGCGGGACATCAGGCGGTGCTGTACAGGAGCCCACCGTGATACAAGAGTGGGAAGTTAGTGGAAAAGGAGAGAATTAGAAGGAGTTTTGATATTTATGATGGGATTTATATATTTGGATATGGACTTTTGTTGTCTTGGCGTTGGCGTCGGGCTGGAACCGGATACCTGGGCGTTTTTGGGCAAAATTAGGGATATACAAACTTGATATTTTGGTGATACATAGACTAAAGAGTTACAAGAAACAATTCAGAGAACAATACAAGGAGACTTGAAAAATGTCTCAATGATAGACGATCCGCATATTCAAGAAGCTTGAAGAGTAGTCTAGATGAGAGATGTGGCATGAGTGAAAGAAGGAATCCGTTCTGCCTGTTCGCACTCTCTAATGCATAAACTAAAACACAGCCATAACCACTTAGTATCCAAACTTCTGCCCGACAAGCTCTTCACTTAGTCTCCAAAGCTTCTCGGCCTCGACAGGGTCTCGCGCCCAAGACTTGTAGGAGTCGACAAAAGGGTCAGAGACTCTGGTCTCCAAGAGATAAGCACCGTTGTTTGCTGCGAGTCGTTAGCATGAAGTTCTAGTTGGACTCATATTTCCTCTTACCTCTGAGATTGGGATCAAAAGCAGCAAATGCGTGGGTAGCAGCGCCAACGTCAACAGAAACAGGGGTAAGAAAGTTCCAACCTTCGGTGTTTCCTCGTTCACGATGAGCTTGTACTTTGCGGTTGTTAGTTTGATGCGATGAGAGATGAGGTGAATGGCTTACTAAGAGCTCCGAGGTCACCGTCCATGCTGCCAAAGTCCAAGTGAGTTCCCAGACCTGTCGACATGATCATCCCTGGGTGGACGCTGTAAGATTGCAGGCCGCGACTTCCTAGTTTTTGAGCAAGGGATACAGAAAAGAGAGCGTTTGAAGTTTTGGCTTGGCCATAGGCGGCCCAGTTATTATAAGTCTCGCCGTTCTTATAAAATTAGCATGTTTTGACGTGAAGGATGGGAAGGAATTCTTACACTGAAGTGAGAATCCGCAAAGTGGACAGGACCAAGAGTGTGGCCATTGCTCGAGATGTTGACAACTCGGGGTGACTTGGAAGCGAGAATCTTGCCCATGATCAAGTTTGTAAGAAGAAAATGGCCAAGATGGCAAATCGCGAATTGCGACTCGAACCCATCAACACTCTTTGAGTAGGGAACAGCCATGATGCCAGCATTGTTGACTAGAACGTCAATGTTGGGCACGTCGTTCCAGCTGTTGACCTCCTCGGCAGCCTTGCGCACTGAAGCCAGAGAGCTGAGATCTACGATCAAGTTGCGAGTCTTGACGTTGGGGTAGTCTTTGGTGACGGCTTCAGCGAGCTCTTGGAGTTTGGAAGCGTTGCGGCCGGCCAGGATGAGGAGTTCTGGGGACTTGGAGGCGGTTTCCTGGATGAATATGCCACCGAGACTGTTGAGTGTTACACCAGTGGTGAGGATGACTTTGCCCTTGATGATGTCGGCATACTCGGTAACGAGCTCATTGACGGTGGTTGAAGCAGAATGAGGAGACATTGTGATTGATTCAAGAAGAGGAAAAATCTCAAGATGTTGTTGTAGATGGTTGTTGTTGAGTTGCTGTTCTGAGTGGATTGATGGTGATGATAATTCTCATTGAGTGAGAATATCCCACGATACTTATAGTATTCCTCATCTCTAAAGTCCGAATATTTCTTTCTACGTAATAGTCGAGATATTCGGATTTACAGCGAAAAACAAGGGTTGTGTAAGCGCATCCTAAGCTGCTGGCGTCAGCCATTTCGGTGTTATAAGGCGGGCTGGTGGCGTATGACGGGATTACCAAGAAGCCCGATATCCAATCACCACATGAGTTTACGTTACAGCACATGAGTGGATGTCGCTTGTCGTATATTTTATATTATAGGAGGTAACCCAACCGGTAACAAACTGACTGCATTATTTTATCTACAGTATCATTCTTCAATAACGAATGTACCTACTGTCTTAAGGGGTGGAAGGGAAGATCGCTTGTCCTGTCCTTGGGACGTCGGCGTCCAAATCTCGATATGTCTTGCTTCTCTTCGATACCTTAAACTACAAATAAAAAGAGCATATGATGGCGCTAATATATCCATTTCGTTGACTACCTAGTCTTTCTGTTTTTATTGTTCTATCTGTACAGTAGATACCTAAGCTAGCTATGTGACTTGGACGGGCACTTATAGACAATTTTGTAAAGACCTCAGTTCACAAATTGCATCATTATCAAGTGTAGAAGTCTTAGGAATGCAGTAATTGCTCTCCGATGCCAAGTATGTTCATCATAGGTCCCCTGAAAATAACAGGGAAAGAGGGCAGTGAGGGATTGGAAAGAGTTGACAATTTATATGATAACACAGTAATGGCAAGATAATGGCACTGCATTAGGCACTGTGATGATCAGGGCATGGTTACCTAGCAAACATTATGAATAAGGTTAATCGAGGTAGCAACTGAGGCTGTGCTGAGGTATAATGAAGTTTATTCTTTTGTGTGGATAACCTGGAATGTTGAGGCAGAAGCCGCTTTTTGGTGATTTTGATCAAAACTACTGGGTTGGGTATAACTCTCAAGCAAAAAGCAAAAGCAAAAGTAACGCTGGGTGTCCCACTGTCCCTATCAAAGCTACTTCCCTATAACTTTAAACCACCAGAGATGTACAGAACAGTACAGAACTAATGTGAAACCGAAACTCCCAGACCTGGCTGGGACTGAGAACATGATGTCTATCCATCTTGACATCTTCGTACCATTGTGCGATTCTTTCTCGATCTAGGATCTCCACGGTATCATTGACCGCTTCCTCGATTTTCATGGCAGAGAGTTAGACATGCATCTCGATATCGTGCAAGTGAACCAGCATGCTGTCGTCGCAATGTCACGGTGTCTATCATCTGAATCGGTTTGCGGATGTACTTGGACGTGAAGAATTTTGCTCCCTTGGTCGCTTTTGTATCGGGAGGCCCTGAGAAAGCGGAGCGGTGGGAACTGATTCCATAGCTACTCAGCATTAAGAAGAGTAGCTGTCCACCCACGACTCTACCAAAGGCGTACCCAGAACCCTGGTGCAAATTTCCAACTTAACTAAGCTCATAGATGACTGCAAAAGCCCGGCTACTCATAACCCGGCGGTCTCGTTGAGTTCCATCAGGTAAGAGATGGCCAGAGGCCAAGTATCCTATATGGGATAGTAGAGGAACCTACCGAATTGCTCAAAGAGATTATGGATCGAGGAGTTACTCCATGAACAGAAGGTATAGATGGAAGGATTGGCCTTGATCTGGCAACGGGGTACGCTTACGATGATGCTTTGAAGCTCTTTGGCAGGGTGGCAAGTAAGAAAGAGACAGCGATCTTGTATGATACCATGTATCTTGAAGGCACTTCCTGACGTTCTAGGATTTTAATAGAATTTTGACAAAAATACAACGAAGCTTAGCAGGGGACTGCACTAGGGGTATCTTTTTCTTCTCTTAGTATTGTTCATCCGACTTCCTTTCCACTAAAGATTTAGGGTATCAAAATAAGCAATCCAAAAGCTCAGTCTAAATAGTATGGAATGCTTCCAGCAGTCAACTTTTCTGTTACCCCTGAGGTCTAAGCACCAAGCTTCTCTGACGGGAGTGTTTCTACATCTTCTTGAACTATCAAGTAAAGGTTGGTAGAGCCACATCTTCATCTGGAGGTTGAACTTATTACTCGTTCCGTATTGGTTGAGAGGGTCCAACAAATGGTTCGTTCGCTGCTCCAGGATTTGCCAAAGGGGCCTTTTCATCCCGTTCAACCCGTCCTGACTCTCGCTCGTCACTTGGGGCCAGCAATGTTACTGGAGAGACGCCTTCTGCTTTAAAGTACTGTCCAGCTATCGCCCCCCTGAACTCCCATTTCAAACTGTGTGATTGGCGGATGTTGTATGTGGTAAAGGATGGAGACCTGAAATACTGGCGGCCATGACGTCCGAGACGCAAATCAATCATCCCCCTAAGATCGACGGGAAGAGAGCCGTTTGCACATGGTATGTAAATGCCGCCTTTGGCTTTAGAAAGAGTATCCATGACATCAAGGTCGAGTTCTGTGGAGCGCTCGTTCGAATGGGGAGACAAAATCCCGCTGCAGAGGAGATCTATGGTCCTGACAACCCGAATAGAGATAAATGACAGTTCAACCTGTTGTGGCACATCGCGGAGGGCTTTGCTCGTGGCTGTTCTGCTTGGAATGATATGAAACAGCACAGGTAGAAGGTCTGGATTGTCAAGTTGGATAACGGTTGGGAGGCTAACAATCAGGTCGAAGGCAAGCAGGGGGACGCTCGATGTTTGGAGGATCTGTTTGAGTTCTTGATAGAATGAGAGCTTGGTCTCTTCCGTTCCCGGGACGAGACGATAGGCCACGATCTTGTGATGGCTCCGGGCCCGATTGAGACCAAAATCCGGGATGGGAGGGTTCAGGGGCATTCTCATCACTGTGATCGGAAGCGTAGCCTCAACAGATTTGTTTTTCCCGCCAAATTTCAGTGTAGCTGTCAAATAGTACTCGATGAAAGCCTGAATATCTCCGTCGGAGGAATACATATACGTTGACGGGAGAACATGGTCTTCCTGGTGCAAGGGTAGGAAACTCTCCCTCTGCTTATCGTTTCTCAGGGATCTTGGATTGACATATTTCGGCAGTGTAATAGAAAAAGGCCAGACATGCTCGTCGGCGCCCGCTCCAATATGGATAGGACCCTGAAAGATCTTCAGTTGAGTCTTGGCGGAGATGAGGTTGAAACGACCTCGCTTGGTGTCGCCGAAGTCTATATCTTGGAGTACGATCTTGGTCTTGGACCTGCCCGACACTGAGATGACGATTGAAGCATTGGTGTTTATAGTGTGATTCCTTCGGTAGACGTGTCCGGTGATTGCGTCGCCCGGAGCGTATGGACGCTGGTTTCCATCAAGGCGGATGCCCAACGATGAGGAGCATGAAATACCGGTCCGAGGCATACTGTTGAGTATTAGAATGGTGAGAAGCGAGGAGCACAAAAAACGAGTCCACGAGGGTAAGAGTATTTGGTATTTGTACACAATTTCCAAAGCTTGTCACTAACTTTGTTTCTGGCTCCGTGGCTAAGAGTCGTAATTCAATATAGTTCATGAACCAAAAAGTAAGGGTATCTATATTTTACTTTTATTATTGAGGTTGAGTTAAGTAGGTATACCCATAACAGGTCACGTACACATGCTACATCATCAACTGTTATATTTTATGGCATTCTTTTCGTTCAACCAATTCCAATATTAAATTCCAAAAAGCCATGTTCTTATTCTATTACGATTTAGTAGTAACCTCATGACATGTTGGAACCCTTTACTTGAATCTTCCATGAGTTCGTTTTCACTTGTGGTTCGAGATTGCTAACACTCAGGTACAACTGCTGTGACTTTGACTGAATACGCAGTAACATATCGTGAGTTACTGTAACTTTGTAAGCCCCAAGTCTCTCAAGAACTTTAACGACAGACATCTACCTATCTAAGTGTCTGTAGACCTAGGTATGTAGTTATATAACATTTAGCCAATTATTGTTGGTCGCTAAGATACATGATCGAGTTTATCAGAGATAAGATAAGAACAAGCCGTAGGGTACCTAATGCAAGGTCCATGGATGCTTGGCCAACCAGAATGACAGGGTTTATAGTTCAGTGTTGGCTTTAGGGTGATAAATCGGCGATTGATCTGAGATGTGTCTGTTAAGGTCGCATGTCACAAACCTGACATACTGAAGTGGTTACCAGTCACAAATTTGCGACAACAAACGAATGAGGTATCGAAAAACAGAAACACCATCACTGAGTCGAAGAATGTTTGAATGATTCAGTCAAGAAAACAAACATCAAGGTATGACGTCGAACTACAAGGAAACGCTAGCATCGCAAAGTCAGTTAAACTCCGACACCGAGTCAAGGTCTGAAAAGTCATGCTTATCGCTTAGTATCCATTGGTCGGGCCGGTAATAAAATAAACAAGCAGAGCACGCAACCAAGGAGGAAGAAAAAACCTGCCCTGTCTTAGTATCCAGCCAATGCCATGGACACGTTGGCGAAGAGCGGTTAGTGAATGGTGGGTCTGTCCGAGGAATTCTCGGGCAGTGAGATCTGGCATTTTGAGAGAATAGTGACTGATGTTTGAGATCGTTCAAGCCTTGGCGTCGAAGGAGTGATATCAGTGAGTTATCATGTATTGATACTGTAACTCACCTGTTGGCCAGTTAGAATCTCTTCAAAAAATTCAAATAGCGGCCTTTTCTCAAAAAGATAACGTCACAGCCCAGCTTCATTCTTGCGGCTAACAGGGGGGATCCCCCCCAATTTGTCCTGCTTACCCCGGGTCCTGTTCAACAGTGGGGAAGCTTCAGTGGATGTTGGCCACTGTAAAACCAGAAATGCCACTGTAGAACCCCCTTGACCCGGTCCGTGCAGTCGCCGGCGCCGATTATCCGAGTCTTCCCGAGCTGGGAGACCGGGACCAGAAAAAAAAAAAGACCTCAAACCTCAAACACCAAAAAGGTTTTCCCCCCTTCTTCCTTTCTCTTCTTCACTCCACCCAACAATCTCCCCTCAGTCCTTTGTCGTCTGAATAACCATCTTCACAATGGCTGCCTCTACCGGATCCACCAAGGTCGACGCTGTCGTCCAGAACATCAAGGCTGAGACTCCTGAGAAGAAGTCTGGCCTTGCCCTCTACTCCCGATTCGCCCTTGCCGGTGCTGTCTGCTGTTCCGTCACCCACGGTGGTCTCACCCCCGTCGATGTGTATGTTCCAATCGCCCATGCGATGAGTCTTGCGTCGTCAATTGCTTCAGAGGTGGTGGTTCTGTGCGCCGGGATTGCGAGACACAATAGCCTTGCTACGGCCACTTTACCACGCAGCAAACCTTGATAGCAACAACCGACAAGCATTCGCGCACCGCATTATCCAAAAATAAGCAACTGACAAGGCCTACAGCGTCAAGACCCGTATCCAGCTCGACCCCGCTACCTACAACCGCGGTCTCATCGGTGGTTTCCGCCAGGTCGTCAAGAATGAGGGTGCTGGTGCTCTCCTCACTGGTGTCGGCCCTACCTTTGCCGGTTACTTCCTCCAGGGTGCTCTGAAGTTCGGTGGTTACGAGTTCTTCAAGCAGCAGTGGATTGACACTCTCGGCTACGAGACTGCTTCCAAGAACCGAACTGCTGTCTACCTGGCCTCTTCCGCCACTGCTGAGTTCTTCGCCGATATCGCTCTCTGCCCTCTTGAGGCTACCCGTATCCGTCTCGTCTCTGAGCCCACCTACGCCAGCGGTCTCGTCTCTGGCTTCGGCAAGATTGTCAAGAACGAGGGTGTCGGTGCTCTCTACGCCGGTTTCGGACCCATTCTCTTCAAGCAGTAAGTTCCTACGGTTCAATCGCACATCTCCCACAAACTGACTTGTGCTCCAGGATCCCTTACACCATGGCCAAGTTCGTCGTCTTCGAGAAGGTCTCTGAGTCTGTCTTCCGCACTTTCCCCAAGAAGGACCTCTCCGACGGTATGCAGACTGTTGCCAACCTTGGCTCCGGTCTGATTGCCGGTTTCGCCGCTGCCATCGTCTCTCAGCCCGCCGACACCATGCTCTCCAAGATCAACAAGACCAAGGGTCTCCCCGGTGAGGGCACTGTCTCTCGTCTCGTCAAGATCGGTAAGGAGCTCGGTATCCGTGGCTCTTACTCTGGTATCGGTGCCCGTCTCTTCATGGTCGGTACTCTCACTGCAGGCCAATTTGCCATTTATGGCGACTTGAAGAAAGTAAGTTCATTTAATAGCCCTTGCGTTGAAGTTCTCATGGCTCACGATGTTTTTAGGCTATGGGTGCTACTGGTGGTGTTGAGATCGCTGCTTAAACGACCTGAATACATTTCGGATAATTGTGGAGAAAAGGTTAGTTATTAAAAACCTTAAACCGAAATTAGAAACACCCAACTAACTTGCTCCTGCCAGTTACTAGGTGCAAAGGATGAAGGGGTAAATAGCCGCTTCCAAGCTCTTGATTGCACTTTTCGAGCCATTTTTGTAAAACACCATGATAGATTAATGTTCAACTCAAGGCGCAGGGATGCCTTTTACGATATACTTTTCCCTCAAGCCTTGTTAAATCGTATCCAGAAACCGTTCTGTATAAGTGAAGACATGTTTGATAATGTGATCATCTACGACCAACACCAACATCCACTTACCCTCTGCATTTCAGGATATACGCCTTTTGCACTCATTTCCAGAACGTGCAGTGACATCAGTAATTTATAATCCATCTATAAATACATTAACAATGGTCCAGTCAGGGGTGGATGAGGCTTGAACAAAAGACACGGAACAGCCCCACAGCATGTCGACTAGACTCCTTTGAGATGTCACCATCCAACGCTTTGAGGTTTCGATACAAAGTGGCAGAAAGTGCGTAGTTGGATTGCAGGAATGTGGTTCAGATCTTGTTGCACTTCGATCATTGAGGTAGACAGGTTATGCCTTAAATTCCAATCGTAAGAGAAGACACAGGCAGTTCCCGAAAAAGGAAACAAACCTTGCTACTATTAATCGAGTCATCATATTGCATCTTGCTGGTCGGGCTTCCGTTCTATAGTTCGAGGCCAGTAAAATGGCTCGTTCTACTACGCTCATCGATTTAATTCATTGAAGTATTGCCCTTAGGAACTGCTATCAACATCACAGACTTGAGGATGAGGCTAAATTAACACCTTGAAATAAAGAAGTGCCCAGGACATTTATGCATTTGAGGCTCAATCTACTCTCGGGTCGAACTAAATATTTTCTTTTGGCCATTTTGCTATCTTCCCATTATTGATCCCCGATATATACATACATTTATCTCAGAATTACCATACATGATGATGAGCGTGGCAAACCACCCTTAGGCAATCCGTTTGACGTTCATCCCCCAAACCCAGACTCAGTAACATTGACCGACAACAACATCCCGAAAATAATTGCCTGAGTTCTACTTATCACCCTTGTTCAGAATCTTAGTAGTATGTTCAATATTCTCAATGGTGACTCCCAGCTCGTTTGCCAACGAGCCGTCGTTGCATGCAACTCTGCTGAGGCTGGGTGCGGCCAGTTAATTCCAGACAAATTCCACTTCCTATCTGTCTGATGTAATGCTAAGATGACGTTTGAGATTGTCAAACAACTTTTGCTTCAAAACTCCACCATGTTCCCGTGCTATCGATTCCACTAGTCGCCATGACGCTCTCTGTATAGCTTCGAGGAGAACTTTGTGATGTACTAGAAACTGGAAGGCTAGTGGAATATTCCCTTCCTGACCGAAATCGATAAGATCAAAAATGCTGTAAGGGAGGTTGACGGCGTGTAGGTGCTATAACGAGTATGTAGAACAGTCGCCGTGAAAGCATCGTGCACTTTCTCAATGAGAGCCTCATTCTCAACAGGGACTTCAATTATGTCATGGCAATAATGAAGAAAGAAGGCGAGCGATCCATATGGAATCTTCTCGCCGAGTGTAAACTGGCCAGCCTTTCCAGTGCACATCACCTTGTGGACGGCTTTGACATGCTCGGGTTGCCAGTCAATCCCTGGTCGCATGCGTGGCTTAACTATTGTTAGTTTTTGTCCGTTTGAAGCGTTTAAACAAGTGCTTACCCTCATCTCTTTGATCCGGTTGGCAGCATCCTGGTTCTTGAGAGGACTATTAGGGTCAAAGGCCAAGAAGGTGGCTTCGCCGTCGTCCTTAGTGTGTGGACCATAGGGTGGGCCAGGAAGCGATGAGGCTACAGCCTTTTCGATGTTGTCCAAATACTCAAAGTTGCCATAAGCGGTGAACAGATCATAGAGAATCAGACACTTTGCTTGAAGTTCATCCAAATGAGTGACAACAGCAGGATCAGGGGTTATTAACTTGGTAGCCTGGTCAGTCATTTCGCCGCTGCATCGTAATTATCCCATCATGTCTTATCTCTGCATATACCAGAAGTAGTGATATAATATATATTGATGGTTAGTATTATAGAAACCACCAAAAGATTGTGGGTTGTGAATTATACCTGAGTCTTCTCTTGGACATTCTCCTTTGCCGAGAGTGCAACGTTAGGCAGTTGCCTGATATTTTAACACTGACACATACCTGGCTGATTCACAGCACCAGCAAACACAGAAAAAAACTGGTGACATTCCAGGTATAAATCTGGCACTGAACTCCCGTCCCTCCCCAACCTTCACTTCTCATCAACACTCGCTCACCTTCACCCTGCCACGCGATCACGCGCGGTGCACTCCCCTATTGCTTGCTTCCCCTATCAGGATATATCTCAGGCAACTTCATCCTTCTCAGGGTAGCCTGCCGCTACATTTCTCATTATCTTGCGCATTCATTCCGTTTCTACACTGCATACACTCGCAAAACTTGTGTTTGGTCTTCTCCTTTACACAATCATCTGGTAAGCCGCCCTTAATTCTTACGTCTTCGAGCCCAAACTCACTCTGTGGTTAGCAATCCGACTTCCTGCGTAGCTGGTTGTATTCTGATTATTTGTGTGAATCAAACGTCTCGGCAATTACCTACTCTTCAACATCACGATTTCGATACCCTCCATCATGCTCAACCAACCCGATCCGGAACTCCCTGCGTTCTTTGCGATCCTCCGAAAAGAGATCCATGATTTTGCTCAACGTTTCTGGGAGACTGGAAACGAAGGTTACTTGGAAAAGATGAACGAAACCTTGGGCGAAGGTTGCGATAGACTTCATGGCAAAGATGCGTACCTGGCCTTTAATAGAGGCAACTACTTTGATGATGATGACATTTTTGATGTGGTTGAGGAATTCGAGGTGGGCGCCTGTCACAAGATGTATATAAGACCAAAACTGACGACAAGTCAAGCCACAGGTAGGACGCGAATTGAACCCCGATCTCATCCGACCTATTCACGACATCCTGCTCAAAGAACTACCAGGCGGAGACGGAATGTTGCTCGGCGAGCGGCTCCCGCATTCAGCGCTCGGCTTCTTTCTCGACTATTGTGACAAGGAGTCAATCTGAATTTTCCGCCGGAGATGATTTCTGAGACTGTCTGTCGTGCCGTTCGTCTAAGCGAAGCGCATGCCCGCCACGCTCCGCACTCATCGCCCCCCTCTACGGCGCCGATTGTGGCCCCGTCGAGTACAAGTAGACAGGAAGGCAACAGCAAGCCTTCTCAGCTGGGTTGTGACTCTCTAGTGCGCGTCAAAGGAATTGTTGAGTCTATGCAGAAAGATTTGGGGGTATCGGCTGAACTCGCATCACTCAATGGCGAAATTCCACAGGGTCAGTCTGCCGAAGATCTTGCAACCCGGCTCCAAGCTATGATGAACAGCCAGGAGTCAGAGGTTGATGTGCACCAAAGATGATCTCAGCCATCCATGCACAAACTGCCGGTAATATCAAAAGTACCATGAGACAGCTGAACATCGCCACCAATGAGCTAAACAAAGTCATCCAGCCTGTGGGTGAAGGAAACAACTAGGCCCTGGAAAATAGCATACGAAACACTACTACCAGTTGAACCCATTGGGCCTGAAAATGAAGGACGTCGGTCGAATGGATTATCAAGGTTATACTTGGGAGAAGCTTGCGGTCTATCATGTTTCGTGGAAGATTCGCTGAGGATATAAGGCGAGATCAGGTACAACTATCAAAGGTCTGCAAAATCACAATTGTGTTGATGTCTACGTAGAAGGAGTCTTTAGGACAGGTTAATAGAAGCCTAGATAAAATAATCAAAAGCGCAGAGCAAAGTAAACTGATTCAATTGCTATGGTGGAATTTGAGTTGCGAAGTGGTGGGAGCTCTGTGTAATTCTTTGCAGGTATGATGGAGGATGTTCGAATTGTCGAATGTGCTGAAATGTAAGATATAAATCTGCCCATGGGAAGCAAAAACATAACAAATACCTTTTGGTAATTTTTTACTAAGGTTCTTTTTATTCTCTTCAGTGAACTATTGAAATGCGTATCTACGTGTTGTCTGATATCATCATGCCTTTTTTGTTGAGTTCCATCAAGCAGGGTTTCGATTTAGATTGACGTGTAAAGTCGCGGCGCAGTAGAGTACCCTGCGCCTCAGCACGTTACCTATCAACTTAGATACTAATGCATGGGACAACTGGTTTTCTGGGACAAAAGCTAAGCAAAAACAGCGTTGGCAAAGTCCAGCTCTGCAGGTCAACCTTTGACAGCTCAGAATGACCCATCAATAGTTTGATCCTTGTTGAGTCAAACTTGGAGCATTGGAAATCAGGAATTGTAGAAAGTTCATTTTAATCACCAACGAATTGGACTTTGGATACCAAGGTGGTTTGATCAACCTAGAAATCAGGGAATTATAAATTAGACAACTTTAGCCATATCGCTAGTTTAATTTAAAATGCGCCTTTATCAGTTAAAGGTTAATGCGGTGAAGCTGTCCACGCATGATGAGATCGGCAGATGACCAGTCAAAGTATGTAGCGACAGATATGACGGCCCAGACCCTTAGGTTTTCTACACGAATTGCTAATGTTCCAACAATCATATTCTTGATTCGCTGCAAAATTAAGCCAACACGGATAACAGCTGTGTTTTGGCGGTTTGGAGCGCAAAGGTACCTGCCTCTTTCTTCCTCTCGGCGGCTCTTTCTCCAAGCGTTGTCAGTTATTCACGCCGCCTGCCGATGTGTTGTACTGTGCAACGCAACCGTCCAGCGACTTCCACTACTTCTCCAACTTGACTTCATCAACTATTCGAGACCATCAATACTCTGCATCCTCACACACTCACTCAACCGTCCGTTCATCTTTTGTGATTGTTTCTGCCTTCTTTTGCTGTCGCTTCTGATTCTACCTCTAATCTTTACCCCTCCTTCATGACCACGAGACACTGATAAGCTCATGGCCCACAGCTATCATGACTGCTCCCACCCTTGATAGCGAAGCCCAAGCTCGCATCCCCGACCGACACATTTCCTCGCCAGACTCGCCAATACAGACGATAGAAACCCCCCTCAAATTTGAGATACCCGAAGACTGTCGCACTTTCTCTCCATTTGCTCGCCTACCGCCCGAAATACGCACCCAGATATGGCAAAGTACCCTGGACACCCCCGGTATGCACTTTCTCAAAATCGACACCGACTGGCACCCATCCACAGGTATCGGAAAATGGTGGATGAAAGAGTCGACCCTCCTCAATATGTCCTCGGATGACGAAAATGAAGAAGGTGATCCTATGACCCTCGAAGTCAAAAGGGAAAGGCGGCCAACACACAAAATAGATGGTGCCTTGAAGCCTCTCTACCCCACTTCACAAGCCGACATCTCCTACTACACCAACCTGCACAAGCAACTCGCCAAACTCTCTGTTACATGCAATGAAGCTGCGGCTGTTGCCAAAAGCCTCGTGAAACGATCAACCGCCTTTCGTTTGGATACTGGACGGCTCGTTAGCCTCAACTCCTCATCAGATGTTATTTACCTAGATTACATCCCTCCCGATTTCTATGAAGACAACATACGTTTTACCAAAGCTCTAAACTGCTCAGGATTGGATCAGATTCGCAAGGTCGCCATGAGATACTGCCACAAATGGCATGACCGGAAATCACCACTGCGGTGCCCGAATTGCGGCCAGATTCATGACCTGACTGATAGACTCAGGTATCCAAAGCATCTGTACCGGTTTTTAGCACAATATCTTCCCAACTTGGAGGAATTTTACTTTGTTGACTACATGATTCTACGAAAGTCACGTGGAACTACCGAAGCCTGTACCGATACACAAGGATCCTTAAATGGCCAAAGTGGTATGTGACGAACGACGAGATGTGATCCCAACGCAACCACTGACTAGAAGCTACAGCAGGAAAACTCAGAACGTCCAGGTTTGAGGGCGGAAACAGAAGCTTCTATGAGGTGGAAGAGCCAAGCTGGAAGATCACCTCACATGTCCTTGAGGTTAAATCCTGGTTGCAAGAACATTTTGTTAAATACGCCAAATTGAGTAAGCTCAGCAAACACAAGAATCCGGAACAGGTCAAATTCGGCGTCCTCGCATGCGAATGGCGTGTCGAACCTCCTGCGACACCAAAGAAGGCATCCGTGACGCCAGTTAAAAAGGGAAGAAACAAGAGAGCTCATAGTGAGGAGCACTCTTTGTCAAGGGCCCGACAGATATCGCCGCGCCAGAGACCAATTTCCCCCATCGAATATCTTCCCTACGAAGCGACGGTCCGTTATCCGTTTGTTTTTGACGCGTGCGGCAGCAACAAGTATGATTTCACCTTTTCAATGTCCCTTTAAGTTCCTTTAAGGGATTTTCTAGCACTGAGCTTGGGTTTAAACTCGAACTTTGGCGAGGAGTTTCGGTTCGAATTCGGAGTTTGGGATCACTGCAGTTCACACTTTTGATGTTCTTACAGGCTGGGACTGGCGGAGTGGTATTATCGTTACAAAGATTAGAATAGCATAGAGTATACACCTTTCAGATCACATCGGCGTATTGAGTCTACCCTACGATTTACACACCCTTCCCTACAACAAGAAAAGTTATTGATTGTCCTTTGCTGGTTAACAGTGCAGAGTTGTGCTTAGTATACTCCCACCATGGAAAGCTCATCAAGCATGCCTTTGGTTATTCTGTTCAACTCCATCAACTTACTTGGCCGTGTTGTCCACCCGTCTTCCACAACACCCAGCTCAGAATTCAGCATATCCTTGTATCTTTGACACGTCATCAAACCTGTCCAAGCAGTCTTGCTGGACCAAGGGCTAGGAAACCCGACCAGCAGATTAATCTGACTCATAACATGCCGAAGCAGCTCGGAGAAGAGAACAAATTGGGTCGATGGCTCAATCAGTGGTACCTCAGCAAACGCCATGGGAGCTGAGTCAATCAGATCCCGTCGTGGGTCCGATATTGAGTTGAAGATTAATTTGAGGACAAATTCAAGATGCTTGATGAGTTGGACGTAACAAGATATGATGAGAAACATGGTTGGTGAATCAAAGACGGGAGGAAGCCGTGGAGCAGAGCTTCCGGATGTTGGCGTTGTACCACCGGATGAGAGAAAGGGTGGTGATGAAGCGGAAGATGTTGGTGTATCTGCAGTAAGTGCCATTATCATTTTGTTTGTATATGGCTGCCGGCCGTAGCAGGAAACAGAGCGCGTGCCAAGCTGTTGATGCAGCGTTTTCAGGACAACCAGAAAGTCCTGTGCCGTCCTCAAGACCATCTGTACATTCTCATAACCATTCATGGTACTATGAACCTTGCAAATAAATTCGTGCAAATCGGAATTGCTCACAAATTGAGCAGCAAATTCCCTTCCCCGGTGGATATCCGCATTCAGCCTTGACAATTTCTCAAACAGCTGCTCACTAGGTCTGATGACGGGCTGCTCAACATCTTGGGCATCGAGAGTCTGCACAGCAGGCCATGTTTCCATAGGAAACGGAAGAGTTTCTGGCGAATAACCGCAGAAAGGGTCAAGATTCCATGTCGAATCGTCCAGCAGACCCTGGATAAACTGCATGCCATCATCCATTGGCTGCGGCGAATCGGGGCCGCTACGAAGCACGATTTCCACAGCTTCAACCACGTCGTCCTTCTTGGGTGGTCGCCCGACGCGACGCTGCAGACCGGCCTGGCAGTGTAGGTTGAGACGGGAACAACGGGCGCATGTGGCGCTGGGGCCGACAGGGCGAGAACATCGGAGCTTTTGACGGCGACAGCGCTCACAAGCGGAGCGGATTTGATTTGGATGTGTTGATGGGGCGGTGTGCATTTTGTTTCCCTCTCACACAAACTTGTGTTTGTCTGAAATGATGAATTTTTGTCTCTAATGTTTGGGGTGAGATGAGAAATGAGATGTGAGTGAGACGGATAGAGTAGAATTAGTTGGATGTTATGCGGGGCTCCGCTCGGAGGCTTTAGTGGGTCGATCGGAGGGTTTTGGACGGGGCCGTGCGGGAGAGGAGACGGGAATGGGAAGCTTGAAATATGGAACACGCCGACTACATCGGAGGCTACCTCTTTATAAGGTATGGAATCACTATTATCGGGCTTACGATGATGAATTCATGCTGCGAATTGTTTCTAGAATTAATCGATTGACTACAGTTTTAGTTTCTGAATACAGTTGCTGAACATGTCCAACCTTGTTGGGATGCTTACGGTATTGTTTTCTCTTTTCTCTTTTGCCAAGATATCAATTGTGTTGTGATGAGGTAGGTAATTAAATTTGGTCGATTTTGAATTTTCATTCTGGTTTAAATAGTCCCAGTGCCCCTTCCACATAGGTGCTCTTTAATGCTCCAGGCCTACCTGACGGGCTGCGCTGGGGATTGCATTCTTTTATGCTATGGCAACGAACACAACTTGGATTCAAGCCTTTCCTCGTTAATGGGTTTTTCGACAGTCAATCCAAATTCATGTCGCTCATGCCCTCGTGATTGATGAGTCTGCGTTCTATCCACCTTTCCCCTCGAGGGGCTGCCATGACGCTACTTCTGAAAGTCCAACACTATCCTGTGCTTTCAAGCTGCTAGCCATCTTGCACTGGGAAGCACTACCATGCACATTTCCTCCTACTCGGAGGTATATCGAGTCTCAAGGAACAACAGTATCTAAGGCTTGAACACGTTCAACGCCGAAGTCACCAAGTGCATCTCGCACATAATAGCGGCCCGAAGGATAGCCACGGGATGACATCTTCATTCTCATTCAGAACCTTAGAGCTCCCGGCGACACACTTGGAGAACTGCAGTATCAGAGCATGCTAAACATGAAGCCATATTTTATGGATATGAGCATGACGCTCGCTCGAGACCCTACTAAGGCCAACCCTCATGATGGGATCACTCGTCGTGATTATACTTTCGCCCATTTCAAGACTGTAAGAACATCCGACGAGGAGGCTCTTTCAATGGCACAAGAAGACACTGGTTGCATTAAGCCAAAGTCTGTATTCTAAATAAAGGCTTCAGGCCGACTATTCTTTCTTTGAGCTTATAGTCGACTGCGTCATCTGCAACGATGCCTGTAAGTACTTGCATCCTATCGTATATACTTAGACCCTAATAACACATTGATGATAGTTGAAGCTTAAAAAAAGACCGGCCATGTTACCCCCTTAGGCTACTGATGATGCGGAAAGATCATCATGCCTCAAGTCCCTCCGCTGACGAGTGAGGTCCCTAAGGACCACACTCACTGGAAGTGTCACACCAACCCATGTTAACATTCGAGAAGGAAAATGAGGGTTCAGATTCGTCAACACATGCTATTTGTCAACCAGACTCTACCATACATCATCTATGTATCATATACGCACCTGGGGTGCATCGTCTATGTTCGTATTCCCGACGAGAAGCGCTTTAAGCTTCATAAAATAGCCGCGAGAGCTCCAAAGAGACATTTCATTCGCGTCAAGGGCTACCATAGCCTAGTTTACTAAATCTGGATGCCCGATAAGAACAAAAGTTTCCGGCTCAGGATGTCATATCCCTTGGGAAATGCAAAGTCTGTCGACTACGGCGTGGATTATGGCTACTTTGTCAATTTGCACTGCCAGATTGGCTGTAGTTTGAACTGCTGAAGATTTGTCTCTGCGAGGCAAGATCATGAATCCCACGGGGCAAATACCATTTGACAGATATACTTGGACTATCAAGACTTTTAGTAGGCTATACCTGATCTTGCCTTATATCCTAAGCGAATTTCCCAGGAAACATATCACACCGACTAGGGGCATGAAGCATAGCCAAGTCAGGTAGAAATGTGAATTAATCAGAGTTAATATCACCTACACAACTCAAAAATAAAACATCTGCTGCCTTTAACGAGATTCGAGACATTCTTTCCTGGCAAAGAAGAGCAAAAAGAAAACCAACGACGCAGGCCTGATTCGAACAGACGCCTCCGAAGAGAATAGATTTCTAGTCTATCGCGTTAGACCACTCCGCCACTGCGCCTTATCATTGGATACAAATATTGGATTTCCAGGAGCCCAAGTACTCATTGCTGGGGACAATGACAAAGTTCGCTGTCTGCATCGTCTAGGTACTTCATTTTTGAACCAACGTCGGCCTTCCACATTGCGGCCCCTTTGGATCTTTATTTTTGTTCATTTTTTATGAGCTCCCTATCAAATAGCTTAGATTACAGGAATTCTCGAATAGCTTCCCAGAAAGCCTGAGGGTTCTCGGACATGGGTAGGTGACCCGTTTGAGGAACGAGCTTCAGTTCTGCGCCCTTGTCTCCAAGAAGTCCCTTGCTCGCATCCATGGCCTTGGGCAAAGCACCCTTTGCATCCTCTTCTCCGGCCACAAACAAGCCACGAACCTTGCAGCTACCCATCTTGGGCTTAAGGTCATAATCCCAGAGGGCTGTGTTGCTATACCTGAAACCCTCGACATCGTTAGAAGCCACCATCTCAGTCATCCACTTAACCGTCTCGGCGTTTGTAGAAGGGTGGAACCAGCGCTGAACAGTCTGCTCAGCAAGCTTCTTAATTCCATTGCCGCCGTCCTCTTCGGCCGTAGCAGTGCGGTCCTTCCAAGCTTGTGTATTTGCTTCGCTTGATGTGGGGTTGAAGTCACAGGCGATGAACTGCTCTAGACGTTCGGGATACTTGATAGCAAAGTTGAGGGTGGTGACACCTCCCATGGAAACACCAATAAGAGTATGTAGTTTTGTAATGCGGAAAGCATCGAGCACAGTCTTCAGGTCGTCAGCCACTTGGTCAATAGTGGCAGCGACGGGAGGCTGTGGTACGGCATGTCGGCCGCGGGTATCATATCGTAGGATTCGCAGGTCAGGACGTTCACGCTTTAGGATTTCCACAAAAGGATCCCACATACGCAGAGATGTCAACAGCGAATTGCAGAATGCGACAGTAGGGGCCTTGGGATCTGGGTTGCCCTCCAATCGGAAAGGAATGTTCAGAGAGTCTGGAGTTGTGACAAATGAGTTGATAGCAGCATTGGGACCGGGCACGGTTGACTGCTTGGAGTCGGGCGAGGTAAATGCAGCTGTCGATGGGAGCTTTGACAGGGAATGCAACTCTCGAGGAGCAGGCCCAAAGACGTAGAAGAGGGAATATGTCCTTCGGCCCTTGGAGGCGACATACTTGTCAAAGACTTGAGTACGCCAAGGGGTATCCATAGACGCCTTGTGTGCCTCCCCGCCTTGACCATTTTCCTTAGCATATTCATGTAGCGCAAGGAAGGTCGTCTTGCCCTGCCCCTCAAGATACGACGTCTTGAAGGCGCGAGAGCGCAACCAACCAGGAACCTTGGCCAGCATGGGAATATGCTCTTCAGTCAACCACTTTTCGTATTCTTCCTCAGCACCCTCAGTGTCCTTGAGATCAATAGTAACAGCAGTAAGCTGGTGGCCCTCAGCTTCGTCGTCACTGAGCTTCTCCAATGGGATGAACTGATCAGACTCCTTGGTGTGAACCAAGTCCCAGAAATACCGCTTCACGTCGACTTGTCCAATTGTCTCAGCTTCTCGGGGAGATCGATTTGCGCGTAGAGTGAGGTACGTCTCGGTTTCGAGCAGGGGCATATCTGCCACGTCGTACGCGGCAAGGTATTCAGGCTCCTGGCCGTCGGTCGCTTTATAACGAAGACCGTTGGTGAAGATCTGAGGGATACGGAGACGGGTTGGGCCGTGCTCGTTGTTATACCACTCATGGAATTGGTCAATAGACAGCCCAGGCCTGGGCTGCATTGTGACGTAGAGGGAACCAGGAGGAGACATGATGGCTGATGATGCGGAATTGGTAGCTTGAATTGGAGAAAGAAGCTTACTGAGTGGTATTTTAATTGTTTTAAAGCGGCCTCATGGCCTCCGGAAGAACGATTTACATGATGGCAGGTGGAGCGAGAATCGGCCGCGAACGCGAAAGTGATCCGGTTCGGCAAATGGCATCGGGAACGTAGAAATGCGGGAGCTGGTGTAAACATTTACCCCGCCACTCACCGAAGCTCACCGGCACGTCACCGAGATTCAAGGTCCACACCGAGAACTGGTAGTGGTGGTGATGGGGAAGGAGCGACCTTGGAAATCCAGGGTCTCGACTTGATTTGCATGGCCTGTGCTAACACAGGGACCGTCACAGTACACACACTGTACAAATGGCAGCCAACAATACTAAGCCAAGCCAAAATTCGTACAAGCCACAGTGCGCTGTTTAGCTGTCACAGCACTGTGACTGGCAGTGTAAGTGCAAGTGCAAGCAAGCCGCAATTGTATGCAAAATAGCCAGGCAGCTTTTGTTGTTCTTCTATGCACCTCCTCTCTGCTTCTATCTTCTTTCTCCGCAAACTCACCCGCGCGAATGTGAAGCAACCCTTTCTTCGTAACCGTACATACCCGGCCACCTCACAGCGGCCGGCCTCCCGCATGAAGCCCTCTTACATTCGACTAACCGTACATAACGAAATACCATTGTCTGCATTCTTTCTTCTCGGCTTGATGAAGAAGGAATAGATCGCCATTATTGTTGCTTTCGGGTGGACCATCAAATGCAATAGAACAACATAGATCATGTGAGATCAGAAGCAACATCAAGGCATGCCATCTGAACTAACGGATTCCAGATCATTATAATATCGTCTCGCATTTGCAACACTATATTTTCCCTTCCACCTGCTGAGGGTGGATGCGCCAACTTTCTCGAGGCTTTCGGTTTTGCCCCCGACTCAACGATGGAAGTCTTCTGCCGAAATGTTCCTCTTGACTTATCAGAGGATGACTTCAAGCGGGAACTTCTTCCCTTGATGAAAGCCCTCAACATTTCAGATTTCTACTGCGAAAAGCCCAAACGTAGAAGACAAGCATGGATCAAGTTCCTCAACGCCCAAGATGGAAGGGCATTTCTCGCCCGGCATGGCAAGCAAAGACCTCAGATTGATCTTAGCAAAGAGAACATCAACCCAAATAATTTGTTCAGGTTCAACTCAAGTATCTTTCGGTCAATTCCAAGAGATATAGCGCGTCTTTACATTCTCAAGGTCGCTGTGTTCGCGGAGCAAAGCACAAGGCCTGTGGACAAACATGCCATTGCGCACCTCAAACATGAACGCGAAAAGAAGAAAAAGGTTACTACCAATGCGAACAACAAAGATCGTCGCGCCCCAGACAAGGTTTTCAGCGTTACCGGTATCAGCTGCGGTGGTAATACCTTCTGTGGCCAAGATGAAGTGTTGACATTTGTTGACCACAAGAAATTGGTTCTTCCCAAGAAGATCGTCGGAAAACTCACACCCCAGTGGATCACAATCCAGACCCCGTTTGAAAATCGGATGGACTTTTATAACGAGACTATCCAGGACCTTATTGCTACCCGTAGTGATATGTCCCTCACATTGGTCTTGACGGAACCGCCGAAGATGTACATGTATCGCCCCTTATCAGAGCGTTCGAGTCAGGAATGGAGCCGAGTAGAGGAACTGGTAATTTGGGGCTTGGCTCGTGATTGTTCTTCATCTTGTCTCGTATATCGCATATATCTCTACGATATACCTTCGTTCGACGAAGTCTTGAGATCACTGAGGAACAAGGACATTCTCGCCATCACCAACCACGACTTACCATCTGTTGGATGCCATGACATGGGAATAGAAAGCAATCAATTTCTTGGACGACGAACCTTTATCGAGAAGTCTGAGAACCTTCTCACCTCCGGTAAGGTGCACTTCGCTCTTCTATTCCAGGTTCAGGCTCTCGTCTGGAGCAACTTTATCAATCCAGCCAGTGGTATAAAGCTTCTCGACTTGTTGGGCCGTGTTATAGAGGATCATAAAGAGCATGAAGTAGCGATTCCTATCACAACAAATGCCATGAAGAAACTCTTCCAGACAATTACATACCCTCGTCCTGGTACGGAGCCCAAGGAGCTAGACGTGTTGAGTATCATGGCCAGCATCATGGAAACTGAGTATGAAGCTCGCAAAGACAACCCTGAAAGAGACCGAATTTATGGAGGCAAGTTACCATCAAACCAAATCTGGGTCTTCAAAGCTCTGATCACACCTACACGATTGCTTCTCGCTGGACCAGAACCAGAGAGTAAGAACAGAGTGCTACGAAAATACTCAGACTACAATGATCATTTCCTCCGCGTCATTTTCTGCGAAGAAGACGGCCAGGAGGTGAGGTTCCATCCCAAAGTGGACAACGAGTCAATATATTCTCGCTTTCGACGCATAATGGATGACGGCATTCAAATCGCGGGACGGAGGTATCATTTTCTTGGATTCTCTCATTCCTCTCTCCGTTCACACTCTGCCTGGTTCTTGGCACCTTTTACCGATCAAAACTCTCAACTACACAGACCGGAAGTCATCTTAAAGGCTCTTGGAGACTTCACAGACATTCGTGTCCCAGCAAAATGCGCGGCACGTATTGGCCAAGCATTCTCAGAGACACCTTACGCAGTGCCGATCTTTGAGAACAATATCGTCCCGCGATTCATCCACGACATCAAGTCTGCAGATGGATCCCGTGTCTTCAGTGACGGAGTGGGGACAATTTCCCAGAAAGCGCTGGAAGAAATCTGGCCTTATCTTTCTATGAAGTCTGCGGCGCCGACATGTCTTCAGGTTCGTTGGGGTGGTTGTAAGGGAATGCTGTCTTTGGACACCACACTTGAGGGGAAGGTGTTCTGCATTCGAAAGGAATCCATGATGAAATTCCGAAGTGAGGATATCAGAGAGCTCGGCATTTGTGACACTGCATCTAAACCACTGCGACTGGTTCTTAACCGCCAAATGATCAAAATCCTAGAAGACATGGGTATCAAAGATGAATGGTTCTTCGGGCTTCAGAACAACGCACTTGACATCCTACGCAACGTCACAGCTGACGCAACAAACACGAGCTCCTTTCTGGAACATCAGGCAATTGGTATAAACATGGGCCTCCCCAGGCTGGTCAAGCAACTTGAGACAATGGATATTGACTATCGCCGCGACAAGTTCCTCAAGGCTGCTGTCGAGCACGTCGTCCTGCGAGAACTTCGTTTGCTAAAGCACAAAGCTCGAATTCCTGTCGACAACGGAGTGACACTTTTTGGTATTATGGATGAAACGGGATTTCTTAACGAGGGCGAAGTATATATTACATACGACAAGACTTATGGCAGAGGTAACGGTCGAGGCATCAAGTCTACATTGAAAGATGGCAGGGTTATAGTCACTCGCTCACCAGCTCTTCATCCTGGAGATATTCAGCTTGCCAAACAAGTCACTCCGCCACAGGACCACCCCTTGCGAAGTCTTCAGAACTGCATCGCATTCAGCCAGAAGGGTAAGCGTGACTTGCCAAGTATGCTGAGTGGAGGAGACCTCGATGGAGACATCTACAACATTATATGGGATCCTGAAGCAAACCCGTTGAGAATATTTTCACCAGCAGATTATCCAAGAGTCACCCCTAAACCTCTGGATCGTCAAGTCGAATCTAAGGATATTGCCGATTTCTTTATCAACTTTATGCGGACTGACATTCTAGGAGTGATTGCGACTCGACACGTCATCTTGGCTGATTATTATGATGAGGGAGCTACTCACTCTGATTGCGTCGCCTTGGCAGAACTGCACTCCACGGCTGTTGACTTTTCCAAGACGGGTATCCCTGTTGATATCAAAACCTTGCCTAGAAACCCGCGTTTTCGCCCTGACTTGTAAGCCAGCCCTGCTCCTGTAGTCATCGTATTACACTAACATTTCGCCAAGTCTCGCAATAGCACCACCTCTGAAATTGTATGACAAGGGACAGTTGGCGCACATTGTGGATGAGGACGAGCTCGATAACGATGACGTTATGGCGCGTTCCAAATTCAATCACTACCAATCCAACAAGATTCTTGGTCATCTCTACCGAAACGTCGACGAGAAAAGAATCTGGGATGAGGACATTCACCGCCGTATCAACACTGCTGGACCATCTGTTTGGGATCAGCTTTTGATTATTGTGGAAAATGAAGTCATCAAGTATAAGCTCGATATCAAGTGGACACGCCAGTCAACAGAAGCCTGGAAGATACGCGGCCTGTGAGTTCCATCGTCTACTCCCGTTTTTATCGCATGCTAATTTGACACAGGTATGAATCGACAATAATGGACAAGATGTGGGACTTTTCAGAGAATCCCCGTGTACCGTTGACAGAGGTCGAGGTATTCTGCGGCTTTATCCTCAACAAGAGAGGTGCTCAGACCTGCCGCCAGGGGGATGCATCTATCAAGCTCAAGGAAGAGATTGACAGCACCATGGCGTGGATTATCAAGCTGATTCGGGATCGAAGCGTAGGCGATGGCGCAGAGACTCTCAGTACAGTGACCGAAACAGATGCAGCCACATCGAGGTGGAGAGAAGATGCCATCGAGCTATGCTGGGCGTGTGTGGCTGTTTCCTGTATCGAGAAGGAAAATGCACCTGATGTATACCACGGCGATGGCGAGCTAGAGAGCTTCCGTATTGTGGCTGCCAGCTGCCTGGTCAAAGAGCTTAACAGCCTAGCTCGGAAGATGGAAACCGTTGCCGGAAGAGGATTCATCGGTGTTGGACGTGGTGGACGAAGTGGGTGGGGCGGACGGGGCGGACGGGGCGGACGGGGCGGAAAGAATATGACGCTTCCGATACGATGATTTGAGTGCAGTTTGCTGTATGTAAGGTTTAGGGGATACCAAGGCTGTTGTGTCAGCTGATCTGGACTGGATGTTGATGATAATTTGTACGGAAGATGGCATTGGCACACCTCGTTGATAAGAATAATTGAAGATACTTGGCCTAAAGGTCATGCATGTATCAGAATAACGTATTCCACGATTTACAATTCGTAACGGCCAGTGCAGATGTTTGTGCACACCTTTTGAAGCTGCCTCACTAGGAGTGCCACGAAGGAGCCAATCGGCGGATGCGTGAAGTAATGGCTAAGAACGGGGGCATGGTCATATCCGCTGAAGGTCTTCATACTACTGTTGACTTGAAGGAAGTAGTTGGCTTTTCAACGACGTACCGACTTTGTGTATGCACCTTATGGCGTGTGTAGGCCTCGTCTCTTGTTAAACTCATAGGTTTAAGGTACAGATGTGAATAATTAGCATAAGCTTAACTTTTCATGGCACTGGCAGAACAAGAAAGTATGTATCGTATAATGAACGACATATTTCGAGTCAGTATTAACCAAATGCACTTTCACATATAGTCATGTAGGGTCGAAATCCGTTGACTGTGGCCCTCAAGAGGACATGTTCAACTCTGCTCAACTCAACATCTAGTCCAACATTGCCGTATCCCCATCCCGAGAACATTAACCAAGAAACAAGAAACAAGAAATAATTTGCAAACCGTGCAGATCCATATCTCTCTGCCGTGGCTCCCCGACAAAGATCGGACCCAGCACTCAAGCAAAGCTCTCTTGGCAATCTTTGCCTGTTGTCTGTACCAAGAGACGGAGCATCGGAGTACATTTTAGGGCCAACCAATTGAACAAAATCCGCATTCCAGGCATGTGGAAAAATGACGATCAGCAGGGACCTGTGTCAAGAGGAGGCTAGTTACACAAGAATAGCGCCGTTAGAGATGAACCACTTTACGCCACTGTTGTTGGTTGTGAGAATGATGACTATCTCCGACGAGTTGTCTGCATGGAAATGCTTCTGATACGTTGATATCCAGGTGTTCTCCAACAGAGATACTAAATAATGACTTGGCTGTGGTACATGTTCCGTAACGACAACACAGAAGGTAGCTTCTTGATATAAGCATAACCAAATGATTACAGCCAAACACAAAAATAACGATACTGGAAAAGGGTTTCCTGGATTATTTTGACTCTATTATTGTCATCAAGAGCGTTTTTATATATGGACCGTGCGAGCCAGAACAATGTCTCTAATAGTTTACACTGAACCAACAACATTTCGCCAACACTAACCACTTGGCAACAAATATAGACATCGATCGTATCTCTACCATTTCCAGCAGTCAGCACGTTAATATGCAATGCAGTTTGCACGGTATATCGTTCTCGATCTTGATTAGCTGGGAAACACTCGCATGAAAGATGCCTGGCCCAATCGGTGACGACATGAGGTTCTGTAAGTGGACATTCAAACTAACAAAACAGCCTACGAGTAAGCCATGCTACACAAAATCAATGCTTATAGCACCAGGAATATTGGTTCTTGGTGGGCTGAAGTTTCAACGGGAAACATTATTCCTTAATCTCTTTGTTCTCTGGAAAGGCTATGCGTGATGGGGTGATATAACGAACAACCTTTCTTCACCTTCTGTTTCTAGTTAATAGACCATCAACAACTTGAGACTCCTGAACCTCTGTGAAACCCGAGATCTTTTGCTAGGCCTTCCCGTATGAGATATTTCTGCTGCAGCTTGCTATGTTGTTCGCTTCAGCGATCACCCAGTTCAGAAGCAGCGACGCCACCAACTCATTGTTTCTAGGATGTGACAAGAACTCGGCTGGTATTGCGATCTCTTTGATGTAATAATGGTCTGATAGGCAAGAAATTCGGTTATTTAGTGGTTGTTTCCAAGGCGTTGTGGAGTCTAGGCTGGTGCTCATCAGTGAAGGTATCACCACACACCCTCTCCCAAGACCCCCTCAAGCAGACGACAACAACAAGCTGCATATGTGCTATCTCAAAAAGTTCTTCCATTAAGAGGAAAGTTCAAACATAGCAAACAATTGTGAATCACAAGGATGCGGATATGATTGGGTATACGGCCATCTTGTTCCCCCGCTCGGCCCCAAAGGTATGGTTGTGGGCTCACATATGCTTCGAGCATAAGTTAGATCTGAATGTTTGTATTGTGATGAGATGCAGCTTCATTCGCAAATGGTCAGAGTTAGTGATCATGAGTCTCTGATCACTTCATCGATGAGGGGAAGTAGTTGAGGTTGTGTGATGAGGCTTGCAGTCAATAACGATGAGATCGTCGACACTTGATGAAGGCTCTCTTGATGAAGCTTTATAAGATGCAAGATATTACCGCTCAAAATAGGAGGTTCATCAGACAAGACAGTTCATCTTTACTTCAATTACTCACAAACTATCACCATTCTGTTGATCAGCTGTGTCTGATCTCCTACTTCACCTCGTCATGTCTCATCATGCCCGAGCTTTTGATCACATCTCTTCGTTGTCAGCCAATCTTATACCAACCCTCATAATCTTCTGTATAGCTGCTTATATACTTCCAATCTTAACTCGTCGTCTGATTCGCCACCTTACATCCCCAACCTCATTCAGTGAGAAAACATTCAGCAATGGCGGCCCTTCCATCTCGCATCTCCCCCATCTATCAGGTGTAGTTCCATGGTTAGGCCATCTCATGGGTCTAACAATCGACAGCACTCGTTACATCAACACCCTCATTGCTTCTACGACTGCCCCCATTTTCACCATTAATATCCCCTTTGCACGCATCACAGTCTGCCATCCAAGCATGGATCGTGTTCTCTCGCGTCATGTCAATGACACGGGCCTTGCTCAAGTACTCGTCTATGTTGGTCCTCGTCTTTTTGGACTCAAGAGAGATACCATTGACGCTGTGTTTGGGTATAACCCCCAGCCTCTACATAAGCAAAAGTTTGGTCATGCCGAGAACATTGTGTCTTTGAACCAACGCTCGAGCACAAATATTAGAGACCGGGTTGCGCTGATGCCTGAGCTGAATGAGATTCAAATTGGCCGTTGGGTTTTTGAGTTGACCGTTTCTGCTACGGCGAGTGCAGTATGGGGAGTCAAAAATCCTTGGAGTATGGATCAGGAGTTCTCTAATGAGTTCATGTAAATCTTTTCTTTACTGGTATTATGTCGATTCTTGGACTAATAGCGTGAAGGAAACTCAGTGAAACGTTTGATACCCTCGGAAGACCCTTTTCTTGGTTCACAGCAAACTCGGCCTGGAACTCCCGCAAGTTTCTCCTCAAAAGACTTCAAGAATTCCACCTTCAGCATCGTGAAGCCCGTGTCCAAACCACTGGACATAGTATCAACGTTGTGGCTCACAGTGATCCCAACTGGGAAAACAACCCAGACTACTACCACATCGAAATGGTCTCAGCCCTGGGTCTTCTCGCGACTACCAGTACCCTCGCAGTCTGGCTTACTCATCACCTCTTGACAGATCCTGAACTTACCCAAGTCATCCTCAAGGAAGTCCAACAGGTCAAATATGTTGAAGGGGAGGATGAGAACAAGCCACGATTGGACTTTGCCAATGTTCGTTCAGAATGTCCCTGGCTCATGGCTTCTTGGTATGAGACTCTCCGTCTTCATATGACGGGCGTTGCAAGAATTGCTCGTCACGACTTTATGCTCAACATGCCCGGGTCTGAACCCATTGCTGTTCCCCAAGGAGAGATATTCATGCTCCCTATGTGCGCATCTAACTTGGATGTTGAGAACTGGGGCCTCGATGCTGCAGTCTTTAAGGCATCCCGCTTCATCGACAAGGAAGGTCGAGTATCTGGCAGCGCCGTACGCAAGGTTAGAGCCTTTGGAGTCGCGGGTAACATGTGCCCTGGTCGTGTGTTTGGAACAGACATTATATTTTCTGTGATTGGGACCATGCTTCGGACTTTTGACATTGAGGCTGCGCCTGGTGAAGAGTTTAGGGTTCCTATTCTGCGAGGAGGGCTCAATGTTGGTTTTGAGAGGTATGGAGATGATGTGAAGGTCTTTCTTAAGAGGAAACGCACTGCTTAGCTTGCCGCTTCGAGACAGATTGGGTGACAAGGGATTGGGATATATCTACTCTGAGATGCAGAGAGTTTTGTGTGGAAATAAGCAAAGTCCACCATAGCAAATGAATCAATTTTGCTCTTTGGCGGAAAGATTAGCCGCCTAAGTCTTAGGGTACAAAAATAAACAACCTAAAAGTGTGGCCTAAGTTGCATAAGCTGGCCTACTAATCTTGTCTCTTTGACTGTCAACGTTTTCGATACCCTAAGAGACAGCGTCTTATGAATATCCGATACTACAAGCTTCCGAACGAGGCTCGTTTCGGTATTTGGGCCAGATCATACTTATTGATGAAACCTGAATATGTCGCTTGGAGCAATTGATTCAACTTTCTTTTAACCAGAAGTTAGGGATGGCGAGCGATGTAACCATCGGGTCAGCCACATCAAAAACCCTCCGATGTCTTATAAGTCGGCGGCTTCAAGTCAGACACTAGATGATTTGTAACACATCCCTCTGCTGCTATAAAATTCTTATATAAGATGAGTGTTGGGATAGATAAAATGAAAGTGCCCTCTCGAGAAAGATCCATGGTAAATTGTGAAAGCTCTCCACGAAAATATAACGATTTATACGACTACTTTACAACTCAGCCCATTGCTACATCACCATCCCTCGATATGTCTGATCAACAAAAGTTAGACCAAAGGGATGAAGAAGCTCAAAGTACCCAGGAGCAACCACCAGCATTCAACAAAGACTACCGCTTCTGGATGATCATGGTTACGCTAATCCTCGCCACCATCCTCGCATCTCTTGAGTCAACAGTTGTTATCACTTCTCTTCCAACCATTGTCAACGATCTCAAACTTGGGTCTAGTTACATCTGGGTTACCAATGTTTTCTTCCTTACCACGTGAGTCATATGTCCTAGCCCAGTCTATATGTCTAACTCTGTCTCATTACTACAGGGCCTGTGTTCAACCCCTCTTCGGTCAACTTTGCAATATTTGGGGCCGCAAGAAAGTCATGGTGGCCATATTTGCTCTATACACCCTCGGAAGCGGTATTGCTGGTGGCGCCAATGGAGGAGCGATGCTCATCGCTGGTCGCACAATCCAAGGTATTGGGAGTGGTGGAATAACGATGGCCAACGATGTTATAATCTCCGATCTGGTTCCATTGCGGTACAGAGGGAATTATATCGCGATACTTCTGTTGGTCATGACCGTTGGTTTTGCGATTGGACCGTTCCTCGGGGGCGTCATCGTTGAGAATACGACTTGGAGATGGGTAAGTTCAAGTTGGTCATAGATACATCAGGACGAAACTAACATTTTGACTTGGGTATTTTACCTGAATCTTCCCCTTGGAGGCGTCGCTATTATTGTGACGTACTTCTTCCTCAACCTTCAATACGACAGAACCCAGTCAACAATCGAAAAGCTCAAGCGTATCGATTACATCGGAAATGCTATCCTCATCGGATCCAGCGTCTCGATTCTCATCGCACTTACATGGGCAGGACCAGTTCATCCATGGTCTGATGTGAGAATACTGGCTCCACTGATCATAGGTCTTCTTGGACTCGTCGGATTTGTCATTTATGAAGGTTCTGGCATTCCATCTGAGCCTGTCATGCCCATCCGTCTATTCCCGAGTCGCACATCATATATCGTCTACGCCAATACCTTTCTGAATCAGTTGTTAATCATGTGGTTATACTACTTCCTCCCACTGTACTTTCAAGCCGTCAAGATGTCTACGCCTTCTAGATCGGGAGTGCAAATGCTACCCGTTGCTCTCATCGCCATTCCCGGAGCTGCACTCTCTGCCTTTATGTTGTCAAGATGGGGCAAGTATAAAGGACTTCATGTATCGGGCTTCTTTATCATGACTTTGGGTGTCGGGCTCTTTGGTCTTCTCGAAGAGGACAGCCCCCCTGTAGCTTGGGTGCTTGTCCAATTTCTTCCTGCTATTGGATCTGGATTTCTACTCAACACGCTCCTCCCTGCCTTTCAAGCGTCCACAGAAGAGATTGATCAAGCTGCAGCTACTGGTACTTGGTCATTCATACGTTCTCTTGGCACAGTCTGGGGTGTCGCAATCGCTGGGACCGTGTTCAATTCGTACACGAAACAGTATGCGCACATGATTGATAATGAATTAGCCAGAGAAGCACTCCATTCTGGGGATTCATACCAAAGCGCAACTCGTGCTTTCATCTCACAATTTGATGAGGCGACTCAGGAACAACTGCGCCACGTCTTTATGCTCTCACTTCGGAAGGTGTATGTTATCTCTGTGGCATTCGGTGGGCTTGCCTTTTTCCTGTCTATGTTGGAGAAAGAAATCCCTCTTCGTGAGGAGTTGGATACTCAGTATGGCCTGGAAGAGAAGAGTTCCAGTAAGAAATTAGACAGATGAATGCGCATGCACATGCACGGGTGCAGAGTCAAGCGGCTGCCTAACATCATCACTGGCAAACAGTGACAAACGCCTGACTACCTAGTTCACGATACTTTAAAAATATTATTTTATGATAAACAAACAGTGATTCACAGCTGATGGAAATCTAGCTATAAAGGAGCATGCCACAACTCCTCTCCTCTTCATAACCTTCCCTTCTCATCAACTTCCTTTGGCTACACCATTATTCCTTTCCATTCGCGCCGTGCGGCATGCTCTATCGCACTCAGCTATACCTTTATCTGCCCTACTCGTCTCTTCTACCGTTATACCTCGCTTACTTTATATCCCTTTACGTTTCTAGCACAGTTATTTAGGGCTGGCTATTCCTACTCTGCTTTAGACGTCCTCCTTTACACAATAGTTACGGTTTATTATCTCCTTGCCGTATCTATTCCTTTCTGCTTCTCTATGTTTAATGCTAACACACTACGCTTCAGATCTCATCATCTCTTTATATCGTATCTCCCTCTTAGCGTATTTAACAATTCGGACATCCTCCATCATGCCTGAAGACACAGAGTTCCCACCTGCTTTGCAACTCATTGTTCAGCCCGGCGAAGACGACATTGCTGCAAGGAGTGATGGCGAACGCATGCAAGTGGGCGCCCATGGGAGACGGCAATTCCAGGAGCTCTGGCTCTGGGGTTCAAGTTACCACAAGGCAACGACACCCACCTTCAACGCCCAAGCACATGGCCCATCACACTCGACACAGTCCCTATTGCCATCAGGCGAGGAACTGAAGCCGCATGTCGCAGCTGTCCGTATGTTAGAAATTGGTTTGGTCATTGCGGATGAACCAGATCGGTACAAGGTCACAGGTCATTCACGAGACAAGATTCTAGAGCAACAAAAAAGGAACCGTCATATCCTGACTCGCGATGGAAATTTATTCCGAACCTACATCAAGGCAGGCGTCTACATTCAACCACAAGCAAAGACATTTGTTGGCTGCATGCTTCGGGAGGGTCGCCTTTGCGCTTTGAAGATTGAAATTGAAAGAATATTCTTCTACATGGAGTTCTAGGGAGATTCCGTTGAGAAGAACATCAAGGCCAGAGAAAAGATCATCCCAAGAGCGATCAAATACTACGCAGCCGACATCAAAGAAAAAGAGCCCAAGTCTAACAATGATGATGCTGACACTACCGCTACTGGGTCAAAGTTACTAACCCTTGCCACTACTGCTTCCGATCATTTAGAGGACGTCCAAACGGAGTACCAACCATTTTTCAGTCAATACTGTGCTGCTGACAACAACGGCAAAACTGCTTTCCTGGCCTTTGACCAAGACAGTTCCCTCAGTGATGAAGACATCGCCAGTCTGATTGAGGAATTCGAGGTAAACACCTGCCATCGGATTTATAGAAGACACAAACTGACAGCAATTCAAGCCCCAGGTATAACGGGACTTGGATCCTGAAACTATTCGAGCCGTTTACGAGATCATGTGCAATGAAACAGAAGGTGGAAAGCCACTCGGCCGGCTGTTCCCGCATTCAGCGCTTGCCTTCTTTCTGAACTATTGTGATACGATGGTCGATCTGTCCCTTGGGTGGAAGGATGTTTCGATGACAGTCCGCATTGCTTTCCTTGCGAGCCAAATGCATGTCCAGCACGCTGGATACTCCTCATAAATGTCTGTTGCGCCGTTTTGGACACTGTCCAGTTTCGGGCATGATAACGATTGGTGGAGGGACTGTCAAGGTTTACTTGTGGAAAGGTCTGCAGTCCATCATCCGTCGGTAGTAATTGGTAGTAGCAGTTCTCGTCATGTCAAAAGCTGATGGAGGTACAAAAAGTTAAAACAAATAGGGTGTTTTTCAGTCCATGGATCTGAAGGATTCATCAGACTAGTAAACTAATAGCTAATAAAGTTCAACTCCGTGGGTAGAACATCAGACTGGAGACCACCCATAATCAATTGTTGACTAACTCAACGCCATGACCAACGCCGGGAAGGAGGTTCTCAAGTGTCTGTATCATCCCTTTATCCCATTTTCCACATTATTTCCATCATACATCTCAGATGCGCATCAAATTATGCGCGGCGGGCCTTCTCACTGTGTCCCTTAATGACAGTGGACAAGTCGCCGACAGGAATTTGGATAGGGAAGTCGACGATGGCGAAGAGAACAGCGACGAGGATGTACCAGCCCGACATGCATGTGACGAATCCAAATGCACCGCCAGCCTGTTTTGACATTAGTTATGTACTCGTGCTGAGATATCCAGATCAAGAGGCTTACCTTGAGAAGCTTTTGTGCAAGCAGAGCATTGCCAGTAAAGTCCTCAGCGAGGGCCCAGAAACCAGCAGTGATGAGCAGGAAGCAGAATGTCAAGCTGAAAAAGATCATGACAAAGACAACGTTTGTTCGGAGGGCGCACAGGAAGAAGATGAAAGACAAGACGCCCATAAAGAGGAGCCAGAATCCTATAGCAATTCGTTAGTACAATGTGTTTCGTGGTTGTCGGTGTTCAACTTACCAAGACTAGCATTGAAACCTTGTGTAGCAAGGCCTTCGGCGGAGGATTGAGCATCGGCAGGAGCATAAGAGGCGTATGTAGCAAAGGCCGGGATGAGAGTGCCACCATAAGAGAACCAGAAACCACCGAAAGAGCAAAAGACACAAGCTGGGAAACTGTTGCCGAGAACCCATTCGAGAACACCACCGATAATCATGAGAAGGCCGCCCATAAACATGTACACGGCGCTATAGATGTTGTTAGATGTATTCACCATGGGGATTTGTCAGTTGAGAACATACTTTGAAGCAGCACCACTGCCACCGGCACCTCGCCAGCCCATGAGATCACAGGACAGGGGCGTAAAGGCAAGCAAGAAGCCAACAAGAGCACTGGAAACATTGTTAGTATCATCACTTGATAGCGGTAGAGGGGAAGTCTTACATTGGTGTTGGGTTTGCAAACGTCTGTCGAAGATCACCCTTGACCTTGTTCATTGGCGAAAGGTACAGCTTCTCAAACAACTCAGGGCTCATCTGAACACTCTGTGCTGTTCGGAACTGGCTCAATGCCTCGAGACGCTGAGCCTCAGGGTCAAAGTTTCCGTTGAGACCATCGTGCTTCTCGCTCAATTGCTCGCTGTGCTCGGTGGTAGCAGCCATTGTGATGATGTCGTCCAGATTGCCTGATGTGTTGTTTGTTAATCGAAGAGATGAAGGAAGAGAAGATCAAAAGCGAAATCAGGTGCTAGGGGGGTATCTTTGGATGAGTGAAGAGGAAGATAAGACAAGTCAATGCTTAGTTAGATAGACAAGGAACAGGGACGGACTTTCAGATTACAATCAGGCCATAGCTTCTCCTATATAGTCATTGTAGGAGAAAGCTTGAGGTTCAAACCCTGGACCTGTTTCTCCCCCAGACCAGGGGCGCGCCACCCTTTGATCCGGCGCCATGCAACAGTTTCCCCAGGTCTTGGAGATCTCCACCACTAGGAGAAGAGTAGAAGAACGGTAGAGGCAAGGTATGCATCAGAATGCTTTGCTGTAAAATGTACTAGTCTGAAGGAGGGGACGATCAGCCGTCTGTCCGTCTAATAACAAATGTCTACTTTGGCGCCGTACCATTCGGTAGAGAGTCAAGAACGTGGTCTCTCTAGCATTAATCTACGGAGCTCTACTAGTATTGAAAAACAATACGACCGACAAGCTATGCATGCGAGTGCTCGAGAAGCCAAGGGCATTCCTTGTCTTGGCTTAGACCGTACTAACGCTGGTTCCCAAGTATCTGATTCGATACATTCCACCAGGACTATTAAACTTTAGCCACTCATGGCTAAAGAAAGAAACGTCTGCTACCCCAGGTTGCGTTGCCATGCAGACCGTTGCATTCATTGTTGTACGATTGCAGCAGCTAGGTTGCGGGGGAGACTTTGGGGTTCAGATCCCTTCCAACAACTCCACAGGATCCCTTCGCCCGGTTGAGGAATACAGGGCAGGCAAGGCTCACCGTTTGTTATACTGGGGAAGGGTGTTTTTAAAGAGCTCGTTGGGGATTCTCTGTACATCACTTGCTGGATAAGTCTAAGCTTGACCAAAGAGGTTCAAAGATATTTGCTAATTGACAATATTCTCCGGATAACCGAATGTGCTCAGACTGAGGGGAAGCAAAACTAGATGCAACACACAGACAAAGATAAAGCACATGACCTTGAAAAGTAGAGACCAAATCTGGGGAACAGCATCAAAGTGTCTGTATCCGTATTGAAGATCGTCGGGGCCCCGGGATCGCATTGGTCCCGCGTGAGTTGAGTGAGGGGGTGGTTGGTAGTATGTACTTCGGATCCGCTGTCAAGAGAGTGGATATTTGATGTACAAAGGATGTACGTTGTAGAGTTGAAGTTTGTAAAGTATCATAATCTACGGCTTTCAAGTTTGTGTGTCTCGTTAATACGACAGTAACATAGCACTGCTTGATGACCACAAGAGAAAACGACTTGTCGACTCGATGAATGTAGCTTCTTGTACAAATGTCCTCGACATACCGAATAGCAATTCATCTACCAAATGTCAGGTCAATGATGTTCTCCAACAAAAGTACTTACTTTCCCTCTAAGGTCAATTCCGCTGCCCCAGATTCTGTGTTCCCCTTCTCCCCCAAACCAATCAACCCTTGTCCCCTGTTTAATGAGGGGAAGCAATTCGTTAGAATCGAATGCTCTGACTGCGGTTCCGTGTTCTTCTAGCTGACGCCAAATCGCGGCTCCGCCTTTTAGGCCTGCACTAAAAAGCGTCTGTGGTCGGTACTTGGAGATTGAGGCTAGGGTCTGAGTTGAGCTGATCCGGGGTAAGGATTAATAGAGTATCCGTCTCGCTTATGATTGGGTAGAGAGAAACTGAGAATAATGCACTGTAACCTCCAACTCAAGCCGTCATCGACAACTATTCGACTCCACAAACTCGATTCAATCGCATTTCAATTGCTTCATCGCAATTATAAAATTCAATGGCTTGACCTGTTTACCTTGGAAACCCTAGACTATTAATAAGATATCATCGGATCTTGGCTTATTCCGGTCCCTCAAGCTCAGCTCTACTATGTATGGCTGTCACTTACACGTCTAGTCTATGTTGTCATCATGAGTACCCAATCCGTCATGACAATATCAACGACGTCACAGTTCGGTTATGATCAGAGACATAGAAAACATTAGGACTGAGAAAAGAATTCAATCTTGTAAAAATAACAATTGTCCAATTGATCTCGTCACGACTCAACTTCCTACTCAATCCCCATACAATCTAAAACATCAAACATGAAGCAAGTATTCGGTGCCGGTCAACAAGGCTCTCTCGCTGTCCCTATCACAGCTGGTGTAGCTGCTCTAGGAGCAGGAGTATTCTACATGGGTAGATCCAAGCCCGACACCACTCCTGAGCAAGATCGCAGAAACCGCGCCGAGGCCAAAAAGGCGGAAGGCCTTAGCGGTGCAGGTATTGGAGGAAATGCCATCACAGGCGGTCACGAGCTGAGCCACGCCCAGAACTCAAGAACCAAGGAGAAGACCACAGCGCCTCTCGAGAAGCTTCCCAGCGGCGGAGTAGGGGGTGGCGTTGGCGGCGGAGGTTCCAACGTCCGTACCTCGGTCGAGATGACGGCCAAGGAGAGCAATCCCTCCAAGTCAGGTAGCGGCTTCCTAAATGAACTCTTTGAAACTGGTGGATCCAATACTGATCATGGTGGAAATGTATAGGAGCCTAAAGATACCCTTGTCGCCAGAAACCTCGATGGCACGCCTTCCAACAAGGACGCAACGCACCACAACAAAGATCAATAAGCACCCTGTAATTACCAAGGCTGAGCAGCGGTAATTCTGCCTTGTAGCCATTACAGGGTGCTTTTGGACAGGGGGAGACAACGTTGCTGAGAAGGATACAGAGTCAAGGGTTTCGCGATCTCAGTGTTGCGAGCAATCATACTGAAACTACTACCACGAAGGGCCCTATTGAGTGCGGCTTGTACTAAGTAATCATAGCGGAGTTTATGAAAATTAATAATGATGCTTCCCGAGCGTGTCTTGAAAACATCAATTTCCGATAACAAGGGTCTGAGTGCCAGTTGTGACGGTGAAACAGGTATTTCACCTTAGTCTTCAGCATGGCTAGACCAAGTCAGAGCTGTTAGATCTGTATCTAGGACGGAGATCAATCTCCTGCAGGCTCATGAGTGAGTTTGTTGAGCTGAAGCGGAAGCTGATCTGCGTTGCTTGTATGACCTGCATGGCCAACCTCTACCCCAGGCTTGAAAGCCTCATCATCTCATGCACCAATATACGGCAACAGATCTGAAGTCTAATTTAGAGCTTAGAATAGCGTTGAGAAACGAGAGATGATGTGTGGTCACTCATCAATGGATACCTCCGTGTCTCCGAGATGACCCCAGATTTCAACTCCTGTTGTCCGCGTTCCACCCTCACACCCCAGACTATACTTATCGTGTATACCAAAAATCCACTGCCTCATTCTCTGGTTCATCCACATATTGATCGTGATGGAGGTGGTGACCTTCTCCTGAACCATCTCCCCGGAAACTTCTGCTCGATACTCGGTGGGTATGTCCACAGTATCACAAAAGTAGCCACTTTGTTAAGCATACGGCGCAGTTTTGACTGTTTCGGCTGAAAGCGACGCCAGAGCTGATACTCAAACGTTAAAAACGTGTTCCCAAGGATGTTGAGAGATCGAAAGATTCTGCCTTGGTCAGTGACTATACTCCTTTTCCGTAGTAGTTTTGAAGACTTGCATATTCGAGCCAATAAAAAATACTGTTGCTATGTCTGAGCTTTGCGGCCCTTCCCCTCTCTCTGTCATTACTCTGATTACGTCGCTCAGGGGAGGTATCCAAAGTCCTAGAATGCTCATCTCGAGGAGCAGCGACCAGTGATACGTCCTCAACTCGATACCCCGTACCATGTTGAGACTGAATACCCAACCACTCATGAGAAAGTTGATCTAAACCAGTCAGTACATCTTCCCTACCAGACAAATGTCGTTGACTTACAATAGTAGGTGTAATTATCATGCTTCTCCCCTTATAATACCTCCAACACATAGCCGACGCAACAATCGTAATCGTTCCCTGCGCGAACCCAGACAGAAAGTAGTACAGGAGTATCATACGATACCGTCTATAACAATTCCTATGAAACTCGTACTCCTTCCACGCAGCATCCGAAGTCACAGGAAATCCACAGTATCGACACACGCAGACCGTCGAACGCGATGCAAGCGTGTACGAGCGTCCCACAGAGAATCCTCCCCTCGCAGCGACGCAGTCGATACACTCATTAGCCAGCGGGTATCGCGCGTGAGATTCATCTGCTTTGATGAGACTTTCCCTCTCGGGATCATATGTAAGACATTGGTAGCATGTCGACAGCAGCTCAAACTTTATACTCGGGAAGATGAAGCGTATGATAGGTTTGCTGAAGTTATGTCGTAGAGCTCGACATGTTCGTCGGAGGGACTCGACTTGGCCGAACGTGAGGTGTTGTAGGATCATGATTTGCAGCTCTGCTGGAAGGCGAAGGAGAGAGTTGCCCATGTTTGGATCAGCCACCCCAGAGTCGATGTGTGGTGTTTTGTGAAGTGAGAGAGGTTCTTTCTGTTTCCGAGTGTTCTTTGCTACATCTTGGCTCACTGGAGACGTCTGGGGATAGTCATCGTCGAAAGTCCATACCTCGCAACAAAGTTGTAGTAGGACATCTTCGGCCACTTTGACAAGAGACTGCATGTTTACAGTTCTGAGCAAAACTGGGTTGTTTACCGCTGGTTGCCTCTGGGGTATGTTCCAGTTGTAAGACATCTAAGAAAGTGCCAGAATAAGGCATTTCTATGAGTTCTATTCATACGTAAGATTCCAGTCCATCATCATCAACGACGTGTTGTCAGCTCTTGGCCAACCCATCTCTTATCGTGAAGCCCTCAAATTGCCAGCTGATTACCGGTTGTTCGGGAAAACCGAAGCCTAACAGGCTGATTGCTGGGGCTGTTGGTCGAGCCAACACACGCGTAAGCAATAGCCTATAGGATACATGTGAGATGCAGACTGGAATGGGTATTGTACATAGTGAACACAGTCAGCCTACGCGCTTACCGCCCAAATCTTGACGTCTTGTTCAAAAACGGACATTTTGTCGATGTAGAGTTATTTAGTGCTGACAAGTTTTCGGCGCTGACATGTTGGCCAAGGTAATTTGTTAGTGTTTATCGGGGTTCATCATGATTACGGATGAATCTTGCCTATTTGGACGAATGTTCTACATTGATCTTGAGTATTACACTCATTCTTAACGACGTGTTACTGGTTGGACATTGTACTATGGTAGAAACACCAGACTGTTCTTGTCCAACTCTAAACCAGTGGGTGGCCAAGAATTCCAAGTGTCAACCGTTGTGTGAGATGTCGAAATAATTATGTATACGGTTCAGAACTCGCAACTGGACAAGATCAAATCCTGAAGCATCACATAATATAAAATGCGATTATATCCATCATTACGTTTCCTATCCATAATGAGCGTATAGTTCAATGTGCAGAAAGGAACACCATAAGTAAAACTTCCAAGTCTGTCAGTCTACCCTATACTCGTCTATTGTCAACACACGTCTTGCACCGAGAACGTCCCTACTTCATCACCGTTCTACAGAGCAGTCCGTGCTCTGTAAATGATACACCTCCACGACCCGTTTCGAGATACGGATCCACCCAGCTGAAAGACGACTTGTGAAATATATCACTAGAGCTGCTTGTTTCTACCATTTCAGTTAGCATCAACAATAAAAGCTAGCCCAAGTTAATAAAACGCAGTCTGGTCAGTTTTGTTTGTAACATGAGAAAAATGACTGGTAGACATGATGTCACCTAACATTTCTGCCCGACTTGGTAGCCTGCTCGGCACACACGTTCACACCAAGCCAGGGTACGCATGCTGGTAATTCAATATATCATTTTCTATCATCTAGACTATTCCGGCTATACGGATACACCTAATGTTCTCGTAGCACTCTACATAATTATTCAAAACGTGGTCAAAGCAAGTATTATTCTTGGCCCATTATAGGCATTGTTTTCTTGTTGCGATGGGCAAGGATACATGAGAAAAAGCAAGTAAATCTAAAATCGGCAGGCCCAGATCTTTGAATATATTGATGTACTTAACCAATGTACAGCACGTAGTGTGGCAATAAATGACACCTTTACTCGGAAAACGGCTCATCGACAAAACATGGAAAGACTGTTGGTTCGTGACCCCCAGAAAATAATAGAAACCCGAGAGCCTGGATCACTAAAAAACGCCACGCAAGGCAAGGAACGGGAGTGACCGAGCCCAACCCAACCTCCTGGGACCAGCCATTGAACATCCAAGGGTAGTCAGGCAGAACTGCTTTCATGCGACCCCGAAGAATCTAACATTCAATTGTGAGGTGAATGGTGTGTTGTGGGTGTAGGGATAGCCAGAGGAAAGCGGGATTCTGTCCCATTCGTTAGCTATCAGATGATTATCGTGAGGGCTGAATAATTTCATGGCAGCCCGACACGCCCTTTTCTCAACTTACAAATACTTTTCTGTTCCTGCTCAGTCCAGTCTGCATCATGCATGCAATCTCGTGTGATGACCGGACCATTGGGACACGGGATGAGACTAGATCGTGAGCGATTCCAACAAGATGCCCTTTCTTATTGACCATCCTCAAACTTACCAGCATAACTATGTACACCTAGAATGATCAAAAGATCCAGGCCCAGGAACCTTCTTCGCGAATGAGAATTTGTCAAGCACCTAAAAAGGGTCAAAGCCCAGTTTTGTTCGGGTTTTTTACCTTTTTAGGGTATATAGGCCTTCGGGAAGCCCGTTCCCCAAGCTAACAAAACGGCTCGGGTCGCTGAACGCTAATAGCTCCAAGGGAGAGAATTACGGATCATGATATGTATGTTATCTCGTAATATGACCCCCTGGCTTGGATATCTCGGGTACGACTACCTTCAACACCATCAATGGACGGGATGTTGAATTAGTAAAGTTTAGTCCACGGTAGAGTTTGGCTCTAGACTGACAACCGCTTAGTTAAGCTCCAAACGTCGTCGTTGATAAACAACCAACGTCCTTTTAGTAGCCATTCCTTAACGCTTTTTAGTATGATCGCCCGCATGTGCCGTCCCGCTAGAAGTGCCACGAACTCTATCAACGTCCATGCAGCCCATTCCAAGACAAGACAATGTCACGCATTAGAATGACTTGATATTGTCAGAGCCAAAGCCAAAGTCAAACATGCAAAAGGGTCCAAGTGTAAATAGGCGAATTTGTTCAGCTCAGGTTCCAGACTCAACAACCAGTTTAATGCAGGGCCAGATAGATAGTGGGACCCCGCCTTGCCTTGTAAGAGAGAGCAATGCATCGTCAATTTGCCACAACCAAGATTATTTCTCTTTCTCCATCGTCAATGTCTTGGTTTGCATACCTCGGCTAGCAAGCGAACGTCGATATCCGTCCTAGCGAGATGGAGGTCGCTGAGAGAATACTACCTCGACACGCCCGATACTGGCTCGTTAGTCAACCTCAGTTCAACAGCATCAAAGCGCTCAAGCCCGACAACATGTATGGGCCATCAGGGTAACATAAAATTCAGTGTCCAACGGCATGTTCCCTATTGCACACCCGAGAGTTTCCCCGCCGAGTTTGAGTCAAGGACCCGCTGTTTGATTCGCAGGTTCATGTCCATGCACCTGATAAGTCTCAACTCTTCGTAGCGAGACCAAACTCTCCGATTCAAATATAAGTGACTACGGCACATGTTCTTCCGCACTATCGCCAATAGCTTTCTTTCTTTCTCCGCAACGTCATTTGCTGGGTCGAAACCTCAAGTTTCCCTAACCAGAACCCATGTGGTGGGCCAGGGGGCACTATCCTGCTGTTAAACCTCTTTTGCAACTTGACATATTCTGCCTTCCCCTCTAAGCGAAAGCGTTTTAGCTCAGTTAGCACATCTCTCATCCCTTCCAGCTCAACCCTTGAAGGCTCTTTGATCTCATGGGGCATGATCGCCATACACCACGCTGTGTGAAAGACTAATTCCGTCGAGGGCACGCCTGCTTGTACCTGAGCAGGGGAAGCGGGGCTAACATGATCACGCACTTTGTGATGCAGGGCCAACTTCCTATAATCACGGAACACAGGGTTCTTACTATCCTTGAGACCAATCCAAACTCGGATGCTCGTTGACTTCCCGTTCATCCATATGTCAATGTCCAAGTGGCTTGCTTCAGGTTGATCTAGGTCGTCTAGAGGAGGGAAGGAATCTTTTGGTAGTAAGTTGTAAATTGAGTTTGCGGGTGAAACAATTCGCGGGCGTTCCTGCTTAGCCTCGTCCTCGAAGAAGCTGAATCCCGTTTCGCCCGAATTCAGCAGTCGTTGAGCATCTATATCCTCTCCAAGGTATGAATCCTGTTCGTGGGGGTCTGGCTCGAACTCGAGCCGGAAGTGACGGAGCCCAGCCAAGACGCCAGGACCCCGCCGCGAAGACATATCGAAAATTGCACGCTCTTGAGCAGCCAGTAGTTTCAAGAAAGATATCAAGCTATCTATCAGTGGGCCGCTTGAGCGCCGCGGAATACAGGTAAGTGTCAAGGATTCTATACGTGGATTCATGTCGGGGATGAAAGCTTCGGGGAAGGCTTTTTTGACCCGAGGGAGTATCGAGCTCTCGCATACGTATAGACGAGCAAGAGCTGACAACTCGTCAATCTCCAGAGTAGGGATCCTTGTGACGATGGAATGGTGCAATTTTACGATCTTGAGGTTGGACGAGAACAAGGGTCGCAGGGTCCATGCAGCACAAAAGCCGTGCAGTTTTGCCATTTTCGGCCATGCCGCGGCGATTGCCTTGGAGTAGGGAATAAGTAGCATAGAATCGCAGCTGAAGCTCTGCAGATGCCCGCGGCAATGCGTCAATAGCTGCACGACTCCAAGGGACGAGATCTGGTTACCAGACAAGTTCAGATGCGTCAACCCCTGGGAACCCTGAAAACTGGACGGTGGGAGGTAGGGATCCTCGCCTTGGAGACCCCGGCAGACGCCGTCTGCCGAGTCGCACTTGGTGCGATCTCGTCCATCGAGTCTCTTGAGCAAATGTTCTTGTGGCAACGTATCATGAAGGTCATACGACGGTGCATCAGCCAGGTGTCGATTGGGATGACTGAAGGAGCCACTCCACTCAGACTCGATAATGCGTATGGGTGTTCCGAGAATAGGGGATGGACTTCCGAATTCCAGTTTACCCTCAACATCAAAGTGAATACTTGACCGTAAATCGGACGCGCACACACAGCGAGCCCCTATATGGTAAAGCGCTCTATCTGTTAGTTTGTTGTCTTCCAGATCTAAGCTCCAAAGACGAGTGCCAAAGCAATTAACCAAATTCTCAACCGCCGCATCGTCAACCTCCTTGCTTTGGAGTTTGAGCACGCGGAGTTCCGGCAGAGTTCCGTTCTGAAAAAGGGGCCAAATAGAACCTGAGATGCGAGAGAGGTCGAGATACACCAATCCCTGGAGAGAGGATACGAGTTTTGTGGATAGCGATAGAGGACAGTCCGGCATGCTCAACAACTGAACTTGCCGGCCAGCTTCGGACAGGAACTTGGAAGGGTCAAGATCCTCGTAGCCATTGATAAGAACGCAATTCATGTTAGGAAAGAATCTGATAGCATTTTTCAGGCTGGCATTAAGTTTGTTA